TATTCGAGATCCCTGAGTCTATTTTTTTCTCCATATTAGCCGTGGGTGTTCAAGAGCTTATGATGAGGTAGGTGAGGGGGTGAGTGGGGGGGAAGGGTTCTAGGTGAGGTGAGGGAGGTGGTGGAGGGTGATGGGGGGAAGGGCGTCTTCTAGGTGAGGTGAGGGAGATGGAGGGGAAGGGATAATGAGGTGAGGTGGTGGAGTGAACGTACATCTTCGTCTTAATGAAGTGAAGGGGGGGGCGGGGGAAGATGGATGATGAGGTGTAAGGGTGAAGGGCGTTGTCTAGGTGAGGGAAAATAGAGGAAAGGGGAAGGGAAATTAATGCTGCAGTCCACCTCAATATCCTGCTCACTTCTCCACAACACAACAATACTTATACTTGGACGTGTGAGGTCGTGTGCAACCCCAGGAAGAGTTGCACCAATAAAAAGTTTTTGTCGTTTTTTAGTATTTTTAGCTAAACTTTATCATAGGTTTACCGAAAGTCTCTCTCTCTCTCTCTCTCTCTCTCTCTCTCTCTCTCTAACACACACACACAGACATATAATTCACCAGTAGACAAACACTCAGACATACAAAGACACACAGGAAAAAAACAATCGCACAAATAAGACATCCAGACAAACTACAACACTCTGAAATAGTCACAGTTCTCAGCATATTGTGACCTGGAAGAGATAAGCAAGTGTCTTATTCCGAAAAGTTCGCACGTTTAAGCTTCCTTCTCGACCAGACACGTGAGAGCCCGACTAAGCGAGTCATATACACTACGTCATCAAGATAGCGGCCGGCAAAATGGCATCAAATATCACCCAAGACTTGACTGTAATGAGATACGTTTCCTGTACACCTGAAGAGGGGGTAGGTAGAGTGGGGGAGGGAGGAAGGGGGAGAGGGTGATAGGGAAGGGGGAGGCATTACAAAAACTAGTTGACAAATTATTGGAAAAAAGGGGGTGAAAAATATTGTTTAAGAGTTAATGCTGTAAAGACTAAAGTAATGGTAAGCAACAGAGAAGTTAAAAAAAAAGTGGAAAATTGTGTGTATTTGGGAAGTAGCATTAGCTGTGATGGTAGAAGTACGGAAGAAACCAAAACAAGAATAGGTCAAGCATAAACAGCATTTAATAATTTAAAAGACCTTATGAAAAGGGAAACATTAACTTCAATTTGAGAAAAAAGGGCTACTGAAAGGCTTTACATAGCAAGGACTGATGTATGGGTCAGAAGCCTGGACACTTTCAGCAGACACCAGGTAGAGGTTGGAGGCCTTTGATATGTGGCGTCACACAACAGATAAATAATAAAAAAAAATCAGGCTCCCAATTTCCATAAGTCTCGAAAAATAAATACTCTTCGTCAGTAAAGATGTTAAGGGTATATTTAACGGGTTGAATTTTAACCTAAAAATAAAAATAACGTCGAAAAAATAGCATCAATATTACTCTAAGATGGTAAGAGGTTGGCTGCGTTCACTTAAGCACTAATTAGGAGAAGAAAATAATTGTTTGTCTACTTTTTTAATTAGAGTTAACCTAACCGAACTTAAGTTAACCATTGTCGTAATAATAATGGTGAAGGGTAGTAGTGGTGGTGGTGGTGGAGGGTAGTAGTGGTGGTGGTGGTGGTGGAGGGTAGTAGTAGTGGTGGAGGGTAGTAGTAGTGGTGGTGGTGGAGGGTAGTAGTAGTAGTAGTGGTGGTGGTGGAGGGTAGTAGTAGTGGTAGTGGTGGGTAGTGTAAGTAGTGGTGTGGTATTACACTGATGGGGTGGAAGGTATAAGGCATTCTCTGTGGTCTTGTGGTCAATGAAATAAACGTGACACCTACCAGTCTTCACCTGGCTGTGTGTGTGTGTGTGTGTGTGAGAGAGGTGAACGCGCCGTTGCTGTGAAGTGTTTAGCGAGATGATGACAGGGTGCCGAGGTTAGGCTATGTAAAGGTCTGGTCGCTAGGACGTGTTGACTAAGGCATATACTATACTTCCGTCTCCTCTTCTCTTTCCTGCCTTACCCCCTCCCCCGCCTCTCCTTCCTACTCCCCCTTCCTCCGTTGCGTAGGTGGTGGTGTTTGTCAGTATGTAAGGATCTGAACAGGATACAGGATCTGAACAGGATACAGGATCTGAACAGGATACAGAGTACCTTCAGCGTGTAGCCTTGAAAACGGGATAATCACGAGATGAAGTTTTATTGACAAAATCAGGTGGATGTTGATTCAGATATTCCCTCTGATCAAGATTCTGAGAAAGATTTTAGGATGAATATTTCCCGTAACTTAAAAGCTAAAACACATACAAAATACATGACCAAATTACCTTAGATACGTTCATTTAAGTTAGGTTAAGTTTGGTTAGGTTAGGTTAGTGTCAGGTTAGGTTAAGTTAGTGCCAGGTTAGGTTAGGGTAAGTTAGGTTAGTGTTAGGTAAGGTTAGGTTAGTGTCAGGTAAGGTTAGGTTAGGTTAGTGTTAGGCAAGGTTAGGTTAGGGTAAGTTAGGTTAGTGTTAGGTAAGGTTAGGTTAGTGTCAGGTAAGATTAGGTTAGTGTTAGGTAAGGTTAGGTTAGGGTAAGTTAGGTTAGTGTCACGTAAGGTTAGGTTAGTGTCAGGTAAGGTTAGGTTTGGTTAGTGTTAGGTAAGGTTAGGTTAGGGTAAGTTAGGTTAGTGTCACGTAAGGTTAGGTTAGTGTCAGGTAAGGTTAGGTTAGTGTTAGGTAAGGTTAGGTTAGGTTTTTTCTCCTTTTTATCTTCTGTTTCCTCCTTCTCGCCACAGACAAGTAACAATTAATCGCCACACTTCCTAATCTGGGCTAATTATTGTGAAACTTACCAGTCTTATAGCTCGACCCTAATACCTCCTGACCTCTATTTTATTTTTCATTTTGACACAATTAAGGATGTAACGAGGGGTCAAAGGTCAATTAACCCATGACGCATAATTGTATCTCCTGATTGGTCATATTTACACCAATCACGATGAATATTGACATAACTAAACCTTGCTATTGGCTCTCGTATACAATGATCGTTAAAGGTTAAAATTATGCTTTTGGTTGGGGAGGAGGGGTCACTGTCGGGGGGGGTGGGGGGGGTCACTGTCCGGGGGTGGGGGATGACCTAAACTTGATCCAAAAACATAAATTCCTTAACTTTCCCACAAAATAGAAAACAGTTCAGAACCTAATAATTAAAACATGTTTTTTTGTTTTCCATTTCAGCGGACTTGAATACGGTAGGGAGATGCTGCAGCTGCCTCAGAGTCTCACCGTATAGCCAAGGTAATGTGAACCATCTGGAGGGGGACACTAACACCCACTTCTGCCTGGCTCCTGCAGCACAAACACTTGTAAACAAACCCGAACATGGAAAGTCGGTCTGATATCCACCATTAAAGTGACCGTCCACCCGTCTCGCCCGTCTTAAGTTTGTGTCGGATCGTGAACAAAAACCAAAACCATCAGCGCACAAAGGGGGCAGATTTTATTCATGTAAAGGTGTGCAGTGACAGAGGAGTGTTTATGTAACTCGTGGATAGCGGATCTTACTCCAGGTGTATATAGTGTGAGGTTGTGTAGCGGTGTTATCACGAATTACCTGGAGTGGTGTGTTAATATATCATCACCAGGTGTCTCAGGTATTAATTGAAGATCTTTTTTTTTTTTTACTTAAGACGAAAATATTTGTCTCCTGTAACAAGACGACAGGTGTTTTCTTTACTAATTAGACAGCTGTATCGTTCCGTGGATAGCTGTCTCCTAAATTACTCAAACAGCTCTCTACTACGTTACAGGAACATGTACCCAATATAACCTGAACACCTGTGCCCTATAGACACATAAATCAAACACAACAATGTATACCCCTATACTATAAAACGAGAACACCTGTTGTACGTAGATCAAGTAAACACCTGTAATTACCTCAACACCACACCGTAATACTGGGAAGGAATCACTCAGCATGTGATGGACAGCCATAGGTAATGAAACCAAAACATCTCAGGTGAAGCAACAAATTCGCAGGTGTTTTGATATATGATGATGATGATGATGATGATGATGAATACAATACAAAAGAGAGAAGACTTATAAAAGATACTGAGATTTAACTTCCTGGCGAGAGCTGGTTAAGAAATTCTAAGTGGTGAAAAGTGACAGTGAAGCGAGGTGGGTAAAGTGATCGTTAATGAGATTTTTAGTGTGACCGTTTGTGATCTTTTAGTGTGAAACCGTTCGTGATCTTTAAGTGTGAACGTTCGTGATCTTTTAGTGTGACCGTTCGTGATCTTTAAGTGTGACCGTTCGTGATCATTAAGTGTGAACGTTCGTGATCTTTAAGTGTGAACGTTCGTGATCTTTTAGTGTGACCGTTCGTGATCTTTAAGTGTGAACGTTCGTGATCTTTAAGTGTGAACGTTCGTGATCTTTAAGTGTGAACGTTCGTGATCTTTAAGTGTGTGATCGTCTGTGAACTAAAGCTAACCGCCGATGAACTCAAAAGTGAACGACAAATGATCCTAAATTATTAAAAAAAGCAAAAAAGAGGAAAAACTCAACCCCAGGCTATCGTATTTCCGTAGTGAACACATCCATTAGCGACGAGAAAAAGCATTGGCACACAAGAGTCATTTTAGTGTCCCGGTGAGGTCCCGTCGCCCTCCTCAACACATCGTCGTCCACCTCCTCAACACATCGTCGTCCACCTCCCCAACACATCGTCGTGCCTCCTCAACACATCGTCGTCCACCTCCTCAACACATCGTCGTCCACCTCAACACATCGTCTGCCTCCTCAAAACATCGTCGTCCACCTCCTCAACACATCGTCGTCCACCTCCTCAGCACATCGTCGTCCACCTCCTCAACACATCGTCGTCCACCTCCTCAACACATCGTCGTCACCTCCCTCAACACATCGTCGTCCACCTCCTCAGCACATCGTCGTCCACCTCCCCAACACATCGTCTGCCTCCTCAAAACATCGCCTCCTCAACAACACACCTCCTCGTCGTCCACCTCCTCAACACATCGTCGTCCACCTCCTCAACACATCGTCGTCCACCTCCTCAACTCATCGTCGTCCAGCTCCTCAACACATCATCGTCCACCTCCTCAACACATCGTCGTCCGCCTCCTCAACACATCGTCCACCTCCTCAACACATCGTCGTCCACCTCCTCAACTCATCGTCGTCCGCCTCCTCAATACATCGTCGTCCACCTCCTCAACACATCGTCCACGTCCCAAGCACGTCGTCGCCTCCACCACCTTGGACATACAAGATGACATGAACGACCGAACGTGAGTGAGAGAGACAGAGAGAGAGAGAGTGTGAGTCGGACAGTGGTCGTGGTGGCCAGCAGGAGGAGGAGGTGGTCGTGCTTCCCCCCGAAGATGTCGTCGCCAAAATCCCCCAAGTCAGCCCTCAGTAAGATAGGCCTGGGACGACCCCGGCCCCTGAGGATCCTGGTGCTAGGTCAGGCAGGCGTCGGCAAGTCAGGTAAGTCATGGAATGAATTAAAAGGTCAACTAAGGTCATGATTATCACAGGTAAGAAAGGTCAGGGTCAACATGGGTCATACTAGGGGAGAATTAAGTTAAAATAGTATAAATCACCAAGGTTAGGTTATAGGCCAGATTAGATTAGGTTAAGTTAGGTTAGCGTTAGGGTGTTTAGTTAATCATCAGGTGAAATTAGTAGGTGGTGTCTAATCATCAGGTAATCCTTGACTTCTGTACACCTCTCCATCCTCAACCAGACCGCGAGTCGGTGGTTAAGAGAACAGGTATTAAATTTCAGTGTACTATGACGAACAGGTAGAGCGTCTCCACTAGCAAGGACCTCGACACACTACCACACACGATCCAGCTATATCCGGGGTACAGTATGGGTCCTGAGTCACGTTGGTCCGTGTCCTCTGAGCGTGTGTGTGGTCGTGTCCAATTGCATCTCCTGAACAGACAAAGACACGTATAGTTGGGAGGGTGTGGCTTAATTTCATTCCTACCTGTAAAAGCAGTACGTCTCAACCACTAAAGTTTCGAAATACCATCACTGTTTTATTGTGTTGTTTTCTAGTTATTGTAAACATTTGTGTTATTATCTATTTCATATACCAGCTTTACTACCTTAACATTAAAATCACATCTATATATTAAAAGCACACAATGTATGAGCCTAGATGAATAAGTTATGAAGGAGGTAACCACACCATAATTAAATAACTCACTAATAAAAAAATATTATCTTTCTCCCTAATAAAAAAAAATACTGTATTGAAAATTTCTTATAGATAATATGGATCACCTGAAGATTAGTCCTCCACCTTAGCTACTTATTTCACGTGATGATTAAACACCCTAATTACCTGAGGGGAAGGGTTAGGTTAGGTTAGGTTAGGTTAGGTTAGGTTAAGTTAGGTTAGGTTAGGTTAAGTTAGGTTAGGTTAGGTTAAGTTAGGTTAGGTTAGGTTAGGTTAGGTTAAGTTAGGTTAGGTTAGGTTAAGTTAGGTTAGGTTAGGTTAGGTTAGGGAGGGGGTGGTTAATATTAATGTAAAATAAGCTGGTGACTACAGACTCGTGTTCAAAGTGACACTATAGATTACCCTGTAGAAAAGTGCCACCGAACAGACTACATAACACTTATGATTTTGTAGGAGGGTTGATGATATATCCTTCCGCATCCCTCAGCGCCTCCCCTTCATAGACAGACAGACAGTAAACACAATACATCCTCCTGCCTTACAATCAACGGGCTCATCACACGCTTGATGGTCCTCCTGGGTATCGATACAACCTCTCAGTCTCACGCGATGTGCCATATAGCTACCTCGAGAGAGAGAGAGAGAGAGAGACTGGGGAGAAAAGGAGGAAGAGAAGTAGGAAGGGGGGTGGGGGGGTTCATATGGCGAACGTAAGAGAGGATAAAGGATTAGATACGAAGGTGAGGGATGAGGGATGAGGGACGGGGGATGAGGGGTGAGGAGGAGTGGATGAGGTGAGCATGGTGGTGGTGGTGGTGCTATTGACACTATTGGAGTGACTAGTAGTAATATGACTCTCGTTACGATAAGCTGCCACCTGTCTCCATCACCACGCCCATCCCTCTGAGCCACGCCCACACACACACACACATGACCTCCCTCGTGTGAGTGTCGTGTTTCTTTTTTTTCCACACGGGCGAACTGTCTCTGCGTGTGTGTGTGTGTGTGTTAAAGCACGGAAGGAGGGGAACAAAAGGGGTGTGTCTGTGTGTGGTGTTCGTGCTGGGTCAGGCTAATTTACGGGTTATATCTTGGTTTATTTTAATATTTGAGGTTCACAATAAAAAAAAAATGTCTGTCTTTACTGTTGTGTGTAAAGACAGATAATAGAAATATATGATAAATAAAGAGACTCAATTAAGCCTCCCAGTGACTCGCCTAAGCCTCGCAGACTCACCTAAAAACCTTCCAAAGACTCACCTAAGCCTCCCAGAGACTCAATGAACCCCAGCCAGACACAAGTAATGCCATTCCTCGCTACTAATGAACTTAATGAACCTCGTTATTTGATTGTCCCATGAAGTGAGTGGAGTGGCTGCCTCGCCCTCCTCACCGCTATACCTCTTCTTCTCCTCTTCACCACCATCTCTCTCCTCCTCCTTTTCCTAGCCACCATCCCTCTTCTTCTTCTTTTCCCCTTTATCCTTATCCTGTTCTTCTTCCTTTCCTTCCCTCTTTTTTAATCCTTGCCTCCACCCCCCCCCCCTTCTTCCCTCTCACTCTCTCCCTCGTTAAAATTTTTTTCTCCTACCTCTTCTTCTCCTCTCTCACTTTCACCTTGACTTTCCCTCTCTTCCTCATCTTCCTCCTCCTCCTCTATCTCTTCCCTCACTTTCACCATCGCCCTCCTCCTTCTTCTCCACATCCTTTTCCTCACTCTCACCTGCCCTTCCCACCGATCGTATTTATAACATATATTTCAGAGTTGCGTCATGTATTTTGGACTATCTAGACGCATGACGCACGACGCACAACCACATGAGGGGGGCGAGAGAGGTGACGGGGGGTGACAGGGCGAGGAGGGGGCAGGGGGAGATACCCTAGGAATACCTCAGTATAATCTTCATCGCCATCTCCCACAAATATACTCGTATATATACACTGATTCTCAGTAGTTAAATCGGGTCACACTAATTTCCAAACCCAAATCCACGAATTTGACCCCGGATTTTTTTGTAAGGGACGTAAGCTAGGTCAGATTTGGTTAGGTTAGGGAAGGGTGAAGGAGGGTGCAGAGTGGCAAAGGGAAGGGGAAGGGTAAAGGGGTGGCAAGGGAAGGGGGGTCACAGAGGAGGAAATCGAAAACCAATGTTAACACCCCTGTTGTCATGGAAATAAAACGAGGGGTGCTAGAGGGGGGTAACACAAGTTTGGTGAAAAATGATAACAAGGTAGTGATAACAAGGACCCGGATGTTGCTGAATCTATACTCGTACTAACACGAGTCTGCTGAGGTGTAGTGGAGAGTTGGTAGGAAGAGAAGTGGTAAATAACGTATCGAGGATAAAATATCACAGAAGGAGGAAGAACTAAAAGGAGAAAAGTGAGATGGAGAGATGTGAGGAAAGATAGAAAAACAACAGAGAGAGTGAAAGAGAGTTAAGAGGAAACGGAAGTAAGAGGATGGAGAGTGGTGGTAATGCTCGTAGTGGGGTGATGTTGATGCTCTTCGTGGTAGTGGTAGTGGGGATAGTAATGGAATTTTGAATTTTGCCGCTTACAGCGGATAGTTTATTGTGCACCCCATACTCATCCTGAGCGGTAGCGCAAAAGGATTACAGAGTATGGTTTACAAAGGGTCAGAATAATTAACCTCAGTGGTCAGAATATTATGGCATTGAATGTTACACAGTATTTCAAATAAATTCTTTGTTTAGTTCTATACATAAAGGGTAACTTATTCACAACTGCGTGAGTACAGGCGTGTAAGGCAGTATGTCTGACAACACACTTTGTTATTCACATTTGCGTGAGAGGTATTCAAGCACATTGTGTTTGGTTCTATACATGGGAACTGATATAGATACTAAGTGCAAAAAAGTGGATACAATCTTAATATGTCTGCTATCTTGCCATTAGAGATGAAGTGTTGTGCCATTTCACACACAGTGTGCTTGGACCTGTCCCTAAAAGGTTCTATCTTCACACAGTCGAGGACGTAGTGTTCAAGTGTGTGGCCATATGTCTGGCCACACAGTGGTGATGGTGGTAGTGGTGGTGGTATAGTCAACAAGGTCCCCACCCACAGTGACCTCCTATAGCAAACAGGATAATAACACCCTCCCCGGAAAACATCTCCATCCATCACTTACGGACATACTCGTACAGAGAGAGAGAGAGAGAGAGAGAGAGAGAGAGAGAGAGAGAGAGAGAGAGAGAGAGAGAGAGAAATACGCACCTCAATGATGGTTCTGGCAACTGTTATGACCACTGGATGAAATAATCATAGGGGTAGGAGGGTGTGGTGCCATCAGTGGATGTATTCTAAAAGATAAGTCTGTGAATATGTTTACCTCCCGGTCTGTGGACGACGAGAAAAAAAGAAGGAAAGAGCATCTTGTTAACAGTGTTTTCGACCTTGTTTTGGCAGTCATCTCGTGACGTACATATATTCTGTTAGCCAATTAGATCTGTCCTAGAATCCAAAGTCTAAAGCAGCGACTGTATAATAAGTCTAAAGTCTAAAGTTTCCCAAGGCTCAAAAAATCCCTACAGTTGAACACAAATCCACGTGAAAACAGATCAAAAGTACTTCAGTTAAGAGGTGTATAAGATTCCAGTTTTTAAAGACATCGATACTTGAGTCACTATACCGAGACTCAAAATATTCTCTTAAATCCTCACTTACGATAAAAAACAAAAACATATGTACGTCTGTGTGTAAGGGTTCAAACCAGGAAATATAGAGAGGTCAGGTAGACAGGCGCCACTGACCACCATTGACCGCCACCACAATCACCACTTACAGTATGTCAACAATAACACATTTGTTGTACCGCCCAGCAGCCAAGTTGACATCCTTTCAAGATTGTGATTAAGTCATTGTTTACACGTCTCCTATTTTTCTCTTCTCTCTCACTATTTCTGTCTCTCTACCATCTCTCAATCTTTCACCGTCTGTTTCATTAATATACCATAGACAGAGATGGAAATAGACAGGCAGTTAAGGAGCATTACTGCCTGTCTCTTATGCGTTCTCCATACACGTTAACCTCTTGAGTACGATGACTTTTACCTCTGAGTATAATGAAATAGTCCACTAAGACGTTTTAACCTCTTGAGTACGATGACTTTAACCTCTGAGTATAATGAAATAGTCCACTAAGACGTTTTAACCTCTTGAGTACGATGACTTTAACCTCTGAGTATAATGAAATAGTCCACTAAGACGTTTTAACCTCTTGAGTACGATGACTTCAACATCAGAGTACAAAGGCATTTAAGTGAAGGAAACAAGTCATCGCATTCAAAGGGGTTCAGACATCGTACTAAAGGGATTAAATCATTGTACTCAACGGGTTAAGATATCGTACTCAATGAACTATTCCACTGTACTCAAGAGGGTCAGCATCGTACTCGGTGGGTCAGTGTCGTACTCAGAGGATCAGCATCATACTCAGTGGGTCAGTATCGTAGTCAAGAGGGTTAACATCGTACTCAGATGGTTAGTATCGTACTCAAATGGCTAGTGTCGTACTCAAATGGTCAGCATCATACTCAGAGGGTCAGCATCGTACTCAATGGGTCAGCATCGTACTCAGAGGGTCAGCATCGTACTCAAGGGATCAAACGGGAGCAGTGTGAGAGTAGGGAAAATGCATTAGGGCAGTATGACCAATTCACAAAATATATTAAACCAATTTTCTAACGGGAAACCTTACACGTACTATTTTCAAAGCCACTCAACCACTCGTCAATTAACTAGACTGACGTTTTTTTCCCTTCTCACACCATTGCCACCACCACTTTTCCATCTCACACCACTACCAACACCTCTTTTTATCCTCTGACACCATTGCCACCAACAGGTTTCAGCAATCTACGACCTCCCCTCCCTCAAAACACTGCCACCAACACCTACACTACCTCTTCCTCCCAGTGTGCTGCATCTCCCCACATCACGAATATATATATTTTTTTAATGATACCTTTGTGTTAGAAGCCATTGGGGATATTACTCTTGCGTGTACTGAAATATGTTATGATGAATCTGTTAGCTGACGGTGATGCATTTTAAACAGGGAAGGGAAGGAGGCTCACACAACATGTGTCATGTTTTTTTAAGACGCGTATATTTGGGGTTTTTTCCTTCCTCGTGTGTGGTAATCAATTTTCCCCTGGTGATTCAGACCGTAGGAGAGGTGATAACTATGGTTTGAGGCTATAGGGAATGTGAAAATCTATACATTACTGATACTATAAGGGGACTGAAACCCATATGAGCTCTCTCTCTCTCTCTCTCACTAACTCTTTCATCCACACTTAAGTATTACCAATAAAAGGTAACATATTGATGGTACTAGGATAAAAAATTCACCTCCGTTCCGTAACCTGACATGGCAGGAGCAAGAAGCTATAAACTACATGACCACAATAAGGGCGAATCGCTATTTTTTCAGATTCGCTTTTGTTTTTTTTCAGATTCATTCACTTATAGTCTCAAGAACAAACGCGTCTTTCGTCAGTTGTACCAGAAATCTCGGGGAGTGTGTAGTACTGGTTAAGGGATATACTGCCCCTTAACACAAGACAAAAAATGGCTAGAGCAGGGTGGGTTTTTTTAATAGACAGATTGATTTTTTTTTACGAAATATCAACCACAACAAATCAAGGACGAATTGTTATGCCCTTAAATAAAATCAATCTAACCTTACCTAACCACGGACGTCATCCTAACCTAACCCAATCACGTACGCTTTCAGGAGCCCTTTACATAACATCGTCTTCATGGGATTCACACAAACTCAAATGACGACATTTCCTGCGTAGAAATTGCGTCACACTAACCTCTCATTTTTCTTAAGTTCCCCCTCAAAAAGAAAATGAATACAGTATTTAGTCAAATATGATTGTGGTGGTACTGGTAGGTAGTGGTAATGATAACGGTGTTGGTCGATAGGTAGTACGGTAGTGGTGGTAGTAGTAGTAGTAGCAATAGTTGTAGTAGTAGTTTAAAAAATGCCAATACGTTCACCTCTTAAAACCACTTTATTAAATCACCCTTCTTTTTTCCTCTCACCTACCTCCCCCCCTTCCCCTACTCCTTCCACCCTATCTCTTCCCTTCCCCTACTCCTCCCCCTTACCTCACCCCTTCCCCTCACTCTCCCCTTCCCTCCTTCCCCCTACCCCTACCCCTTCCACCGCCCTCCCTCACTCTACCTCCAGGGAAATCAGTGTACATATCCATTTCCCATGACCCAGACCCACTACCCTGCCTCCACCCAGAGAGAGAGAGAGAGAGAGAGAGAGAGAGAGAGGCTAAACACCTTAACTAAAAGAATCTAACTCCCTACCCCCCAAAAATTAGTTACTAAATCTCAAAGAATCCATCACCACTGCCTTAGTTTTCACAGCCAGGGAGTAGCTAACCTCCCCTTAGACCAGTACCCATTAATAAAGGTCAGCGAAACACGAAATACGGCCTTAGAAATCCCCATTAATCTCCTCTTTTTCCTTATTTAGTTCTTTTTTCATTCCTTCTTTCTCTACAGGGGAAAATGTGGGGTGGGGTGGGGGGGGAGGGAGGAGGGAGGAGGGGGGAGGGTGTTCAGGTTGTCTTGTAATAGAAAAAGTTATATACACTATTATTCGGTCTAAAAAAATACAGAGTAAATATTACGTTGGTGACAGAAAATGGTGCAGAATGTATAGGGACTTGGAAGGGTGGGAGAGAAGGAAGGAAGGAAGGGAGGGAGAGGGGACGAGAGTAGGAGAAGAGGTAGATGGGAATAGGGGGAAGACGAGAGAGGGTATGGCCGTATAGGGGTGGGAGAGAAGGGAGGTTGGGATGAAAGGTATGTGGGAGAAGGGAGGAGAGAAGGAAAAGAAAAAAGGAAGGGAAGGGAGAAATGTTGAAGAGGCGCTGGGAGGGGAATGTGAGAGGATCTCGAGAGATGGTGAGGGGACGCTGTGAGGGAAGTGTGAGAGGGTAGAAATGATGAGGAGGCCGTAAGGGGAAGCAAAGTGAGAGGGGATACTGGTAAAGAGTGTGGAAGATGGACACTGGAAATGGGCTTAGGTAAAGTAGGTCACTTTCAAACTTTGCTTAATTTCTGTCGAAAAGTTTCCCCAACACCTTAAAAGTTTGTATTTGCGAATGATGAAAGTGTGTGTGTGTGTGTGTGTGTGTGTGTGTGTGTGTGTGTGTGTGTGTGTGTGTGTGTGTGTGTGTGTGTGTGTGTGTGAAAATCAACAGAATAGGCTCCTTCCTACCTGTCAGTGGATGAGTTCAAAATATACATTCCAGAGTTTTGTGCCCAAGTTGCAGGTCTGGTGAAGAAACACGATGATTATTTTTTTTAAGAGAGACGTCGTTGAGTAGTTAGAAATTATCTTAAATAGGAATATTGACTCATCGACGTCAAACGGCACGAGGAAGTTCAAATTATCCAGGCTATATTGAGCAGAGGCGAGGGTATAGGAGTCACATCCCTTCCTGACGGAGCTACTGACATCAGGATTACTAACGCTAGGATGTGATGCCCCCCCCCCCCACACACAGGTTATATCAACAATGTGAGTCATAGTCTATCACCGAGTGGTAATGTGATTTAAACCATACCTGGAAGGACGGCAAGTCGAGTCACTACACGCAGGAAACCTTAGGATCACCGCTGCCTTATAGTATCCTGAACGAGGCCTAACTCATGAGTATCACTTCAATCATCAGAGAGACAATGTTTACAAGGGCCAAGATGACACGACGTATTGACAGTGAGATAAAAGACTAACGTAGGAACGCCATTATTAGAGGTTTACACAAGAAAACCATATAGGGTATACATAAACAAAGTGGTATATCATAACTACAGGGTATACCACTCCTTTAAAATATCTAATATCTAATGAAAGAGTCGCTAAGTTGAGTTTCCATTGTGTGTCAAAGTTCAACATCAGAAATTTTTCAGCTGAGCAACGTTCCGAATTTTATATAAAGAACACAGCTCTGTCGTTAGTCATTGTTCAACTATAAATTCCTACTCGCTAACCCAGTGTGGATGATGAAGTAGAGAGTGATGTTGTACGTTGTCTGGCATTTAATTGGTTCTGACATTGACAGCATGTTCTTATTACTTTTCCTCCGGACATCACTTCCCCCCTCCCCGCACACACTAACTAGCCTCCCCAGTATATCTCCCCACACTGACTAACCTCCCTTCCCCCGTTATCTCCCTGACAGCGTTGGTGGTGCGGTATATCACTCGGCGGTATATCGGAGAGTATGACCCCTGTCTAGAGCGAGTATACCCACACACGGCAGTCATCGACACGGAAACCTTGGCCCTAGAGATACTCGACTCAGCTGGACAGTCACATGTAAGTATGATGGAGACAGATGTGGGGATGATGCTGAGTCAGGTATGATGATGGAGTCAGGTGTGAGTATGATGCTTGGAGTCAGTTATATTATTAAGGATGAGGCACGTAACTTGTTTATGGAAAAAAACTGTTTACATGACGTCACGAAAGGCTTTTATAAATTCCCAGGAAACTTATACTATGCAGCCAAGGATGTATTGTCTACTTTTATTGTAAACACGGGGAGTTTTCTTCGAGGAAATGAAAGATGTTGTTGTTGTTTTACCTTTACGTGTTTTTAACAATAGGATATTTTTTTTTCCTGTGTATCCAAATTTCTATAAAATTTTGTAGGATATTTTTTTCCTGTGTATCCGAATTTCTATAAAATTTTGATTAAAAAATAAAATGGAAGATTTTAAGGGATAACTATATTGTACCTTCACGTACTTATTGTTTATCTAAGATGGGTGAGTAGCCTGAGGTAGAAAGGGTTTTTTTTATTCACGTCTGGGTTCAAGGTTTAGTGGCTCACATAATGGGCCTTTATTCCTTGTTGAGTGCCTTTTGTGTGTAGTGAACATCTCCATTTTTCCTTCACTCCCCCCTCATACTTTCCCACATTTTCTTGTGATTCTCTCTCACATTCCCTCACGTTCCAGGTCTCCCTTCAATCTCTCTCATCTTCCAACCCTCCTCTTACTCTTGCTCACCTTACACACATCACCTCAACCCCCCCCGTCGCACCTTACACCCCTCCCCTCACCTCCCTCACCTCCTACCCTCTCTCACTCTCCCCCACTGCCCACTAAGCCTCCATCATCCTCACGTCGTTATCAACAGCAACAGAAGTACAGTGAAAGTCTCCCCTCCCTCACCCCATCACCCTCCCTCTCACCATCACCCTCCCTCACACCATCACCCTCCCCCACATCATCCACCTCCCCACACCATCCTCCTCCCCCACACCATCACCCCTCCCTCACACCATCACCCTCCCCCACATCATCCTCCTCCCCCACCATCATCACTCCTCCCTCACACCATCACCCTCCCCCACATCATCACTCCTCCCCCACACCATCACCCCTCCTTCACACCATCACTCCTCCCCCACACCATCACCCACAAGGAGGTAGCGTGGCCAGCACTACAGTACCACCTTCACTTCTCTTACCGGATGGATCGAACGTGCCACTCTTAGGACAGGAGGTGAACGCTGTATCCGCTCGGCCGCCGCACCCTTGTTATTAGAAGTCTCTCACAAACAGACAGCGTTCTATTACAATCAATAGACAGAAGGAAGACTCCACAGGGTAGTCTTCTAGTCCCAAGGATGTCTTATTTTCTACATTTGATTTACAATTACCATATCGAGCATGCTCCATTTTCCTTATTTACCTAAATTTAATGTGATTTATTCATGGTGTATCTATAAACCTGTGTTATCCTAATCAAAGCTACCTACTAGAGAACATTTAATCAAATATTAATGGCGATCCAGAAGACCCAGCATGTTTACATTTTCAACATAACGTCAGTTTAGAACAACCTCGTCGGTACACTGAGGCGAGGATCACAGCGGCCACTTTGAGTCCACCCGAAGCAATAAAGTGGACTTGGATATATCATTGTCGACAACCAATACCATTCCCTGAACACCAAGACATCGGCATCAACATTTCGAGGAAATGTACGAAAGCAAATATCATTCTAGATCTCAATTTACAGATTTAATTTATTTTTTATTTTTATCGACAACAGCCTGTCATAGAAATATGGTTTAGTGTTTCCTCTCGCTGTTAATGTAGCATTTTGATGGGAAACTTGAACGTATCCACAATTAGAGATCAAGTCATTATCACGACATCCGTGTTTATCAAATAACAAACATGAAAGGCTTTCATTTACATTGACGATATTGCCAATTACTTAGTAAGACTTTACTGAACCCAGTTGATTACACTCAACTTATTTGTTATGAACGTGGTTTAATACATGATTATTGTAATCAACATATTCAACGTTTTTTAAGAGTTTGTTGTTGACTTACAAGATGCACTCGGTGGTTAGGAGTGTGAGAATTCCTGTTGAGCAGTGTTGCCATATGAGAGCTGTTAATGGGACTCGACTTGCTAAGTGAGCACAAGCTGCATAAACAGGATAGATAGCGAGCGGTTGCGTCACCCTTTACCGCTGATGGCGTGATTAATATTGGTTTTCTGGCTACAGCACCACCAGGCAAGGAAGGTCTGTAGTTGAGGATGTGTGCCAGGCGTCCTTGAAGTGTTTGTCGGAGATCGAGACATGTTGACGTCGATGAGTATTGGCTGCGTCGCGTGATACTTTACCTTGGCCACTAAACACATATAAAGTTTACCCACGTATATACTCTTCATATATAGTGCCAACCCAAACACCTTTAAAGTGTCACTAAATCCAAACACACTGCACTATCTCAGAGGGAAAATGATTCGGTTCCATAATAAATTTTCCTTATGAATATCAGTCCCCTTGTTAAATTTACTGGATCATGACTATTATAGAACTCATCTAAGAAACTCCATCAAGCAGTGTTGTGTTCCTGAAGGACAGCAACTAACAAACAGACAGACGCATGTGATTGAATAAAATCTCGAAGAACTCGGTCGGGGATACAACCAAATCCAAAACAATGTGTGTTCCAACCAAGCTAACCAAACACATTTTATAGCATTACTTCACAGGCCGTGTTGAAGTGATGTTTGGAAACTTACTTATGATTCGTTTTAGATCCGAAGCTTTATATAATATGTTTCATTGTGTGCATTGCGTACTGGTTCCCTTCAGCGTGTCACACTTACTGTATATTCCTCATGTGACAATAATAAAATACGAAGGAGAGGAGAGGGAAATAGCCTTATTCCTTCCTACATATTTTGACGTCAATACCTTTATATCAAATCTCTATAACAACACAAAGATGTAACCAAGTCAGCCAAGGCATTCCGGTGATTCTTACGAATATTTACAAAACAAGAATATATTAAGTCCGTTCCATAATTGTGTTGCTAAAAAAATCTCTGGAACAATTTTATAAGACTATGGATGTTACTGCTGTGAATGTCATTTGTTTTAACCCTTTCACCACGGGAGGTGTAAGTATAGTGTGTTAGAGTAAAGCGTTGTTCCAATATTTTTTCTAAAGACTTTGGCTATACCCTCTCTTAATTAAGCCCCCTTTGATCACGTTCGTTCTGTATGGGAGAATTCCTTACAGAGATACAATAGTTTCTCTCCCCTACTGCTGTGTTTAGTGTGTTTATTATTACAGGATGATGAAGGACGCACAGACAGAAAAGAAGGTTATTGTGTGTGTGTGTGTGTGTGTGTGAGCTACCCCTGGCAACACACCTGTGACCACTTCCTAGATGGTCTCCTCAGCCCTCTGACACCTGTCGCACGTTTGGCCTACTTGCTGATCTCTCTCTCTCTCTCTCTCTCTCTCTCTCTCTCTCTTTCGGGTTAAAGCAATCACTCCAGCAGGAACCGACCCCCATCAACACGAATTTAAGACCTCACCCTCCCTTTGTCTTGGTATTAATGAATTCATACTACCTCCCTTATCTCTTATTGTCCCGACCCCTAACTATCCCAACCCCCCGTACTCTTAGCCTCCTCCCTCCTTATTATCGATTACTATCTCACATTGCTCACATCTCTCTCTCTCTCCTCCGTTACCATAACCCCCAGCAACTTCCCTTCCCCCATCTATCACCATACATCTTATATATCCCGGTATATACATATATGTACAGTATATGTACCAAACGAATCAGCATATAACACCTTAAGATTAACCACCCAAACGCTAATCTAACATAATTAAATCTAACATAATCGCCAATTGATCCTATGAAACGTAGCTAATACTCATCAATACACACACATGCACGCACGCACACGGACACACACAAACACACACACACACACACACGACAGTAAACATACACAAGGTCTTCAACCACCAGAAGAGTGAGCATCTTGAAGGGTAATCACGAGATGGACTTCAAGACGTCAGCAGCATCTTGACAACAGTGGTAGTGGCTTCAAAACTGTCACATTTCTCCCCGACTTCACCCCTAAATCACACTATTATGTTTCTGTATAAACATGTGGTCTTGTCAGCCTCCGTTCTAATGCTTATATGTTGATTGGTTAAGTCTTTACTTTAACTAGAGATGTGAGAACGCTTAACTCACACTTAACACTTATACTTAACCTTAGCATTTTCATTGAATACTGAATATTTACTTACAACTAACACTTACTTTTGCACTTAACTCACACTTACTTTTGCACTTAACTCACACTTATACTTGAGTCACACTTAACTAACACTTACACTTGACTCACACTTAACTAACACTTACACTTGACTCACACTTAACTAACACTTACTCTTAACGCTTACACTTGACTCACACTTAACTAACACTTAAAAGTGACACAAACTTAACTAACATTTACATTTGACTCACACTTAACTAACATTTACACTTGATTCACAACTAACATTTACACTTAACTCACGACATAATGCCTGTGGCTAAAATAAGAAATTTCACCGAGACTTAATCCTGGCTAGAAACTTTCTCTGATCCCTCGTAATGAAGAAATACATTTTATGAACAACTCTCACAGTTGAAGACCGTAGCTACTAACAAGTGATGAAAGAGTGGTGGTAGTGGTGAGAAAGAGAGCGGCTGTGGTATTGATGGGGGTGATGGTGAAGAAGGGTGGTGGTGATGAGTGAGAGCGGTGGTGTTGGTGGTGTCGGTAGGGTAGTGGTAGCTGGGGACCTGGACGAGTGTGGTGAATGATAACGCCTGGGAAAGACTTGACCGAATCATAGACTGTAGATGATTGAGCAGAATGTGTTATTTAAGGAAGGTCTGGACAGAAGGTCGGGGATGAAGGAAGAGTGTGAGATGGAGGAGGAAGGGCCTGGATGGTGTGTAGGGGGGCTAAAAGGGGACTAAAACATAGCAAGGGGTCGAGGTAGATAGGGGGAATAGAAAGGGCATCAGGATTTTGCAACCGATTCGACAAGGGGCTGGAGGGAGTGCAGGTATTTAGAGTGTGGAGAAATTGGAATCAATTTTCGAAGTAAAATGGGGTCGAAGAGTAGAGTGGAGAAGCTGAATGTGATCTAGACGGAATATTACTTGTGTGGGTGACGTGAAATGTGTCTGGAAGTCATGAAGGTCAAGTACTAGTGTGTGTGGGGGGAGTGTGGGGGATGGAGGAACGAAGTGTGGAAGTGGAGAGGGTGTAGTGGTTGGAGGTGCGGTAGTGGAGGGGGTTCGGGAGGCACAGAGACGGGAGCTGGTCTTTGATCATCTTGTTATAACTTACGATCAAGTAAGCACTACCACCAGGAGGAATTGTTCGATTTCATTCATTTTTTTTCACAGAAGTTCTTATCACTATAATAAGCATTTTAAAAGAAGCGACAACCTTCGTTTTAAGTATAAGAATATACATATATTTTTTTTTTCTCTATCAACGAACATAAATCACCTGTAAAGGGGGGCATGAAGGTTGGGGGAAATTGTGGGGTAAAACACGGTGTAAAACTGATCTTATGACACTAAAATGGTGTTTCTACGTGCTCTGTACGCGAGGAAATTATTTATTTGCTTTAAAACGCCTCCGAAAAATCTGCCAAGTCACAACCAACCCGCCCGGTCCGAGTTTACTCCCACGTCCACTAAAAACGTAAAATTACACCATGACCTTTTAACAAAGTTACTTTCATTGATACCAGATATCGAAATAAATATTTTCTGTTTAATATGGATGGGGTCCGCCCCCAGGCTAGGAAGGTAGGTAAGGTTTGAGGGTTTCTTTGGTTGGTTAGGTCAGGTTCTATTAGGTTCTAGAAAATGTCGCTTCTTTTCCTTACTATAATGACAAGCACATATGTGGAAAAAAAATAATAAAATCGAACAATCCTCCTGGTGGTAGTGCTGTTGTCAGACATAACCAAAGTTTTTTTACACGATTTTAAAAACGTTTTTAAATAATCTCCGCCAGTTCTCAAGGAAACTCAACATATTATATTCCCTTAGTCTAAGCCTTTACATAAACATGGAACACTTGCTTATGAGTTATTCGTAGTTAATTTATGATAATAAACACACTATCGGCATCTAACCAAAAATACACGGAAACATTACCTTCTGAGGTGAGATCTGGTGTTGGAGCCGACACGGTGACAAGCCGCAGCACATCACTTAACCTTAAACAATGTATTTTTGAACACATGAATCATTTCGCACCACGCCCGCCCGTTAAGAGGCTATCACACTGGACAAAATTCCACCTTCCTCGAGAGAAAAATAAAATAGCCCGAAAACTGATCAAAGGAAAACGAAGGTGCGCAAAGGAGTTCCCGGGCAAGATTTGATTGCATTTCGGTCCAATTGAGGTTTTATAATATTTATAAATGAAAGGCATTAATTTTATAAAAAATAATTATTAGAAACCAATGTTAGGTGATTTTGATGTAAATATATTATCAGTGGTATAATTTTTATACATACAAATGAAAATTACAAATAACATTTCATTTTACTTTTGTTTACAGCCAATGAGCACTGCTAACGTGGAGTCTCAAACCTCACGAATTATTTGGACAAGGGACTCTAAAACTTTTTTAAGTTCCTTTGTTGATAAAGTGGAGAATGCAAAGTGATTGTGGGATTTCAGACATCCATTGTACCTCTTGGACTACCCCTCCATCTTTGTTATTCTTCTGTTCGAGTGATGGCAATTGAAAGTCAATTTTTTGACCGAGAACGGCGTAAATTTTACCCAGTGTGTTCTCCCTTTAACAAGTCGTATCCATCCAATGTTCACGAATATCAATAAATCAGTCAACCACTCACACACTCACGGTTACTGACGTGACGCTCTGCTATGCTTGACCTCATGACCTTCCAGTCAACACCGAACACTAGACACCCGGTTGAACGACTGAACTACACTACAGCAGTACAGAATTTCACATAATAATGTATTATTTAATTTTTCAGATATGTGTAGGATAATTCATTTGTTACTTTTCCTTTATTTTCTGTACGTACTGTGATCTTTTACAGAAAATTTTTAACCAACTGTTTTCTTGCTTATGTTATTTACACCTTTACTTCTGTTATGGTTTAGATAGTTAAACATTTTGATTGTTTTCATTCATAGTTCAAAACTATTTTTGTAGATGTTGTTTTAACATTAGACAGTTTTTATTGTCATTTTTTTTTACATCTATACCAAAAGAAAGTTTGTTTAATTAATTTTGTCATTATAAAGGTGATGTTTGTTGTGGATTTCAAATTTTATCTTATCGATATCACTTTACAAATTATGTCATTTAATGATTTTGAGCACATTTTGTATGATAATATAGTGATACGCATTTAGCCGTGATTTTTTTTTATTATTATTTAATGAGCAGATTATGTGTACGGCCGTCGGTTGATTTTGTTTCACTACTTTTCACACCCAACTCATTCTACTCACTTCCCACTCACCCTCACCTACTTCTACTTACTACATCCTACATCTAACTCTACCCCACTCACCTCCACCCACTACTACTCCCCCACTGGCCACTCATCTCTCACTCACCACTGACCCACTACTGCTCATCCTACTCCCACACTACCACTCACATCCCACTCCCTTACTCATCTCTCACTCACCACTCACCCATTACCACTCTCATCCCTCTTCCCACTACCACTTTTTTCCCACTCCCCCACTCATCTCCCATTCACCACTCACCCGCAGGAGACGGACAGTGTGCGACTGGAGGGAAACATCAGATGGGCGGACGTGTTCGTGTTGATGTACTCCGTGACGGATAAGTGCAGCTTCGACGACTGTAACAGACTCAAGTTCCTCATTAATTACAACAAACGCAAGAGACGCATTCCCAGCCCTACCTCCAAGGTGGGCGGCAAGGTGGGTGGGTGGGTGGGTGGGTGGCATTGAAGATGGATGGGTGAATCTACCAGGGTGTGTGGATGGTTAGGTAGTTGGGTGGGTGGGGAGAAAGGTAGGTTAAAGTTACGATAGTGGGATGCCATCTTCGTGGTGGTTAAAGTTAGGTTAGGCTAAAGGTTTCCCCCACAATGAGCTAGTGCATTATTCTTCTGATATCTCTTTACTGCTGTGATGGTCTAATGAGGTTCGCTAGACACAAAACAAATTATCCACAATTAGGAAGTTCATATAATGATCTCTGGTAATTGGTTTATGTTTCTCCGGCCTTCACAGTGCGGTGGGTTAACTGCATATGGTAAATGTTGTTCATCTTGTGTGTACCTGTGATTTTTTTTTTTCACAGGGATTAGCCCACCCGGGCACAGGTCACCGACCCACATCAGGGCCTGGGAGGTGAAAATATAATAATAATAATAATAATAATAATAATAATAATAATAATAATAATAATAATAATATCCATTATTATTATTATTACAACAATCAATAAAATTAATAGCAAATTAATACAAATAAAAAATAAAATATTCAAAATAATAATAATAATAATAATAATAATAATAATAATAATAATAATAATAATAATAATAATAATATCCATTATAATTATTATTACAACAATTAATAAAATTAATAGCAAATTAATACAAATAAAAAATAAAATATTCAAAATAATAATAATAATAATAATAATAATAATAACCATAAATAAATACAAAAACGAAGAAATAAATCAAGAGTGAGAAACTATACTGTATACATTATGTATGTTGTGTTGTCCTAGTAAGAGAAACAACTGAGATATTGTGTGTAAATGAGGCAGCAACCTGGGATTTGGTCACAATTTTCGTGATGCCATATAGCTGCAGGGTCTCCCATTAGACAACATATTATGCTTCCATTATCTTCCCAGGCGGTAGTACCTCCCTGTTTGGTAGCTGCTTACTACCTACTGCCTGCCTGTTGTGTTTCTTCTCTCTCTCTCTCACACCTTTCCTTCTGCTCCAGGACGGGTCGTGGGAGGTGCCAGTGGTGTTGGTGGGGAATAAGAAGGACCAAGGAGGGGACAGGATGGTGACCACGGAGGAGGGCTTCAAGCGAAGCAGGGACATCGGCTGTCATGCTTTCCATGAGATCTCCGTGAGAGAGAGCATCGAAGAGGTGAGTACCGCCATCCTCCTCTTGCCCCTTCAGGAGATTTTGGATGAATCCTTCCATCCCCCTATCCCTTCCGGAGGTGAGTACTGTCACACTTTCCATCCCTTCAAGAGGAGGTGAGTGTGGCTAATTTCAGACATACCTTCCTCCTTCAGGAGGAAGCGAGTACCGCCATTCCCTTCCTATGCCTTCTGGAGGAGGTGAATGTGGATGAATTCTATCGTCCTTCCCCTCATCAAAAGAAGGTGAGTGTGATTGAGTACTGCCCATGTTATGATTCAAAAATAGGTGAATGAGTAAATGGTGTCCCTTCAAAAGGCTAATATAACCACAATTATTAGTAATATGGTAGTGAGTAAGGAGGAAGTGAGTATAGTCCCTGTTCTCTGGATGTGAGTCACTCCTCGGTGAAGGTGGTTATGTGTCAAGCGTATGGTGTTGCTCTACTTTTTCTTCATGTTTTTAGTCTTTAACCTGTTCACAGTACTTGGTGGAAATAAGAACATAAGAACATAAGAAAATAAGGAGTCTGCAATAGGCCGGTTGGCCTGTGCATGGCAGCTCCTGTTGAGAGTTACTACCACTCTCTATCATCCACGAATCTACCCAGCCTCCCTTTGAAACTTTCCAGCGTTCCAGCACTTACTACAAAGTTGCTAAGCTTGTTCCACTCGTCCACCACCCTATTTGTAAACCAGTTCCTTCCTATCTCCCTCCTAAACCTAAACTTATCCAACTTGAATCCGTTGTTCCGAGTCCTATCCTGCCCGGATATTATAAGAACTTTATCCATATCACCTTTATTGATTCCTTTCACCCACTTGAATACTTCTATCATATCTCCCCGCACTCTTCGTCTTTCTAGGGAATGCAAGTTAAGTTTCTTTAACCTATCCTGATATGGAAGGTTTCTAAGTCCCGGAATCATTTTGGTCATTCTTCGCTGCACCGACTCTAGTGAATTGATATCCATTCTATAATAAGGGCACCAGAACTGAACCGCATAATCGAGGTGCGGCCTGACTAGCGCAAGATATAGTTGCAATAAGACCTCTGCACTCTTATTACTTACACTTCTAGATATAAACCCAATACTCTGTTTGCCTTATTTCGAACATTAACGCACTGTTTTCTAGGCTGTAGGTCCGGGCTTACAAGTACCCCTAGGTCTCTTTCACAAGTCGACTTCTCTAGGTTGATGTTGTTAAGGCTATATACATTGATAGTACCTATTTGTTCTTCCAATATTAAGTACGCTGCACTTGCTGGTGTTGAATTTCATTTGCCATTTTTCAGACCACCCCTGCAGTTTATTTAGATCCTCCTGTAATGCATTTGCATCCTGCCCTGAATTAATCTGCCGCCCTATTTTGGTGTCATCCGCAAACTTGCTTATGTCACTGCTGATCCCAGTATCTAGATCGTTTATGTAGATTATGTAATGACTGAGTGCTGGCAACAGTGACTGCTTTATTCTCTTCAAATGTTTGAATTTATATTGTGAATCACTCTTCCACAATCCCCTTACCCTCTCCCACGCAGGTGTCGCGGGTGTTCGGGGACGCCGTCCGCTACTGGCGTGAGGTAGTCAAAACGCCCAAGCTCCGACGAGCTTCTTCCGACCTCCATGACCTACCTGCCGATCCCCACAAGGCCCTACACCCACCAGTCAGCGTCCCAGGTCAGTCTCCTCCCCTCTGTCAGGCCCTCCAGGTTCCCGTCAGTCTCCCAGGTTAATTAGCCCCTCTTTTTGTAGAAATAATATTTCCGCCCCTTGTCCAACGTATAATGTAGTCTCGATAAAATCACACAGGAAAAAGGGAAACAAAACAATGGAGCACTTTAGCTTTCGTCTTTATTCAAGACATCTTCAGTTGCCTCTGAAGATGTCTTGAATAAAGACGAAAGCTAAGGTGCTCCATTGTATCCCTTTTTCCTGTGTGATTTTATCGAGACTTATCCTGTCCACGTTTCCATTGTGGATCTACATGAAATATAATGTAATATGTACAGTACCTGGATCTCCAGCGCTGAACACAAAAAAGTCAGAGCGACTTATTACTCTACTAGGCGCTTTGAACTGGACGTCATGAGGTAACTTTGACACTTGGTAGAAGAAACTTTATTGTTGGACGCCGTGTACCGGAGGCATCTAGAAGACATTCTCTCAAGTCAGTATTGTGTAATAATGCTGTGTCTCTGATCTTGTCAGGACTGTTGAGTACAGTACTCGATGCTAATATTCACCAACAGTTTTCAGAGCAAGAGATAGAGTTATCACACCCAATACATTCTCAAGTCTTAGCGATACAGCCTTTAAGTGTCCTGCAGTCAGTGAAAGATATTTAAACACAGTCAGGCAATGTGTATGTTATAGCCACACTCACTCTATCTTGTCACTGAACTGATGTGGACAGTGTGACGGTGTAGATAACTTCAGCCAGTTGTGTTCCTTAAAGTACAATTCTTTAAAAATTGATTTGTTATTACATTTTAAATTTGGTCTATGTCTCTGTAAATGTGTATGTATCTACTGTATGTTTTTATTTGGCAGTTGTATGTGAGTGCATGTGATAGTTTTGTATGTTCTATTTATAATCTGTGTGTGTGTGTGTGTTTGTTCTTCGTTTGTAATCTGCCTAAGTGCATGTACTCTGTAGCCTGTGATTACGCATTCAATCTATGTCTGTAATTTGTATGTGTATATCAGTATGTCTGTAATTTATGTTTATCTGCTGCTGTGCTTGTATGTTCTGCCTCTATTCTTCCTGTAGTCTGCAAAAACCCACGTGTGCACGATACATTCTACTTGTAATCAATGTTTGTGGTCTTTGCAGGTTCCCCAGCCTTCCCTCGTTCGTATGCCTCCCGAGCTGCTCGCAGGCTCTCTGTCCGAGCCCGCACCCACCCAGTCTCTCCCAGCCTTACTCCCATCGACCTCCTGTAGCGGACGCCTGCCTCACTCTGCTTCACCCGAACTCCTATGTGTATGGCCCCAGCTCTCATGTGTTACCCCCCAGTTGAACTCTAGCCCCTCTGTGTGACCTCAGCTGACTAAAAAGCACTCCTGAGATCCCTGGCTGACTCCCAACCCTTCGGTGTGATCCAGGCTGACCCCAACCATTCGTGTAAGGCTTCATCTAATTCCTGAACTCCTGTGAGCTCCTTATCTAAACCTAGTAGCTTCAATGTGTGGTTTCAACCGACCAACATTCTGCATGACTCCCTGTGACCTGCATCTCTGTTATCTAAGAAGACCTCCCTGAGTAATGCATATCTACTGTATGTCACCCTCGGTAACTCCGAACAGTATTGTGACCCAAGATAACATCAAATACTACTGAGACCCAAACAGACCTCAAGTACAAATGTGACTCCAGGTGACCTCCAATGCTACGGAGATCCTCAGTACTACTGTGATCTCAGGTAACCCCCAGCACATTTGAATAGGTTCAAATGATGCCTCAACGTGACTTACCAGGCATCTGTGTAATGCAGCACGGCTCTATGATCCAGCATATTTTAGTGTGACCCAACACGTCCCATTATATGATTCAGCACGATCCTAAATGATGCAACATGTTCCAGTATAATCCAGCACTACTTAGTGTGATCCAGAATGCCCCATGTGATCCAACACGCCTCATTATAATTCAATGCAGTATATCCCATTATGATTCAGCACGATCCTGAATAATCTAGAAAACTTTCAGATTATGTATTAATCTGGGTAATTTGTCTTGCTTGAGTTAACCTGACATACTTGGGTTGACCTGGGTACCCTAGGTTGTTCTGACATGCTTTGGATATGCCTTGGTTGACCTAGCATGTCGTAATTCACTTGAAATCCATTCGGTTCACCTGGCATACCCTTGGTAAACCTAACATGCCTTAAGGAAGGTTCTAGAATGACTGAATGCCCCAAGCTGACCTGATATGTCTTAGGTTGATCTGGCAGGTTCTGGAATGACGAAGGGCCTGATGGTGACTTGGCATGCCTTAGTTTGACCAGGCAGATAGGCTTACCTGGTATGCCCTAGGTTCACCTGAAATGGCCTAAATTGACCCTCTATGTCCTTTATTGACCCTGTATGTCCTTTATTGACCCTGTATGTCCTTTATTGACCTGAAATCCTCTAGGGTTGCCTAGCAGGCATCAGTACAAGCAAACAAGTCTTCAGCTTAACTCGGAACGCCCTAGGGTAACTTGCTTCCTTATTTCTAAGTACATACCCGTGAGAGAATAATACTTTTTTCGGATCACCAGAAGATTAGACACTAACTTCTTTAACCTAGTTATTAAAATTAATGCCCTAACACTACCTGGGGTAGATTAGTTTACATTTGATGAGGCATGACTGGGTTAGCATTAGGATGTTTAATCAAAAGGTGAAACAAGCTGGGAAGTTTAATTTTTAGATGATTCCTTTTTCCAAGATAATCATCACCATTCATACACAAACCCAAATACTGTAAAGCAAAAGCACCTACAGTGACCTGATACTGCCTGTTCCTAGTTGATAGTTTAAACCTTTAGACTCACTTGACATGCAAGTCTACAAACTTTGCTTCATCTTCGTCTGACTCCTTTATTTTCTTTTAAATTTTGTTGTATATTTATTTTCCTGATTTTCACTGAAAAGGAAAAAATACAAATTAAGTTAATTTATGATTTTTTTTTAAGTTTGAGAGTACAGTAATTCTTTTATTCAACCTTTGTCTCATTTTCAATAAATGTTACTCAGTAACAATGGTCTTGTATCTCTAATCAACTCACCACACCATAGTTTTTGTCATTTTTCTTCAGTTAGAGATACAGTTCATGGAATTTGTATTTTATTTTTAATATCTCATACCCTCCCTCACTACATCCTGGGATGTCCCAAACCTCCTCCTACAGGTCCCCAGTCATCACCACCACCACGTCATTCCATGACCAAAATCCTTCCTCCTAAAAACAAGCTTGGCACGCTTTGCTATAAACACATGAACTTGTACGGGGATTCCTCTCTATGTCCACTTATCCTTCCCTCACTACATATCTTGTTAATGTAACCCACGGCCCCTCAGATATTGACGCTCATTGAACATCTGAGGAAGAAAGCATGAACTTTGTTTCCCTCCTAGGCAAGTGCCTCAAATGCTTTGCCCCTTGCCTTGCAAAGGATGCAAGGAGGTGCACAATAAACTAGCCCTGCATTTGTGTGGGACAAATCCGAAACCTGAACCCTATCACACATGATCCCACACAAATGCTACCTTGAATAAATAAAAATAAATAAATCAGATTCTTCACTACCCCGAGTGATTTAATATAAAAATCTTTCATTAACAATTTAGTATCCTCGGCCTTTTTATACACATTTCAATATCTTGGATGACAAAGACTATTTTTTCCACGAAAACTTCAGTTTGTCGACCCTTGGCAAATTGGTGTTACTATTAACACTGCTTTATTAAATATGAATCCTTAAGACAGGAGGGTGGGGGCAGTCCCAAGATGGATATTACATTCACACCTTCAGGAGGTTAAATGTGATGGACCTCTCTCTCCAGACTTATTGAAATTCCTAAGGGGAGGTGTAGTAGGTTACATCACCAGTGGATGGAGATAGACAGAGCAGCAGGTGTTAATGAGAAGCTTTTGAGAGAAGTGAGTTTGAGTAACTTGATTAAGACAAGATGGGGATAAAAGAGAGGCAGAACTTAAAATGGAGTGTAGGAAACTGGCATGAGGAAAGAAGTAGTATAGGTCTTTTAAGAAATGAATTGGTTATGTAGAATGTGTTACGTAAACATGAGGGAAATGACCAGTTTTCTTCTATCCTTACCTCCTGTCCCATCTGCTTTCCACTTCCTGTTCTTCCCATCCTGTCATCCTCCTTATGTCTTCTCCATCTTCTGTTGCTCACATCCTCCCTTCTTTCCTCTTCTTCCTCCTCCAATTACACCCGGCTTCCATGCTTCTTCCTATCCTGTCATCCTTCATACGTCTTCTCCGTCTCCCTGCTCACATCCTCCCTTACTTTCAATTCTTCCACCTCCTCCAATTGTACCCAACTCCAGTGCTCCCTCACCCGACCTTCTCCTCTCCTTCACAAGCCATCCCAGAGTGTGTTATTGATGCTAGAAGCCTGTCCAGTGTGGCTGTGGCCCTGCTGCTCCCGAGCACTTACTAGGTTGTCATTGTTGCGTGTATGTGGTGGTGGTGGGGGCAGAGGGGGGGGTAACATTACCTTATCACGACCTTCACCCAGAGTTCAATTTGTTTTCTATGACGTCTTGCTAGATTTTTGCAGATGCATACTCATATGTTTGTGTGTTGGGGGATGGGAAGGTAGTGCCACACCAAGATATTTTCAGCTCGCTTGTTTGCTCCCCGGGTTACTGTCGTCATTTCACCAATAAAATTTTAAGTTCACTAAGTGTAATTCAAGATTATTTTCTTTAAATCAACACTGCACTGCACTATATATTGTCAATATGTTAAATAAATTTCAGAATGACCAATAATTGTACTGTAAAAACGTAAAAATAGTTTATGTTCAAGAGAGCCACAAGCAAGATGTTACCTCCACTGACCAGAGATACAAACTGACGCCTTGGTGGGTGAGTCAAGTGGCTGATTGGCGCACCAAAAACTAGTTTCCTGTACTCCAATTATGTTAAATAAGTGTTAAAGTGACAAAAAAATTGAATATAAAACTTTGAAAATTATTGAATAGTACAACCTTCTTGATATTTGCTCAAATGGGAACAAATTTAAGCCCTAGAACCGATTACTGTATTGGCGGACTAATATTCCAGCTGGTGAGTAAGCGAAAACATGTTGACATGATTTCGTAAGAATTTCGCTAACCGAATTTTTGTTCGTTAACTGAAATGAAGATTCTTATGGAAGGTAATTCGTTAACCGAGGGATCACTGTACAGCACTGTATTTATCTTGTAGATTTTTCTTCTACAGCTGTCTGCTGTATTTTCACTTCCACCCCATGAGACGTGTGTGATTCAGCCGTGGTGTGTGCTGTATTGGCCACCAACAACATCACTCCAACATACAAAGCTGATCTTTCTTCTCCATGAGATTGAACCCATTCCTTGGCCCGCCTGAGTTTAGTTTCACCAGATTTTGAAATTTCCATAACTTTAGTGTACATATACCCATACAGTATGCATTTCTAAAGTAGGAGTGTCATCAGACCATATAAAATAGACATTGATTGCAGTGTTACTAGACCAGAAAAGAACCATAAATCCACAATATTACCAATTCTTACAACAGATTAACCGAATGGAAAATTACTCACGCAGAATTATGAATTAAGTGAAAATTAGCCATAAACTGAAGAGGACATCCAATAATACTGGAATATAAATAAACAAATACCACAAAATCTCTTAATAATTATGAAATGAAACTTGAAATTCTGCAAATAATCATTAACACCAACAATCAATCATCACCTCTAGCAATGTCCAACAACTTAATTCACACCACCAACAACCCGATAGCACAAGTAATACATCACCAACCATCTGGTAGTCTCAGCAACCACATTGCAATCACCATAATATATATTACTTACTGCCTACCAGCGACCAACTGACAACCACACACTAACAATCATCTGACAACCATAAATGTAAGTACCTGCACAACTAGTGTTGGATCACCTTAAGACTAGTCCCCGAAGCACATTTCAACTCAAGATTAAACACCCTCATGCTATCAGTGGGTTGGGGGGTTAATCTTTGGTGGAATAAAATGAGGGGGGGAGGCTATGTTCAGGTGATCTCTAGTTTTTACATCAGTCACTATATAATGCTAACAGGCAACCAAAATACATATTGCCAATCATCTATCAGCCACTAAACACCTCTTGAAAACCATCCAACAGAAGTACTACCTGTTGTATATCAACCGGTAAACACAACTAACCACCTTTAATCCAACTAACACCCTCATGTGCCCCTCGTCACCCCAACAGACTCTCCATCCGAGTCACGGTGGGTGTCGCTGGTGTTGGGGATCCGAGGCAGGAAGACATCGGAGGAGGAGAGCCCAGAGACGGAGGTGGACCCCCCAGACCAGCCCTTCAGGAACCGTGCCTCCACCGATGGACACCTCCACCAGCGACGCCTCTACAAACTCAGGATGAGCCTCAACCTCCGAGCCTTCAACCTCCATGAGAGGAGGATGAGCATTGCCATGCGTGGTGCCACCTGTGGGTTCTAAACATCTCACTGCTAGGGGTTAAATACAGTACTGTACTGTCTGCTCAGAGTGAAGGAGACATCTTAGTCTCCACCCTACCTCTTTCTTCTAGCTTTTAATGTGAAGAAAGAATGTTTATATTGTAATACAGAGGCCATACAGTCAATGTGTTGTTCATAGATATGTACAGTATGTGAAGATTAATATTAATTCAACTAATGGATGGTCAACTGTCTCAAATGATTTAAAGACAATACAGACAAAAAAAAAATAGATAATACTGTATTTATAAAGAATCCTATTCACTAATTCCATATAGAACTTACTGATCTCATTCCAATCAGTGTCAGAGGTGATCTTTCATATTCATACAGCTGAGTACAATAGTTGTATTAAAGTATACTACAGCAAAGTACTGCTTGCCTCTGATGCTTAATGCTGCTACTTGATGTAACTCAGTAAGTCAAGGCCTTAAAGGGGTAGTAACACTTGTCATTCCTCTTGTCTCTACTCCAAACGTAGAATTTAATGTGTAATGTCCAGCAGCTGCAATAGAAGCTTGATATAGTATCTTCAAGTAAATATAAATCTTTGTACATCAATTACAGGTATGTAATTGATGTACTTGTGAATGCTATCTAAATTTCCTAATATCTTCTGTATCAGTTACTGAAATGGTAAAATTTTTCCATATTAGGTTAAAATAATTTATTGTGTCTATTAGGATGGAAATAATATTGCAGCCTTTAATTTTTGGAGTTGATGCACAACTGCATTTTCCATTTGCAACTTATATGATTATAATTGTTGTTTTGATGATCTTCCTGAACCATGGGGGTTACTTGTCCTCTGGCTGTGTTAAAGCATCTATAAATGTTCCATTTAACTAAATTGTAAATATTCAAGCAAGAATATCCTTTTGTGTTACAACTAAAGGGCTGTGCTGGGGATATGAAATTGACCCACTGACCTAAAATCAATTGTCATCTTCCTTGAGAGATGACAAGCCTATGTCTCATGGTGTCACACAGTAACAAGTATAACAGATGAGCCAGACAAAAGCCAAATACCATGACACTATCTACTGCAGCAACATTACAGTTTTGATGTGTAACATAGACAAACTGAACTACACTGTATATAGAGACAACACTGGTGTCTTTAGCGTTGTACATGTACACATGATAGCGACCTTAGGATTTTGCAAAACACATTAGCCAAAATTAACACACCCAACTTTGCTTCTCATATTTATGCTGCATTCACCGGCAGGCTCTGCTGAATGTGTTGTTGCAGCATCTCTGAGCCACTTGTAAGCTCCCAGTGAGGATGTGGTTTTGTCTATGTACAACTTCCCTCTCTTGCTTTGTTATATAGCCAAAGTATGATTTCAGAGAACCTGCTTTTAAGATGCACAGGTAATCAGATGTACCTAAACCTTTCCAAACTTAAAACTTGGTCAGGTTGAAACAATAATTTGATTGACATCACTGACTAGAAATCCTTGAGCTGGGGATGTCACTCCACACACTAATATATCTCTATCACTGGAAAAATGCGAACAAGAATTCTATTGCCTTTATCGTTGTTGTTGCTTTATATTGTTGTTGCATAAATATACTGCATATAGAGGACAAAGATTAACCTTAGTGCAGTGAAACTGGCCTTAAAATGAAAATGAAAATGCAGTACTGTATTATGATATTCTTCCAGATAACACATATTAAAACTAAAAAGAAGTCGGCACCTACAGTCACATAAGGCTAACAAAATGTTCAGAATTGGTAGAATAGTAAACTTCTCCCATGAATTTTGGGATAAGATGTAGAAAATGGGCACCACTTCATTTCTTGATGTTTTGAGAGGGAAAGGAAATAGCAATTAAATTACAAAAATCCCATGTTAGCTCACTGTACACTGTACATACAACAGTGTTTCATTAGTTTAACAATTAAATTTTTTTTTATATTAGTCAATGACACAAACAATCCAATCCTACCATAACCAATCCAAATCAGACCACACCTCACATAACCTAACTCAACCGAACAAAAACCAACAATGGTTTATTGCCATAGCTTCCGACATGATGGTCAACAACTAAATAGATTTTCATTCATATGGAGATTTATAAACATGATTTTTGTTACTTGAAATTTGCTTTTCCTTTGTTTACTAATGAAGTAGAAACCCATAAAGAATTTGAAATAAAATGGTTCCCTTTTTCTATACCTTCACAACATTCAGTAACACCTACCCCCATCCCATCCAGATAAGTGAACTGCAGGATCTGTATTGCACTGACCCAGTTTCTCTAAACTGCACTTACTGGGGATGTCAGTTCTCTGCTGGCTGCTGAAGCACCAGAAGAATAGACATCAGTACTCTTAATAAGTGAGTATGGCTCTTAACATAGTCCCTTTTATCTGTTAGAAACAAGACCATAAAGAAACTCTTGCATAGAACCATCACCGAGCTACACAAATATTTAATAAACTGTTACTGCTCAAACTTGACTGATGGCACAACATTGATCTCTACAACTGCATGGCTATCATGATACAGGCTGTATCATGATAGCCATGCAGTGTGTACAGTACAGTATTTCACCCGGTGGTAAGAATACTTGCTGTTTAGTGAGTACCACAATACTGTACAGTATTTAATGCTACAACGAAACTTTCACACTGTAGAAACTTGCCCCATTTTTATATCGACTGGTTCTATCTTCCCAATCCTAAGACCCCTGATTAAAGAGTTCATGATAAACTAGTACGTACTGGATTAATTATACACTTAACTTATGATTAAAGAAAATACTGGATTAAAGTTGAGGGGATATTTGAAATATTAAAAATTACTGTACTGTACTGTATTTAAAATTTTTGGAAAGTTCACATCTTAATTCAGTTTACAAAAAACTGAATTGTAGATCAATATAAAAACGGTTTATAACTAAATAAAAATCACCAAGTATAATTACTGTAGATTTAATGATGCTTATAAGTACAAATCTGATTTAGTTAATAGTTACTGTATTAATTCTATACTTCACTGTACTACATATCACTTAGAATTTAATTTTTTTTTCATAATGTTATTGGACACTGCCAATCTGTGGCCTATACTGCATCCCCGGTGCATATACAGTGAACCCTCGATAACTCGGCATTTGATAAATCGGAATTTCATATTACTGACCATGGATATGGTCTCGGAATGTATTACTATAACTTGGGAAATACCGAGATTTGTAAAATTCTCTGGGAAAATCTCAGCATATCTTGCCACCTGCATCACCTACCATGCATCTGTGTCACCTACTATGATGCTTTATTCTTCGCCTGCAGTGCTGGTAAATGTTACGTTTTTACATTTAGTAATTACATGTACACATACTGTATGTAGGTCGGTAATTTTTGGGTGTATTTTTTGTAGGAAGAGGGGGGGGAGTGCCTCAATAAGTCGGAATTTGGGATAACTCGGCAAGGCCAGAACCCGATATGAGCCGAGTTATTGAGGGTTTACTGTATGCGTTTTGTGATACCTGTACTGCATTGTTTAGTTATTTCTTTTTGCATATAAACCTGGAGTCCCAGAAAAAAGGTTTACCGGTATAGTATATCTATACAACATCTGTTTTGGTTGAGAAGTACAGCATACCAAGTTCAAATTTTGCATAATTTCATATACGCATAAAACTCAAAAGAGTATTAATAATAGGTCTGTATGAACTACAGATTGAGTAGCAAGATGAGAGACTCTAGAATTTAGAATTTAATTTCTTTATTTGTAAAAATTTAGGAATGTAAACATTGAATTTATCATACAATCCATGTAGTTAAAACACGATTCTTTCCACTCGTTCCTTCACACTGCATTTCAGCATTTTACAACCTTATCCCTTTAATTATATATCATTGCCAGGAGCATGTTTACAGTACAGTGCTACACAGTATGGGCTACCAACTGCCTGCAATAAGCCACAGATCATAATTCCAAACATCTTAAGAGAGGAGCAAAACACCAATTAACAACCCCTCCTTCCACTTTCACTAAAATCACGGCCAAAATAATTTTAGTACTGTACTACATCATATACAAATTTATGACTATTTTACACACACTTACAGAACCCTGTTACACCCACTTTCCATTAAACATAAAGACCAAATAGACATAACAGCAACATACAAAAATCACAAAAACTATAGGAGCTAACCTGTATAAATCCCCTTCCCAGTTCTAGGAACTGTATTGGGAATGAAGGGCCAGCTAGTCAGGCTATGAGTGGCTGATGTCTTGGAGTAGGTCAGCTAGTATCAAGTCCAAGTCAGATGTTCTTACATTAATTTTATCAGCAATGCTTGTAGGTTAATGCACTTGTTTTGGTCTTATACCAATACTACCATTACATTAGCACTCGCCATGATTATGAAACAGGAAGTACTACTTACAATCAAAACACAAAACTCTTGCCAAGTCCTGCAGTATCAGGTATGAAAAAGGCAGTGTAAGCCCATCTATTTTTTTAAAGACTTTAGAAGAGAAAATTCACAATGCAAAATTTTTTCTATATCTTACTGGTTTGGGAACTACTGGGATTATAACCAGTATGGTGTTTTAATTAATGAGAGATTAAAGAACTTTCAGAAAGTTAGTGGTAAACTTTGGCTTCTGGTTTAAAGCCTGGCTGAAAAAAACTGTGACCTCAATGAGCCTAAAAGGTGCTTATGGCTAAAGCACTGGTAGTCCCTCAAGATAATGAATGATGAAAAGAACGTCTTCCCGGTGGTTGAGCCCCCCATACTCATCATGTTGGTGTAAATAGAAAGCAAAGCAGGATGGAAAAAATGCAAAATCCAGATATAGCTCCAAAGTAACATGCTGTAAAGCAGAACAAGAGCTAAGACACTCGACTGTTAAATAACCTGGAAAGTAATATTTAATGAGGAAGTCAGAAGAAAGATTGCTATTTTCAAAACTGTTGCCGACCTGAAAACTTTTCTTATTCATCTCAAAAAGTCAGCTGATGTGGTAAAAATTCACTTAAAAATTGAACAACACAGAGTGCTGCCTGTCCAGTCCCTCATTGCTGTATCACTCATTTTGAGGGTTCAATATCAACTGATGCTTGATCAAGTGCAAACTAATCCTAACAAAGAAGACAACCAGGATGAATTAAATCAATACCCTCCAAAACTAAATCAGCTCTCCATGTAGGAATAAAGATAATCTGCTATGTTCTTGCACTGGCAGTTCTATTCTTCAAGTTTGTTCAAGAACTAGAAATAGACGTTAACAGATCCAATCCAGAATACAGTGGTCATAATAATCGGTGCTATGGAATATTAATACTGGTCACAGGTCACAGGGCAACAAACATCTTCCACTGTGAGTCACTTGGTGTTGTTGAGCACCTGAGATTCATCCATCATCCTTATGAGTAACTGTGAGGCACCTGGCATATTATGAGTACATTTGAGTCACTCAGCATCATTATGAACACCTGTGAATTCCTTGGTGTTAAGAGCACCTGTAATACCCTACAGATCATTAGGAGTACCTGTGAATCATTTGGCATCATCATGAGCAACTGTGATCATTATGATTATCCAAGTCCCCTGTGGCCATATGAGCACCTATGAAATGCTTGAATTATGACACACATCTTCAATTCTTGAACTGCTCCATGCATTTATTAACATGCTTCTTTTGCAACTGCTTCTGTGCATCAACTGACAGTGATACAAGGGTTTCTTCCAACAACATTCAACACCAAAGACAACATATGGTAGATGCATGCACTTTTAGAAAAGATAAGTGAGCCTATTCAAGTCATGTGCTTAGCTGAACTCTAGCCACCATGGATAATATACCGCCTAGCACCTCCTGCCAAACCACTCACCAGAAGCAGAAACATTTACTACCACAAGCGAGTACCAAAAGAAGAATCTCTTCAGCGGTGATGAAGAAGGGCAAGTATTGGGTGTGATGCATCAGCATTAGAAACATGTGAAGTGATTTATTGCTAGGAAAGGCAGATGGTCACTGCTTCATGGTTTTCATTACCACACGTTTTATGTACACATACACCACATGGAGGGCAGGAATATAATTTACCTTCAGTATTCTATGTTTTTACAGAATATCATCGCTTTATAATGTTTACTAATTTTTTCTAAACAATTGAGGGTGTGATCAGTTTAAAGGTTAAATCACTTGGTATCATTATGAGCACCTAAAAACCTCCTTGGGTCTTTATGAACACCTATGGGGTGTCTAACATCAATATGAACACTTGTGATAGACCTGGAGTCTTTATAAACACCACTTCTACAATAAGGGATTAATTCTTAAATCTTAACTTCTAGCAGTGCCCACAACCAATTGGCTTTTGTAATACAGCATGTTTACAGATAGACTAGAATCAACCTTTTTCACCTATAATGCAAGCAATTTTTTCAATCCATTTGCATATTCTAAGTCAATCACGTCCTTCCTCCCCATCACCCTCAAATAAAGGGCGAACTAGTTGCAACAACTGCCCTCCAGGCCAAGCCTGTCAAAGCAGCAAACTCTGCACCAAGGCTATGTCCACCATCTTTGAATCCATGACCAATTTAAGATTTAAAATGCAATTACAGATGAACAATCCATTAAACCAAGGGAGAAAGAACAATATCTGAAATACCTGCCAGTAAGACAAGGGTGGAGAAAGTGCTCCAAGGTTTAAACAGACATGCACCTCTAAGAGTCTACCTTGTTTAATTGCTATCTATTGTAACTAGAGCCTTAAAAATAAATATATGGACAGGTATATAAAGATTAATTTGGTTGGAATCATCTCCAAAGTAATGAACCAATTACAGTACAGGGCACATACAATTCAATCAGTAACTAATGTAGGATTTCACAACAAGAATCAAGGGAACCTTAGAGGTTCTTGTTCTTCAATCTGCAATAAACCAACCCGATCTTACTGGACTATACTCCCTCCTAACTATCTAATATTGTTTTGCATCTTTCTAAAGAAACTAATGCTTCTGGTTGATGACTGGTAGTAAAAAGACTATGGTGGTCCTATGTACACTCGGTAAAAAACTACAGGACAGGTGGGGGTCCAATGATTTTCCAACTTAACATTTCTGTTGTCTCGCCTGAATGCGAGACATTTCGTACTTAATTTGGTAGGCTGAAATTACCTATTTCATTTACAAAATTATTATTTTTTCTTTTTACTCTTATTTTTTTTCCCCTAGGCCCCATTGTGGGTCGATAACCTGTGCCCAGGTGGGCTATTCCCAGTAAAAAAAAAAAGTTACAACATGACTGGAGAATGTCAGTACCGTATATCGAGATAAGTTAAACTGTATGTTATATTAAATGTTCCACACACCGTGGACTACAGTAACCATGGAAGTTGATGAGTTGCCATATAGGAATGCATTACAGGTATATGATTGGCAGAATTAGTGGATATGGTAAAAGTATAAGATTATTTTGAAACCGAATTTCGAATCTGTATTTGTATTGCTACTTCACTTTGGGCTAATTATGTCATTCTTTATCCGTATTGGAAAATATACCAAGCTGTTCCGAAACATCTGATTAGCTCCACAGTTCATATAATATACACATTCTTAATGCAAGATATCAGGAAATGTTGGTAGCACTAATTATGAAAATCACAATACAGTGGGGTATGCTATAACGAACGGATCCTACTACGAATATTCCTATAACGAACGGTTTTACCTATAAAATTGAGAATGCTATAACGAACAAAACTCCTACAACTAACATTTTTTTTTTTTTTTACTAATTTATTGTTTTTTTATTACAAGTATTAATGATATTCTTTATTTCAGGGGTTTAGATGCATATTTATGCACTTTTTTAAAATTTTTACAATTTTATATTGTATTTTTCAGTGTTAAGTGGTTGTATTTGGGGGCCTGGAACGGATTAATCCTATAACGAACCAATTAGATTCGTTATAGCATACCCCACTGTATTAGGTTACTACAAAACCGCTCACAATGTGTATTCGACATGGAGAAATGGGGCATAGAGTTCCGATCAAGTTTTAAATTAAGTGTGGCAGCACTAACTCTGACTCGTTTCAGAGTGCCGATCACTTGTTTTGAGCACGTGTGGCCAAACCCATACACGCGCAGGGCTATCAATGCGAGGAAAGCCTCAGAGGCCTTTTTGAAACACTTCATTTGTAGTGTCAGTTTGCTTAGCCCAGTAATTGTAAAGGCAGTTTTTTTTTACTGAGTGTACATGTAAACATTATCTGTACTCCATTTTTCAATTCATTTCCATCCAAGGCTTGGTCAAAGAATGGCCAGGAGACCAGTCATTTGTCTAGCTCAAAGTGTTCATCACAGGAACACACTTTCCCTATAACAGCACAATACATCTTTCAATCCATATTGTTTCTTTTCAAACCATCTTTTTTATCCCTTTTTTTTTCATTCTTTTTTTTTTACCCTTTATGTTTTCAAATTTTATATTTTAAAAATCAAGAAAAGAAATTGCCTTCTTCATGTTAGAATTAAACGAACAGTTTGAGTCCATTGACAATCTTTACAATGTTCTTGGGGATTCCTAACACTAGTACATGTATATGCAGAAAACAATGTAAGTGAGGAAGATTATGGTTTCCAAAACATTGCTATATTAATGCAGATAAAGGCAGATGAATGATGCTTCAATTATGAAATAGTTCAACAGGCAGATGTTTTAGGAAACATTCAAAACAATGCAGTTAGATCTTGATCCCCTTCTGATGCAAAGTGCTATAAATTTTAAAATCATGATCCCACTTCTACAAGGGCTACCCAGTTCACACACTTACTTGGGTCAATAAAATGTATGCTACTCCACTGGGTTATTCCTCAATGTCTAACTGCCACATATTCAATAAGCATGCTGCTGCTGTACCATGCACATAAACAAATGTGGATTTAGTTGTACCAATGTATGGATTTAGAGATGAGATCAAAGTCTATCACATTTTATTTCTTTACCATACAAGAGGCAAATCCTCCACACATACAGGCTGAATGTATGAATAAAACACTGGATATAGACTAAAGTATAAAATACATTTGCAGACATCTACAACCACTCAATCCACAAAGAAAATAAAAGTAAAGCATTACTTAATAATAACCATAACGGTTCAATAACATAAGTAATTGAATGTTACAATCATTATTTCATACCAATGACAATCGTGAACTACACCTCTTCAGTTTATTCACACCTACTTATTGTACAGTTGCACCTAAGCATTCTTTGAAAGTGACCTATTGCAGTGACTCCTATCACTGTCTTCAATTACTCATAAATTTCTAAAGCTCTAATAAAAAATAGTGGTGATAAATAAAATAAAAAAAATATGTTAACAAAGCTACAGTCACAATTCTTCTGAAGCCCATACATCTGAGACAGCAATATTACCTTTGGTGCACAGACCCCTCCTCTCCATGTCCTGGAAAGAAGTTACACCATAAGTGAGCCCATATCATTTGTTCCCTTATAAAGCTTTAAAGGCTAACTTGACACACATCTAGAATTTTAATAATCAGATAAAAGAAGTATTCAGTGATTTTAAAATGTTCTAAATAAATTACTTTGTATCATTTAATGAACACCAAGCTCACTCTTAAAGGCAACACTTTAAAAACAATATAAAACATTTTCTCAATCATCAGTCAGCAGGGCCTTGTTTAATAGTATGATAAATGATGCAAAGATTAGTGCACATGACACATCAGTAATTTGACACTTTCTTGTTTTGTTGATATTAGAAGACTCACTATCATTTTTTAATGAAAACCTGATTGATGTCACAAGAATAAAAATATATATACAACCCAGCAAAGGATTAATTAAAATTTAAGAACAAATGTGGAGGACAAATTAAGTGACCAAAACCCTTCTTGAAAATTAAATTAATCTAGACAATAATTTTTTGGAATCAAGATAAATCAGTGTTTATCCAACCTTGGTATGTAGAATCTTAAAAGTAACAGTTAACATCACATACTTTGCAAAAATAATATTTATTTACGTCTAGTGGGCTCTGATGCAGTGGGCGGAGGAGGGGGTCCCCGCTTTTCTAGTTCTTCCATATAAGCCATTAAAATCTTTGACCTCTCATCAGGCTGACAGTCTAGCACAAGGTAGCGACGATCCTTTCGCAAAACTTCCACCACATCCCGCATGTGTTGTTCACCCTCGCTACACAGCTTTAAAGACCGATGTGTGATGCTCTTCGTTTCCTGTTAAAAAATAAATTCATACAAATTATGATATTCTATAAAAATAGGGGTCTATATGGAATCACTAAAGTGTAGAGTGAATGCATTTATGGCCATAAAATCACACGATAAATATTCATATAGAAAATACCTGTTATATTTCTTACAAGTGATACACAGTGTACATATTAGTGTAATAATAACTAGTGGAATTTATATATTCATAAGGGCAAATAAATAGAAGTACAAGTGTACATATTAGTGTAATAATAACTAGTGGAATTTATATATTCATAAGGGCAAATAAATAAAAGTACAAGCCTTCAACTCTAAAATGAAGATGCCTAGCTATCCAGATGGTGGTGCATACAGCAGCAAGGCATGGGTGAAATTTTAGGGAGTTCAAACTTGAAATATCAATATGGCCAATCCAGATGACAGGTAAAGTGTGCATACACTAGTGTGATAATACAATTTATAACATTGTACATTAAATGGTGATTTTTACTTGCAAAGATCTCTTTTAGAGGCATAATTGTGAAGGGAAGGAATAATTAATTATATAAATAATCCTAACCATTTGCATCTATGGGACTACAGTACCAAGTCTTTGACCAATAGCTTATTTGCACAAAATAAACATGTGATCTATTGAACGGCATTAAACCAGAAAAGTCAACTTTGCATTTACATTTCAAGGTTAGAAAGTTCCATCTGCCTACTAACCAAAATAGTGATTATATATATATATATATACATATATATATATATATATATATATATATATATATATATATATATATATATATATATATATATATATATATATATATATATATATATATATATATATAGATAGATATATATATATATAGATATATATAGATATATATATATATATATATCTTGATAAAATCACACGTTTTCATTGTGGATTTACATATATATATATATATCTATATATATATATATATATATATATATACATATATATATATATATATATATATATATATATATATATATATATATATATATATATATATATATTTTTTTTTTTTTCCCAAGATCCTCAAATCACCTTGAGTAATTCCCTGAAGTCTGCTTTAGCAGCAACCAATTTATCCTTCAGGTATTCACGAAACTCCCGCTCACACTTCTTGTCAGATGATGAAAATTTGGTGTAACGAGGATCATCCTTAAGTTCCTTTTTCAGATCTTTCCAGTTTGAATCTAAATTCACTTCTGGCAACTCTTCCAAGAGTTCCCTAATAAAAGAGATTTAGAAATGTTAAATACATACATAAAATAATGGTGGAAATAGGAATACATATTTTTTATAAGGATGCACAATAAACAAAACTTAATAATAATAATTATATATATATATATATATATATATATATATATATATATATATATATATATATATATATATATATATATATATATATATATATATATATATATATATATATATATATATATAGTTTACATAAATAAATTGCACTGATAGGGATGGATATTCAGGAAGCAGCAGTATATATGAATAGTATGGTGTCAATGGGTTTTGGGAAAGGAAGTGATGCTCACTTGTGTGAAGCAATAAGTATGCATTTGAGCCTTGTTGTGGAAGAGGAGCACAAGAGCAGAATGCATCTATAATAGCAATAAGAAAGCATGAATGACAATGACATTACATGAAGGGATAATGTTTGTATTATCTGCCCTTAATTCAAGCCACCCTGCATCAAGCAGCAAAAGGCTAAAGAGCAAAACATTCAAACTGAGATAAAAGTAATTATTGAAGTCTGAATACATAAACAAATCAAATATAAACTAAACTTGGTAACTAAAAAGGGGGCCAAGTGAGTGAAATATAGTTGGACAAACGGAAATTTAAAATAAAATAAGAGTTTACAAATTCCAAGAGTAATTTATGCATAGGTAATAAAATATGAGTGTGGAGATACTCAGGAAGAACATGTCTGCTCCAATGTCCAAATTGACGACAACCTTACCTGAACTTTTCTCGCTTGCGTTTTGTGAGGTTCTCAACATGATTATTAAATAGCTTCTCCTTTTCTTCACGCTCAAGGGCTCCAGCAGATTCCCAACGTGAATCTTTCTTTAAAGACTTCTTTGCTTCCTTCCAAGTGTAATCAGTGCTTCGTACCTGAGGGTGTATACTCATTACTGCATATAAAAGGTCTTTTCACTAAATTGAAACCTTAAAACAAAAACTGAGCACACTTAAAGAATTAAAACATTTAAAAATGTACTCCTAATAATGGTAATAAAACAGAAACACTTACCTCTAAAATTTAGAATATCTATGATTTGTTAATTGCACAAGTTAAAAAAGCAGATCCCATTTTTTATTCAATTAACTGAATTGCACACCTCTAACTTACCAAATCTGCCAGTAATGCATTGAAATTATGAACGGCTTCATCGTGTTTGTGCTGCATGCGCTCCTTGTCACGATCACGAAGATGGCCAGCGAGGGCCCTCTGAACCTCCTCCTCTCTCTTTCTAAGGGACTCTTCAATCCTCCTCTGCCTCTCACGTTCTTCTTCCTCAGCTGCTTCATTTGCTTCCCCATCTTCACGTTCCTCATCAGGCCCATCACTGCCTGTGTCTTCCCCCTTATTCAAGAAATATGGATTATTAATTAGCTATCCTGATGCACATCTAACATGAAAAATCCCTTTTTTCTAATTGATTATTTATACATAAAATGAGAATTAACCCTTTTCATTAATATTCTATGTAAAACAATGAACAAGAAATATTGCCAAGCATTTTACCATTAAACCTCAATATGACTATGCAATATATCCATGCATATCCTACAGACACTAATCAAAGTCCGTACCATGCTAGACAACTTGGATCCCCTAACCTCGCTCTTATGAGTGTCCTCCACATCGTCGCCAATTTCTTGGACTGCATCTAAATCTTCCTTCTCTCTTTCCTTCTCCTTCTCCTTTTCTTTTTCTTTCTTTTCTTCTCGGTCCCTCTCTTTGTCCTTCTCCTTTTCTCTCTCTTTTTCTTTCTTTTCCTTCTTCTTTTCTTTACGATCAGACTTCTCCCTTTCTTTGCTGCGGTCACGAGAATCTCGACTCCTCCTTTCTCTCTCCTTATCTCCTCGTTCTCCTCTGTCACGGTCCCTTTCACCCCGATCTCGTTCACGGTCAGTACGATCTCTTTCTCGTTCCCGGTCACGTTCCCTTTCCCTATCCCTGTCACGGGTCCTTGACCTGTCACGGGAACGCCTCCGTTCTTCCTTAACCTGCAACATTAAATAAAAATATCTAAGGATAGAATCAAATACGGTCATAATTTAAAATAAAAATATAAGGATCATTGCAGCGATAATACACATATGCAATATCTTCATACAGTACAGTAGAATCCCAGTTATCCGGCGGTCCAAGATTGAAAGGAGCCAGATAAAGAGTTTTTCTGGTTTCTTGAAACTCACTCTTAGGAACCCCCAATAAATCCTACAGTGTATAGTGGTACAAGCTGACCTTTAAAATTCGTCTCAGAAAAAATGGACTTCTTTAACACACTAAAAAGTGATTAACAATGCTTGACCTATCTTTAATTCTACATACTTAATGGGTAGTAAAAAAAAAAAAAAAATCCAGCAAAAAATTTAAATACATTAGATTAAAATGTAGCTAGTCCCAGGCAGATGTGCAATACAAGGGAGAGCACCATGGTACTCAAACATAAATATATCTGCCCTATTTTGACTCTTGGCTTTCATCAGTGATTTTGAATTTAGAAACAAAAATATAATTAACGTTCTGCATCATATCTAGTACGTACTGATACTTATACATGTGAAATTTGATAAAAACATCTATAGGGATATGGCAGTTAAGCTTTAGACATAATAGTCTTGAGAGATTTGACTTGTTTGAGGTGCCTAATAACAGGTACAAGAACAAAAAAGAAAATGGTGAAAGAGAAACCATGAGCACCTGTAATGTACAGCACCATTAACAATGCCATGACATTTCTTAGATGAACAGATATATAAATGGAAGAATCAACAGGAGCAACCTTAAACAATTCCTGAATTTTATGGAGACAAAATTAATTCAAAGTTTTATATGAATCATACTATTGAGATAAGACACAACATTATTATTGACTTAAATTTAACATATTTACAATACGATTTATACAAACAGATGCAGTGGAGTCACTTAGAAATGGGATTACTAAACCTAAAGAATAAAATTCCTTACCTTGATCATATAATCCCGGAACCAGTCTTCACGCTGAACCCCAGACACCACAATTTTATATCTGGGATCATTATCAACTTTACGTTTTACATCTGACCACCGACTATGGCAGTCAATGTCTGCTTCTTTCAGCATGATGAAGAAGTCCTTCTTGATCTACATTAGGGAGAAACAAGGCACTATGTTATTGATAGATATTATTTGTACCAATGGTTCTGAGATTAAACTAATGATAACTGCAATCTGTAAGGTAAACTTGTTAATTTTTCCAGGTCTCCATAACACTGCTATATAACCTACATCCTGTAGGGAGGGAAATATCTGAGCTTAAGGGAATATAAGTATCTGAAAAGAAAAGGGGTTTAGGTTTAGATAAAAGGGGTTTGAACCATCATCCTTCCCTAACTATTGAGTATTATGATACAAATTATTCACAATACTGGTTGGTACTTTGTGCTCTTTTTTTATAAGTATAATTCATTTTTCCATGAAAATTAATATTTTCTAGCTTTTTGAGTTGTACATTGGCAATATTGATGTATATTTACAAGTTAGTTTTTCTGATTCAACCATGCATAAAATCATTACAATAAAGGAGCTCTGAGATTACATTCTAAGGCTCGGTAGGTCAGGATTACAAACAAATCAAACACGACAAACTTTCAATGCTTTTGATTTATGGCTTCACAAGGATGGCATAACTAATTACCAAGAAGAATGCATACATTATTGAATGCATACAGCACTGAAAGTTGGCCTCTTTGTTTGAATGACTAATATATCGGCTACAAGGTAACAATAAAGAAATAAACATCTGTGTACGGATAAAGAAACAAGTGACTGCTGAGAATTATTTTCCATCACAACCTATTAGCAACTACAATTCTGATGCTTTCCATCAACTTAAGACTAAAATATTTTATTCCACAAATCTGTGACTTGAGTACATTCCTCCAGAAATATAAAACTCCATGAAGTATCTTACATGATATCATCATTTCTAATTATCAATTCATCAACTAAGATTTGATAAGTACTGTAATTGATCTTGAGTGCAAACTGAATAGGTAGTATTGACGATAAGTAAATGATCATGAGTGCAAAATTAACTGTAGTATTGACAACTGACTGAGTAAAAACGTAGCAAGAGATGGCTCAGTACCAAACATTACATGCGCTTGGCTTTATCCCGCTCTGGGGCAGAGAATAAATAGAGAGGGTGGTGGTGATGGTAGGAGTGGAGGTGGAGGGCGACTCTCGACCAAGGGGGCCACCCGGACCTTCCAGCCAGCACCGGCAGCGGCAAGAGGCTGCAATGCGCGACCCAACATCAACAATTTGTCATCAGCAGGGATGCGAGCAAGCCCACACTGCTGTACATCGTGTGGGCTCGCTCGCACTGCCTTGGTATAAGCTGCACCAGGGGTTTACGTCTGTTCAGCGCCACATGAGACTGCTTCCGTGGTTCATATAGCTGGTGCGTTGTGCTAAATACGGTTTAAGCCTAAAAACACCTTCACTTTTCTCTTTTATATTTATTTGACTTAAATCATCTCATTACAGTATGTCAACATTACACATGCAACTTGAATGAAATGACTTCCAAATATATCCCATATATGAAAATCTTCCATAAATCATTTTTATATTCATTTGTAGAACCATTTACACATCAGGTTAATCTATCTTTATCTTTCATTCATCTGTACTAAAAGAGAGGGTGTAGTAGAGAAATATGACTAGCCTGACAAACATCAAAGCTACAACCTGAGACAGGAACACATATTTATATATACAAACGACATGGCCTGGAAAGACATCGTTTACTTTAGACTTCCTGAAAAGAAAAAGTTTATTTTCCTGAAAGCAAAAAATAAAAATAAAAATATAAAAGAAACAAAACAATGAAAATGATTTACTATAGCTGTGGGTCTCAACTAGGCAATCACACACCTAACAAGCTTAGATATCACTAAAAGCATCATTTAAAAACAATAATAATTCATCACTGATATTCCTGGGCATATATACTGTATATAAATATAATTTATATATATTTATATGTATATATAAATAAAATAACTTTTCAGTGGCACTAAATATATAAACAATTATATTACTGACAACAAAACTAATGTGTAGATGTTATACTGTACAGTATACTGTAATGTGAAAACTATTCAAAATATTTCATTTGCATTTGGCATGAAGTTTGAACAGCCCAATTTATTAGTACAGAACTGTAATGAAGAAACTAGAGGAATTTCCACCTTTTTCTTTCATTAACTCAAATTTATTCAAGATTATTTCAAATAAAAAGTTAATTTATGCTAATTAATATTGTAAACTGGGTTAAATGCCTGAAAATATAAACTTGTAATAATAGAATAAGGAGAAGATTTGAACTAAAATATTCATTATTTTATCTGAAATTCTACTCATTCCTCTCTTGATTGTACCAGTTAATGGAAATGGTATAATAAAAACCTGACCAAAAATTTCTCATCTCAATTTGATGCACTAGAGAAAAGTGAAGAGGGTGGAGCTACTGCTTACTGAATATTGTTCAAGCGTGAGCTGATCATCGGAGTTGGGAAATATCCCACATTCTGGATGATTTAATTCAAAGATAGTCTTGATGGGAAGCACACTCTTGCATCAGAATTCCTTAAACTGCTTGCCTTATTCTGCTGTTAAGACACTGGTTAAACAAAAATCCAAAACAAGTCATGAAATCCTACAGATTAATGCTTGTAACTAACTAATGTGATCTTAATGCAACAGTTATTTTAGTATAACAATCGTATGAAGTTTAAAAAAAATATATTCTTAATTAGCCTGTTCACAATGGTTATCTTAAGGAGTTTCTTCACACAAAGAATCAAACAGTTCATAAATTTGCATGGACTTAAACCATACGGGGGATCTTGGATAAATATGCCACTTCTCAAATTCAAAGCAGAATCTCCCCATTCAGAATCAAAACACTTTGTACCAAGACAATTTAATTTACATTGCAAGCAATTCAGTATTTAAATTTCAATATCAGTTTATTAATCCAACAATATCTTTATTTGTTAAAATCACTGGTCTGACATCTTGCTAATACTGTATATTTACTTTCAAGAGGCAAAGAGCATGTGCTACTTTAGCTTATGTGCAGCTCGAAGATGTAGGCAAAGAGATAAGTACGAGAATATTGATTCACTAAAGATGCAATTACAAATACAGATAAACACATCTAACTACCATTATTGTATATGATTCTGAATGGGCTTCACTACACTATGTAAACAATCAGCCAGAACTGATGTTAATTATTTTAATTACTGAAAAAAAGTAAGTTAATTCTATGATCTACGCTTTCAAACTCCATTAATAACAAACACTACACAATTAACAACTGTTTCTTATATATAATAATGACTAGTTCAGTATTCTCATAAAATATTGTAAAAATCAATTAACCATAACCTCATAAATCCACCTACATCCACACAATTACCCAGTCACCTACACACTGCAGCTATATACTGTATGTAGTTCAGACAGTTAACTTTCAGGCCCTCCCAACTCAATGTTCCCCTTCAATCTCAGCTCAAAATCATACTTAATAATGACTATGAAAATCTTCAACCCTTTCATCCAATTTCAATAACATGCATCTACTTTTTCTTGATGTAGTCTGGTTAACTTGTTTAAGTGATGAGATCCTCATTTTCTTTTTCGTGAGGCTCTTAACAGTGAAAGCTGAATGAAGATTATCACCTATGTTGACACTAAATGTTTCAGACAATGCTTTTAGGGTTTCAAAACTTAGATATGAGAGACTCAGATTTAAAATATCAAGGGAAGAGTCTGCATCCACCAGCTGATTAAACACACAAATTATACATATACAATATAAAAACATAGAAATAACAGAATTCTTGAAGATATTATATTGCTTAGAAAGTAAAAAAAATAACATGTCAAAGATGGTAAAAATATCACAAAATCCTGTTCCTGCACTACACGGGGGTAAGTCAACAGAAATGATTATACAATATTTACTGAATAGCTGGGTGTGTTATTATCCACTGCCATTAGAAAAAAAAATAAATAAATAAAGATAATGCAGTAAAGAGCTATTTCACCTTTTGGAATTCATACAAACCTACATACAGATAGATACTCACATGTTGGCATTTGCTATGGCAAACACCACTCACCTTTTCTTTCTTTTTCTCAAAACTCAGCCAATTCAGCACACGACCCCAAAAAAATTGTGCCAAGGAACAATATGGTGTGCCTAATAATAAAAATATTTGAGACTGCTATGTGATATTTTAAGTTTAGCACTTTCGAGAATTTACAAGTCTTAATTTTTTATCCAAAAGCAGTATAGTTTACATTTTGAGTGAAAGTTGGAATTAGCTCTTCTTTGGTGCCAAAAAGTATTTTGGTGAGGCTGTGGCACATCACTGGTACAAAACAACAAACCTTGGCATCTATTACTTAGAAATCTTACGACATGAGTTTTCGAATTTATATCCTTCAAATTCTAGTTATAGTATATATTTTGTGTGTATATATATATATACATATTCTACCTAATCCTATATTATTTCTAAAACTTTTTAATTATTTTACTATGATTATATCAATCAGAAGTAACTACCAATCAAGAGAGGAATACTAAAATATGTAGCGAGTTTCCTCACACTTTCCATATTTTAATATTTTCTATATCACATAAGAATGTTTCAGCACCAAAACTATGGCCCATATATCCCAACAGAAACTTGTGCACACACACCACAGAATGAATATAATATTATTTGCTTCAAATTATGAAAACTAAGTTTTGAAACATCACATGTGACTGGATTGGGTTGACACTCAAAAAATTTATCTCTTGGTTTCAGTTTTTTGTTCTATTTCATCAACTGTAAATACTCTGGATATCTTCCAACAAAACAAGGAGCTCATGTTACTCAATAAAGAGACAAAGTGAAGAAGTGATAGTGAAATGCTATAAAATGACAAGGAAATTCAGTAGACATCCTTTTATACAATTCACACTACACAATAGCTATTTTAAGCTCTATTTAAAAGAAATTTATGTGGTCATGATAAAAATCTAAAATAATATTCATCATGTTAATAACTTGTTTCACTTATTAACTCAGGTAGTAAAATGCTGTATTGGTCATGAGTCATGCTAGAAGCTAACCTTAGGTATCTTCCCATGTGTCAGCCAGAACAAAGCATTTCATTACTACCATATATAACCAGGAAAATGCAATTTGATCACAACACTTACACTGTTAAGTGTTGTTTCTGTGCTTTCTCTTTCATTAGTTAAAAAATTCCCAAGAACACCAAAATAAAGACATGCATACAGCACCTCACATGCTCAGCTGGCTAAATTAAAATACTGTACTATACAGTACTGTAATCATAAAAAAAAAAAAAAAAAATCCACTTCATTTCTGCACTTTAATTTGGATGTAGATAATGAGAAAACAATTCAAGCATATTGCCCAAAGGTGTTTCCATACCAAGTTTCAGGTAAATTTAACTGGTGGTTTAAAGCAGTTAAATGCTGATTATTGACCACAGAGCAGGGCAGCAGTTCAAATCAGCTAAATAACTGATTACAAGAACAAGCTCTAAAGAGTCGTAGTTTCTGCTCACTTGAGCAACTTGAAGAAATATACAAATATAAACTTCCAAACAACTCATGAGTGATTTCAATCTCAATCTTGATGTATCAACAGTAAGAATTTAAATAATTAATGGTTTATAACCCTTTCCTTCAAAACAAAAAGTTAATCACTAAACAGGTACTAGCAACAATCTGTAGTGACTATGACATTTTTTTTACAAATCACTGGAAAGTGGTCTATGTTGCCTTTGATATCCAAGGAAACATTACCTTCCGAGGTTTGTTTCTTTGCCTACCCTTACTCTACAGGACCCCTTGTTGATCATAAACTCCACAGGATCCTGATTCAATTATGAGACAGAGAAGCCACTATGAATATTAACCCAGTAATGATTCACAAGTTGATACAGGCTTTAACATCAAAAGATGCAAAGATAGTTGTGACTAAAATGACTGAGGAAGATTCTTACAAGGCCACCCTCCCAAGAAGACATGAAGTATCAAAACCTATATTCTGTCCACAATTACATCAATGCAATTTCTATGTAATGTCATTCATTACATGAAAGTGGAAAATGTAGTAAAAATACATGATACCATTAACAATTACCAAATTAAATACTGAGAAGGTTACTCCCCACCCTACTAAAGTTCCAGAGGATTAAATAATCACAATTGTATATAAATTAACTGAAGAAATCATGGTATCTATTATACATTTTGTGGGAATTATTTGTAATGCATTTTACATTAACAAGTGTTCACACATAGCTTGTGTTTGTTACAGCTAACAAAATCACCACAACAGTACTGCCCGTTATCTTCTAAAAACCAAATTCGCATTAAATCGAAGTGTTGTTTCAATAGAATAATTTAGTTTGGTACTTGAAACACAAAATACTAAAAAGACTGAGTCTACCCAGATGTACCTCAGTCCATCTCCTAGAATAAACAAAACATTGTTTTTTGTAGTATTATGTTAAAACAAACACTCATAAATCAACACGGCTAAAATTATGGGACGTGAAATGGTCTGTTTACTAGCGAATAGCTGATGGGAAGATGGGGGTGGGGGGAGGTGAGGTGATATGTTTGACAGTTGATACCAAGGTCTAGTGCTTATTTATCTATCTGTCCGTAAGAGTGACTAAGTTTTTCTCTTATAAAATGTCACTGAACTGACATGTTCTAACTAATTTTATTACAAAGGGCTAAAATTTTTATCTCTTGTGCAAAATATATGACGTTAATATTCAAATTATTCGCTGTCTTGCAAGGATTCTAGCAATGCAAATTATATTCTCCTAACTTTAGTCTGTGATATTATATAAGATAAAAAGTTGAAGCCTACTGTGTAACCACCAAACCCTGGCTGGGAGGGAGGGAGGGAGGGAGGGAGGGAGGGGAGAGGTGACAGTGGAAGGTCTAATGAAGTATTTATTTGTTTATTTGTGTCCTCTAGATTGAGTTTTTGTTTTTTATTTATAAAATGTCACAGATGTGACTGGGGAGAATGTAATTTACATTGCTGGAATTCTTATAAGATAGTGATTAATTTGTATATAATCATGCTATAGTTTGTACTAGATAAAAATTTTAGTAACCATTAAGTACATTATTTTGAATACATGTACAGTACAGCTTTGCCCTTAGGACAGTGTAGCGTGCCCAGAGAAACATTAGGCACAAATTTTAAAATAAGATGCGCCAGATTGATTTGCGCAAATTAGGAAAGATTTGCTTTAAATTAAAACATTGTCCTTAATTGTGGGTGTCGCTTTAAATCAATAATCTTAAATTGAATCACTTTAAATCGGCGTTTTACTGTAACATACCGTATATATTTACTATAAAATAATAAATGGCAAGAGAATTTGCACATTTAATTCTGAAGATACAGTCTGCACATTATAAATGACAGTAAATAAGGCAATAACCATGTTCAAAACTTATTTATTGATGATATGTCAAATATCTCCCAATCAGTTACTAGGAACCTTTCTTGTACTTTATGGAAATCTTCAACATATATAACTTCTCTTAAGAACAAATGATGTTGAGATAATAAGCAGTTATATAGCTGAGAGTAAGGTTTTGCATCAGATATTTAACCTTCAAATGTCACATGGAACACAGCAACAAGACATAAAATCAAAGGAATAATTTGAGATCACTTGTAAACATGGAAAGCACACCTGAATAACATTCAGCTACAAAATGTAACACTTTGTTTACATGCACCACCAAGACTTGAGTTAATAAATTCGATTTCTCCTATCTATATATTCCTATATCTTTAAAAGACTTAAAAATAACTTTCAGAAAGAACCAAAATAAAACAAATAGTTTCAATATCAGAGCACAGACAACTTTACAATAAATGTGCACTCACAGTATAAGATTATTATATTTTGTGAACATGGCATGACCTTCCCAATGGTCATGAAATTCTAGATTCACTAAATTCTTTTACTATAAATAGTAAAGAAGAAATGAGACACCATACTATAAAAGCAACAGTCAGCATAAACATGAGACTTGGGTTGGAACTAAGGGTCAGCCAGTGTTAAGACATTATTTGGAACTATGTTTAGGTCGAGTCATGTGACCATAGAGAACATCAACCTTACGAGATTAAAGGAATGCCACACCCCATGTGAGCAGAGATGAAATTTGCCAATTGCTTCAAATTAAAACTTGTTCCATCTTCACTAAAATGTTTTACAGAAATTCAATCCCCAAAAACAATAGTCACCCTGGACAACAATAATTATTTCTTTTTAATAATGACAAATCAACTGAACAGTAAGCTTAGTACTGTAGTTACAACTACAACTCAGATTTCACACCATTAAATCCAATTTCAAACTACTGGTCAGATTGACTGAAGTAACCTAAGAATTTTATTGAGAATATTTTTCCACCATTATCTTCTACAGTGGTACAAGTAATAATCTACAATTTTTGTCAAAAAGACACAGCTCATTAAATTATCATTCTCAAAACCCTTGTAGTCTTTCATCTAACATTGCAAGAATGGTTATGACTTGTTGCTTTGTCTGACGTGACCACTTTAAATTTAGCAATGCTGTCAGTGAAACATTTCCTTCAACACACTTACAGTTCCAGCTACTGGGCTATTATTTCCATCTCTTTATGGCTTTCTTTTGGTCAATACATGGACATAAGTCTTCACAAATTTTACTCCATCTAACTTTACCAAATTAAATATTTATAAGAACATTTTTAATCCATGAAATCATTAAAATTTCTTGGTAATTCAAAACCAAGATCAAATAAATTTAATTAAGTTTTGAGGATTTGTGTCAATAATCAACACCAATTAATATCTAAAATAGGATATGAGAGTAACTTTTTCAGGTTTTTGGCATTGAAAGCTTCAACAATTTACATTGAGAAGCTTGATCTTGGAAGTATAATCATCCAACATATCTGTGAAAAGCAAGCTATTGTGTGTGTGTGCACCCCACCCTTCATAGATTTCCCCAAATCTAACAACACAAAAGCTTACCTGTTCACGCTTAGCAGCCTTTTCCTCCTTCTCCCGACGGCGAACCTCCAGCAGAAACTCGTCAAACAGACTCTCCCTCTCTCGCATCTTCTCTATGTTGCGGAAACGATCGTCCTTGCTGTATTTGGCTGCAAAATCACTAAATGACGACTTCCCATTAAGTCCAGCCTCCTCTAGTAACTTACGAAATTCCTCCTTGCGCTCCTTCAACTTGTTTCGTTTCTCTCGACGCTCCTCCTCAGCCCGCTCTTTTACATACCTGTCATGATTAAAAAATGAGTAGGTATATACACACACAAACTTTAAACCATTCCTCAAAAAAGTAATTTGTAAATTGATGTTATGATACACAGTCATACATTAAAATGACTTCAATAGTCAAGGATAATTAATGCTCAGTTCATTGTGTCAGCTGATGGTCAAGAGTGTCATTAAAAAATCTTTAGTCAGGATGAAATGATGGAAGATTTCTTTGGAGGTTGAAAAATTCATTGTTCCAAAACTTCAAAAACCCATGGGATACGGTTAAGTGGGAAATAAAATAGTTAATGAGTGATAAGCTATAACCCAAAGGTTTGACTTAAAAAAAAAAAAAAATTCTGGCAGCAGCACTGGGTTAGCACTTAAGGGTATAAATCTATACTTCTGATAGGATTTACACCTGCCCTGTCTTGTACTAGAACTCAGTTGTGTACCAGACCAGTTGCTTTGATGGTTAGTACAAATTACGTATACTGTTTTATGCATTATTTCCATTTCTAATCTTGTACTACTTACATTAAATTTTTAATCTTACAGTCAATGTTATCTTTTATGTACATGATAATTTGTGTTTATGGCAATGGGTCCACATATGAATATATTATATAACCGAAACCGAGTTCCAAAATTCCATTACAAACACAGTCAGTTGGCAAAATTCACATTCGCCAAACTCTCAGCCTTAAAGGTATGTAAACTAGAGGGGTTCTACTGTCACGCTTGTTCATTTTTTTTTAATCTGAGGCTGTTTATTGTCATCTATTTCAACTGAGTTACAAAACAGAATACCCAAAACTTACTTCTCAAATACCTGTTTCCTTTCCCGTGAAGTGAGAAGAAGGTAACGGGAATCAAAAACAATTTTGGAGAGTTCCTTTTCCCATGAACTGAATGCAGATACCTGTTAATAGAGGAAGGAAGTTGTACTATCTAGACATAAATATGCACCCAGATTCCAGGAAGTGTAAAACATACAAATGTTATTGACTGCCGAGGAAAAAAATTAAAAAATTATACAAAATACAGCAAATAGATTTTAAAATTAAATTTGAATTTAAATTTACACAAATAAAAAAAAAAGTAGCAACAGACGAGGCAATCCGTTAGTATGAACATGAGACTTGAGCACAGTACATAATATAAGATACACAAACCACATTTTTCATTAGGCGTATTAAAGAATCCTTTTCTGATTGTAAAAGTATATGTTTAAAAGGTTGTTATCCACTAAATACAAAATCTACATTACCACTCACCCCTTTCTCTGCCAAAAGATCGCGGAACTGTTTCATGCGAATTTCCAGGGGAACAATAGCACGTTCCCGAGCTGCTTTCACCTCTGCTTCAATTGCAGCTTCTTTCCCAATGTCTATGCGTTTCACCTCTTCCTTCACATGCTGCTGTCAAATTAAAAGTCATCAATTAAAAAGTATAACCTATAATAAAATTTGGGAATACTGTACAAAACTCAAATTTATAGAAATATAAGTCAAAGAAGTTTTTCCAAAAGATAAAACAAGCTTTTGAGTTTCTCTGCTATATTTCTCGAAAAAATACACCAATCTGCTATGTTAAAAATAAAAGTATCTCTTTCCTCTACATTTCTCTAAGTTTCACTAAAAAAGACAATAAAATGCTAAATATCTCAAGAAAAATTCTTAAAAAAATGTGTACAAATAAACATGCTACTATATTTTTCTAAAAATATATACTTATCTACTATATTAGGTACCTCAAAAAAGATACAGCAATCTCTTTAGCATCTAAAACACACACACACACAAAAAAAGTACCTAGTTACAAACTGCCCAACAGGCTCACAGACAAGACAAAAAAATGGCTATGTCATGAAAACTCAGAATCCAGGGCTAATACAGTTTACATACATGACAAATCACAACATTAGAAGACTTTTGCCACCAACCATATACTGTAATGTGATGCCGTGTTACATGTCTGGACTACTATAAATACTTTCCCATGTGCAGGAAAGTGAGTTGAAATAGTTAAATCTCTGTTCTCAGGTTATATTACCGGGTATTTATCTTGGTAGCCAGAGTATCATACACTCAAGCATAGCTGATACCACATCTGTAATGATTTTCTTGAAAGAGGTGCCCTATCATGCTTTTCCATCTTTCTAATATATTTATAAAAGTATTAAAAATCTAAGGGATAACTGGGAAATTGTCAAGTGCCATTCACAGTGTATAGAGGCAGAGTGAAGCATGTGACACTATATCAACAAGAAGTGGTTCTCAGAGAAAGTAGTTCCATGTCAAGTTGCATAGAGTTGCCATAGTTGTGAGTGAGAAGGAAATTTGGTAACTCAAGGAATGCAGTCTGCAAATGGGAGGTAAATCATACTGCTCTGGTATGCAATTCAAATAAAATTTTACAAAAGTATAGTCTCGGTTTACGCGGTCAATCAAACCCGTGGAGGTCCGCGTAAAACGAGAAAAGTGTAAGCGAAATAACAGAACATATGGGATTAATTGAAATAGAGACTGGGACGACCCCCAGACTACCCTTTTTCCGACACAATACGTACGCTGTAGTAAAAATAACATCTTAATTTTATGAAGGTATGCACACACAATTAATATTTAAGAGAAATATCAATAATATTAGGTTTTTTAACATTTACGTAAGTAGAAGAGATGACTGGGCACACGGGGATGGGGGGTTGGTTCCGAGGCAAAGGGCAGATTATTGGCCCTCACCTGTATCACTTGTATCACTATCCACCACAGAGGCTTGCAGGGCCTCTTTGTCAAACCCCTGAAAGTCCATATCCTCACTATCACTGACTTAGGCTGGCTGTGGTGGGTGGCGGGTGAAGAACTCGGTAATGTTTTGTTGACTGCCCAGTCAACAAAACACCCTGCCCGCGCCGCTTTCCGAGTAAATGATGGAATGTACCGCGTAACTAATAATTGCCGTTCTGGTCAGGTGACGCGTAAATGACCAACTGCATAAAGGAAATCTGCGTAAATCGAGACTATACTGTAGTTGGAATGAAGGATGTCAAGTGTTTCAGATATCTGGGCATGGAAGTGTCAGGTAATGGAACAGTGGGTGAGCAGGCTAAATCATGGAGTAGCAGTGGGAAGAAAATTAATGGGTGCAGTAAGAAGAAAAGTAATGGGTGCAGTAAGAAAAGTCTGGACAAAGAAAGTACTGTTGGGTAAGTTTACAGTATGGCAATTTTAAGAAAATATTACATAACAATGAAGTACTGGGTCTGGATATAAGAGGAAGAAGCAAAGTAGAAGTGACATAAATGGCAAGCTTGCAGAGCATCATGTGGGGTGAATAGGTTGCAGCACACAAATACAGAAATTAGATGGAGGTGTGAAGATGAAAAAGTGTTTGTCAAGGCTGAGCTGCATGTGCTTAGTTGGTATGGAAATTCTGTAAGACTGAGAAGTGAAAAATATAAAAACTTTTGATCAGGTAATCGTATGGCTAACCCATGCAAGCATGCAAAATGGCTGTACAATAATAATAATGATGGTGATGGATGGTAGGTATGAGAAGTAAAAACCAAGGAGTGAGAAGAATGGGATGGAAAAAAGCACTAGAACTGAGAAGGGATGAACTCCAGGTAGTAACAGTGTGTGAATCAGAAGAGCATTGAGTTGAATGGTTAAAAAGGTGACGTGTAGAGACCAAAAAGCTAGAGTTTGCTTCCTGTCCTAAGGGTTGCCAATTTGCTTCCAGAACACCCCTAATTGCCCCATTAGTGAATGGGTGCCTACCAGGAGTTGGGAAAGTGAAGGCAGGTTGAGTACATTGTGGTTATATTTCCTTCCTGTGTACCTTGACTTAGTATTCAGTGTCTTGTATCAAAACACTGCCCAACAGGTCATCAAGCCAATGCGATCTACCAATTTTTTTCTGAATTGATTAAACAAATTGAAACATAAAAGTAGTATTTGTTATTGCTCTTGATTCCAGCTACCATGAAAAGATCCCATGAATAAAAAAAAAGTTTGTGTACAGTATAAACCTATGCTGTACAAGTGTATATGTACAGTCCCCCTAAAAAGTATCTTTAGATTTTCTGTCACTATAATTTGGAACGTGAGACGAAATGCTTTGATATGATCCACAGTGCATCATCATAAGTTGGTGCACCTGTTCACAATATCTGCAACAGCTGAATATGGAGGTATGATTGGGGGTCGTCCTTGTATGGCATACTAAATACTTTCAATGTAAACAAGAAGTCCATTAAGCTATATTAATGTATGCATCGTGCTGGTTAGAAGAAAGGCATACGTAAACAAGCCACTGACTGATGATTATAATAACAATGAAATATACATTAAATGGAAGGGTTTTGGAACATCATAACGAAGACATATAAAAAAAGACATTCCACCATTACGTTGATGTACTAACAGTTTCATTCATTCCAAGTTTCACAGTATGCTTTCTCCTGTTGTTCACGATATGTCTGATTCATGAATAGTGACTAAGCAAATAGTACTCGATATTAGAGTGAACAACAGCAGCAATATACAGGTAGTCCCCGACGTACGACCGACTCGACTAACGTCCACCCGCACTTATGACAGTCTCAGTTGTACCAAAATGTGGTCAAATTATGTATTTTTGAGTCCCAAAGTCAGTACACAGACAAAATTTTCATCTGTAATTCACTTTAAAATGGCTGGCAAGCTTAAAAGTGAGTGTTTTGTGGTGCCGAGAAAAAAAAGAGAGACCCAAATTTTCGATTTTCTATGTGTTATTTAAGCATTTCCGACTTACGACCTGGATGTCGGTCCCTAACCCTGTCGTAAGTCGGGGAGTACATGGTATCTGCCTAGCTATGTAAATTGCATTGGTTTAACACTGAAATAAGGTTTCAAATCAAGGAACTTGCAGGCAACAGAACCCCCCGTCCACCTATAGTAAGACATTTGTGGTTGTAATTTTCAGTGTGGCACCAATTTTTTATGGAGCCCAGCCCATTATGAGTGGGTTCCTGTCGCTGTGCTACCTCAGCGTTACATACAGTATACCCTCGTTGTATGGGGCAATGATAACACCTCTCACATCTTGCCATGTCTCCCAATAATTCCTCGCTCTTTTCGATGTAAGATCCTGTTGCTGACTGCCATGGCAGTGATATCAATTTCTAAAGCCTTGGAGGATTTACATCGCTCAAAAACATATATACTGTACTCATTCATACACAAAGGTCGCGGATGTAAGACTACCAACCATTCAAAAACAGGAAGAGTAGCATTGCTTGGAAGCCTTGAACCCACGGCTAATGATACCCTTTTTGGGGACTGTACAGTATTATATATATAAAATACAACAAAAGAAGATATTTGATCATCATGTAAAGAATAACATAATAGTCAAGTTTATTGTCAACATCATAAACCCTCAGCTGGGTGAGTTTTTGATGTCCTACTCCCGAGTGACAAAAATAAATAAATAAATAAATAAAAAAATAAAAAATTTAAATATTTGACTTTTATTCCATATAAACATTTGACCTAAGCCAAAAAGCAGGAAAGAAAAATAAATTCTGACCATTACCTTGATGTGAGGATTCTAAAGGTCATAGGTTTCCGTTTCTTGAAATACATTATATGTACTGTACTGGCACCTTGATATATGACAACCTAAAAACCTTATTGTGTTTAATTTCAGCAGTGCTTTCTTCACTTTCCTAATAATGCAACTAATGTATTAGTAACACCCTGTAGTGGCACTGGTGTGCAATTCACCAAAATGCTCTATTAAAATCTTAATATTTTTGGTCTATTTCCTAATAAAGTGTGCTCAAGATTTGAATTATCAATCAACTTTGTCTCAAGCACGAACATTTTCCTTATCAGAATTTTCATCTTGCACATCTTTGTTCAATAACATTGACACACTGTGATCTGACAAGATACCTTGATGAAATCGGGATGTATTTCTTACGAAAGGCAAATTGATATTCCCCGTCACTATATATATATATATATATATATATATATATATATATATATATATATATATATATATATATATATATATATATATATATATATATATATATATATATATATATATATATATATATATATATATATATATATATATATATATATATATATATATATATATATATATATATATATATATATATATATATATATATAAATAAAGTGGGAAGGCTTTCATACGAAACTAGGACCCGGTAGCGAGTGCAAAAATTTAGAACGTGCACTGCCTTACCCGAATACAGATATTGCGGTCGTCATACCTGGTAAAGCGTGAAAGCTCCATTACTGCACTATTTTCTTTTACAGCACACACACACCCTTTAATATGGTACTATGAGACAAGGTTTGGACAGATGCTAATCCTAGCTCAGTGCATTAAGCAGCTAATGGGTTACCCCACTCCCTCAGCATATTGCCATCAACTTGAGGGTTGTTTTACCACCAGGAAGCACACCCTGTATAGGATTCATTCCTTTGCTAATAGTGCTTATATAAATAACTTATTTCCTTATTTATTGCAATCTTTCATAGCTCTTACATAAAAATACCATATTGTTTAACATGTTAGGAAGTGCAACACTGAATATTATTGATAGATAGCTTGATCAAATGTATCAAAAATGTTGTTTAAGTGACTACTTGATATTAATATTAAAGTAAATTAAAGAAGAAAATAATAATTGTCAACATTTTATTTTCGTTTTACAAAATTAAGTAGCAAATCATATAAGCATTTTGATCGTATGTTTCGTGGGGGTCATTCACCACTGACTAAAATGACGAATACTGCGCCTAAATCATTACTTTATTATTCCACTTGGACTAATGCTACTGTCAGCTGTCCGTCCATGATCCATCCATCTTCCGTCTGCCCATCTGTAAATTTCTCAAACTTTCAACTTCTCAAAAACTACCGGTTCAATTTTGCTGAAACTTTTCAAAAAAGTTCTTTGCATAATCTTCTTTCAAAATTTGTCCGAAGTCAGCATACACCATCCAAGATGGCTGCCATTACTAAAAATAGAAAAAAATGTAAATATCTTCGTGTCTGAAACTTCTGGCTCACTTGAGCTAAAACTTTGCACAAATGTTCCGTGGATGGTCCCCTTGCAGAGCTGTGTCCAACGTCAGCATTTGTCACCCCAAATGGACGTTAAGGCACGAGGCTCTGGCATGACATTACACGCGATATGTGTGATATCACACCTGAGGCCCATATAGGGGATTTTTTCGCACGCTTTTTTTGTAACGGTATTTACACTAAAACTAACCTATCATGAAGTTTTGTTAAAATCTTTATCTGCTTTATGACTATTAACTATAAAAACGCTAAAAGAGGAAAGGAGGGGGTTTGGCGTTGACCTTTAACATTTCTGAATGCCAACACCAACGACGACGATACACATGCCACTGGAGACGAGGCATACGCTCCTGCTATTCATGCAGGTAAACTAACAATATTTTTACACGCAGACAAAATATCAATACATTTACTGCAAAACCAGCTTGGGAGTTGCAGCTATGACTGAATCTGAGAGCATAAATAAATAAAACAATGTGAATTCAAAAAAATCCGGGGTAGTTGTACTGGAAAAAAGGTGTCTGTCTTACACTAATGATAGTTGGGTGTGTAGCAGTGGTTGCTGCAGCAGTTATAGGTGCATCTGTACGAGGTTTCTTGGATAAAGGCTCATCATTTGATGGTTCTTCAGCTTTGTTCTTCAATCCCACAACTTCTGCAGGCGGGGTATTTACCATCTTGTCAACATCAGCACGGTCCAACAGATCAGGGGGTTTCTCCCATACAGACGTTCTGGGTACAAAAATATAATTTTAGTAACTTATTTTTTCCAACTATCTTAAGCCATAATATTGTAAGAAGCTTCTTTCATTTCAGAGTATACATGTTGAGAAGGCTAGCAGTATCAATAAATATTAAGATTAAGTGAAGCAGTGCAGTGCAAAAGGAGATTTCTGGTAAGACATTAGTTACAGAAACCAGAGAGGTGGGGAGATTGTAAATGAAAGATTGATTTTTTTCCCTAAAATTCAGTATTCTCATGTAAATGGGAGTTATATAACAGTTTGAAAAGGAGCAACTTATGAGTACTGTCCTAGAAAATATAGCTGACCTGTGTGGCTACAAGAAAATAGTTTATGCAAGTGACACCAGAGGGCCTTAAATGTGTGTAGTGTGCAGTGTATGCAATCCACTTCCGATGTTTTATTATCTAGTAACTTAGAAAAGTAAAACCACATTAAGGTTGCTGTACAGTGTATGTGAAAATACCTCCTTGGATTTTCTATTTACTTATCTTGATGTTTCACTGAGGAAACTATGAACATTTGGTTTGTGGGACAGATGTGCCATCAAAGAAATCAAAGTTAATATCAGAATTAAGAAATAACTGGCATAAATTTTGTATGTGGTCTCCTTCCTGGAAATTCAAAAACTAAGTGAAATTAAAACACAACTTTTTCATATAAAAATAACAAATAACATAACAGTAACTAATGAACTTTACAAAGGTATATCAGGTAAAAAACAAAAAAAAACAAAAATAATATGAGGAAGAAACTTACTTTGTTGTGGGATTATAAAAGAAAACTCTGCCATCACCAGTCCACACCACACACCAGGGGGTGCCTGACACAGGTTGTGAAGATACTGGCCGACTAAGATCTTGCTGGCTTTTTTGGTCGTCTGTTTCACCATCCTGCAAATCAATCCACGTGTCCTTGAATAAAATATATGCATGAATCACATGCACTCCAAGATCTCACAATGTAAAAATCTAGGATATAAGTATACACAGGGAATTTGTAGCCTTTGAAAAGAGCAGATTGTTGCTAGAAAAAATAAAATAAAAAATAAATCAAAATTCCCCAAATACATTTTGGCAAAGCTCGAGACAACAGCTGTTTTGAACTTGAATTATAACTCCATGTTTCCACCTATGTGAGTAACAGACGTTCAATGTAACTAACTCACTGAATACACATCATTTAGCCGGGAAGTATGCCACATCTTTCGATTCTAATTTGCTTCTTCCTCTATCCCACAAAATATTTAACAGCCAAAGTAAATCTACACACCTTTCACTGTAAACCCACATCTCTCTTCCCAACAAACTCTCTATAATAACTAAAAACAGTATTTTCCCATTTACGCAAAAATTCCAAAACAAACCATATGGTACTGCTTTTCTATCGACTCAGAGGTATTTTCTAGGTTCATAAATGCTTGTCCATTCTGCCCCTTCTTCAAAAACATTTTACTACACACAACAGATCCACCCATCATTCTTTTCTGAACCCACACTGCTCTTCACCTAATAAACTCTCCATTTTTGCTTCAATTCTCTAAATAATAAGTCCACCATATACTCTCCCTGGTATATATATACAATACACGTACTCAAAACTTTTTCTCAATAATGTTTACATTCATTCTCATCACAAAATTTTTCCTTTACATGCTCTCTGCCATTCCTTTGGTTCCCTCCCCATTATACATAGTTTGTGCACTCCACCATCTGTTTTATCACTATTCAAACCAAAATGACAAAAGATCACAAAGTGATTTTTAACTCCCCCAGTCCATCAATTATATATATATATATATATATATATATATATATATATATATATATATATATATATATATATATATATATATATATATATATATATATATATATATATATATATATATATATATATATATTTATTTATATATATAATGTACACAAGTTTTCGCCTTAACCAGGGTTTTTACTACAAAATTAAATAAAATAAATTTTACAAAAAAAAAATTGTTCATAATATCCAAGAGAGTTTATCATCAGTATAAAATAGGAAAATTAAATCCAATGCAGTACTAACCTTAGAATCATCGTTGTCAACTTCCATTGATGTATTTTTGTCATCGGGGGATGTCGAATCCTCTCCATTCACTTTAGCAGAGTTACTATCTTGTGAAGATTCTGCCTCTGTGCCAGGTGCCCCAGGACCAGAATTCACTGATAAACTGATGCCCTGTGCCAATGCTAATCTTGCAGCTGCAAAATAGAAAGAGCATTTTATAAAATCTCATGTTTTCAATAATACATCCCCAAATATACTGTAAATAAGAACCTTAAGAATGAAGTAAGATATATAACTATGCTTTATAGTGATCTGAACCAAGTACTGTACAGATTCAAAATTAATTAAATATCATACAACAAAATCAGATATATATACAGAATTCACAACTCAAGTACTGTATTTCAACTTACCTTCCAGATCTTTCATGGCCTGAGGTTTCTCCCATACAGATTCTTGAGTTTTGGAATTGTAATAATAACTCCTACCATCAGGAGCTTTGTGCTCTGTCCAGTGAGATGCCTGGGCTACCATCTCTGGGTCTAAATTGGAATCATCAACAGAAGAGGAGGGAGCTCCCTGTGTTACTACTGTTGTACTACTGGCAACCACAACACCACTATTTGCAGTATTCACCATGCTGTTCTCACTTCCAGGACCATTGCTGCTACTAACACCAGAAACGTTGCTGCCTGCCTGCTGTCAATCAAATATCATGTAAGTAAAAGTTTATGACTCAAATTCATTTATCACAACTTTTTTTAACAAATGTAGTATGAAAATGGCAGGAATAAACTAGATGGATGGATATCTTGATCTGATGTGGAAGATACACCATAGCAGAACATATTTGGTTGAGCCGTTAGAATGGATAACTGGGAATTTAGAGAAAATATGCATAATTCTTGATTCTGGCCATCCTGCTCCTTAACAAAGAGAAAAGCTTGTACTGCACAGAACTCATGTCCCACTGCCGTGACACAACATATTTTCGAGTGAACTAGTCTTTGGGACCCGTTACTTCCCATCATTAAGTCCCTCATGAGGAAATCTTAAAACTTTTGTCAGCTACTTTCAGTTCGTGTCACAAGAGCATGCATTTTCCCTTTTAATTAATTCCCCAAACAATATATATTCTACAGGCCATTTAACACTGTCAATCATCAAAATAAATACCAAAACTGGAATATTACAAGGGACCTAATACTGTAATCTATTTTTTTTATAGCTTAACCATTATAATGTCAAAACTACCCATACTCCCAGATCCCAAAAAGCATTTAAAAATAAATCTCGGCTAATCTTACCTAAAGTAATATTTGTAACTAGTTGTGTTACCAGGTGGAGGGACAAAAAGTAGAGCCAAGCCATCCCCTAGGTTACCAATACATCCCTAACACATTTCAGCTCTCTGATCTTCAAAACTGTGAACTGGCCCACAGATTGTGGCCGGCCCCTGTGGAGTTGACCAACCCCTTGAGGAGGGACAACCATCCCCTAGGCCACCCACACCTCCCTACCAAATTGAAGCTCTATATCTTCAAAACTATGTATGTATTTTAATAATAAAGTTAAATACCATTTGCTAATCTATTACATTCTCAAACTGCTGACCACTTATTGATACAAATATGATCCTCAACTGTAAAAAGTTGGTTAACAAGGTAATGATTTCAAGTCTTCAAATAATCCTTAAGTCCATTATCTAACAGTATCCACAACTTTCCTTTCATGAACTAACCTCTGGTCCTGTTAATGACTTTGGCTCATGCTGTTGCTGCTGCTGTTGTTGCTGCTGTGTCGGTTGCTGTTGTCGCTGCTGTTGCTGTTGGGGTGGTGGTTGTTGTTGCTGCTGCTGTTGTTGCTGCTGTTGCTGCTGTTGTTGCTGCTGTTGATCACCCATGGGGCCTTGCATACCACCTTGTGACATGTTTCCCATGCCAGGTGGTGGCATTCCCCAACCTGGGGGACCCATTGGGGGCCCAGAGGGCATCCCATGACCAGGGTATCCATTCCAACCAGGGCCTGGACCAGGGCCAAAACCTGGTAACAACATGAGACCGAACAATAATTACAAATCTATTCTTGAAAAGCTTCAGAAATAATTAAAACAACATTAATAAACATAATATTACCCTGTACTCTTAATAATGGTGATAATTATATATATCGTAAAAATAATTTTCATATCACTGAACTTTGTATACCATGAGAAATACACTTTTTACTTATATTATACAAAATAAAATTATGACAGGTTCAAAAATTAAAACTAATACAGAAGTACAAGACTTCACAACAAAGATATGTAATTATTTAAATATTCTAGCAAATTAAATACTCAAAACGTTTAAATAAAAAGCAGCTTGAGAAAGCCATTTCCCAAACATTCCCAAATCGATATATGGTAAGAATATACAAGAGGGGGTTACACTGCACTACCAAAAGACAACAGAGATATGGGTTTCTCATTACAGTCAACATGCAATAAATGAGTACCCTGTTGGGTGAGCTTCCTGATGGTGGAACAACTCTTCCATGGACTAGTATACTACCAAGGGGGTGGTATAACCCACCAGCTGTAGAATACTTAAATCAAGAAATGAGCACCTGTTCAGCCACTTTACATCAGAGCAGAAAGAGGCTAGCATTCAGGGAAAAAAAAAGTATACATACTGCATGTACAAACAATTGTCATTATATAGATGAACTCTGCTGACTGTCTTACTTAGCAAGAGATTTGCTGCTCTACAAGGAAGTTAAATTTTTCATTAAGTAACAAAAATCTATAATGTTGATGTGATGACCTATGCACATTAAAGATACCATTTCTAGATAAGAAAATTTAAGTATGATTCATTACCCACATCACAGATGATGCTGGGTTACTTCTGGCGCAATTCAGGTGCTGTGTTTATAGCATTAAGAGTACATGGTTATTGCTGTACTCATATCCGGTATAAAGCTCATAATATGCACACTGCAGAGGGACTTGCTACCCACTGTCACAATTCACCACCCACCGCCAGCAATGCCCCAGTCACCCTTCATTCAGTGAAACCTACCAATCCTACCACCTGTGTGATATAGGTAACTTCATAATACAACTCAAATTCAGTCCCTCCAAATTTACAGCTGAAAAATATCAGTTGAATATAGCTACCACCTATATAGGGTGGGTTTCAACTACCATTTTTGGTCACAAGGTTACATACAGCATTATGTAATCCAACCCTCTCAACATTTGCAAGATACCAGTGCTTCCCTGGTCATGCCTGTGCACCATATGGGACCCACATCGCACACTTGTTAATACCATCAGTGACATGTCATGTGAAGTCACATACACATATCAGCAACAGTGAGCAAAACTATGACATAGACACCATAGGAGCAACCCAGAAGAGGAAGAATACCTGTGCATAAAGTAATCACCTTAAAGTTCTGGACTGTGCCAATTGTAACAAATTCTACAATAGTGTAAGTAATAGAAATCACTGATTTTGTATTTAAAATAATTTATCTGACTTGTGACATGGAGATCATTCCAAAGAATAGAATTTGTTTACATATAAATAATGACTGGGTGGTGATTAATTCAGTGAAAAGATGAAGCACGATAATAATACACGCACCTGAATCTAATTAAAGAACATGTAATGTATTGTACATACAGATACAGTCATTTTTGCTACAACGCGTATTTTGTCAACGCGAATTGGCTATAACGCGATTGATGAATAGAAGAACAATATTTGTAAAACGCGAACGCGTGTTGGCTGTAATGCGATTCCACTCAAACGTTTTAAGTATACAGTCGCTTGGCGCAGGGTTATGCAGTGTTTACAGTTCACGTTCGACATCATATGTTCAACTGATTCATGTGTTTTGTTTGTGAAGTGTTATTTGATAGGGACTATAAATTTCATCCTTTTATTGCAAATTTAGCTGTTCCCATAAACACTGTATGAAAAAAATAAATAAAAATAATGTTTCGCAGTGTGGACTACTAGCGTTTTACACCTGCTCTCTCTGTTTCCATCACACGATCAGTTGAAACACGTGGGTTGTTTTGAAGCGTCCTCAGTGATTTTTGCTTACTATTTCTCCAATTTTGTGGTATTAACTGTGAATATGGAAAAGAAGAACATCTCCAAGAAGCGTTCTGGTGATCGCATTCCCGGTGGTGATCGTAAAAGAAAGGCTATAACACTTGAAGAGAATCTTGATGTTATCAAGCGTTTTGAACGTAAGGAAAGAACATGTGATATTGTGCGTGCAACGGGAATAGCTAAATTTGCAAAAAAAAAAAAGATCCTTTGTGTAAGGCTATTATTTTTTTTTCGTTTTCGAGTAATCTACACCTAACCCTATTTTCTCCATAAGCCCTGTTATTTCTTTTGCGCGAATTTCTACGTGAGGTTTTACAAGAACACAACTATTGCGTTGTAGCAGAACTGACTGTATAACTACTTTTATGTAAATTACAAAGATATGTTCTGTGTACATTAGCTATACAGCTGACAATAAAAATTAGCTAAAAATAATGAACTTGTCCCCTGAAATCCCATTTTATAACTAAGACTGGAATACACTACACAACCAGTTAAGTCTACACAGCTACTCACAATAACTGCCTTGAAATAACAGCTAAGATAAATCCAATGATTATTTATACCTTCCTCCAGTAACAAGAACCTTAAAAAAGTCTTTATAGAAGCAACAGTCAGGCACACTTAAGCAGTGTGCATAACTCCAGTCCACTGCCATCACTACAATGTAAAATCCAAAGCAACAAATCATGCTTGAATGTCCATAGCCTCACAAATTCCCCTAGGAGAGAGCAACCAGGCCTTCATTCCAGCCAAAATTATGAAATAGAATGTTATATTCCATCTATCATTTATAATTTTATGACCATCTTGAGCCATCCATATTATTTAAAGCCTGACTCTGGGAAGACGAAAATACAACAGCTGAAAGTAATACATGGCATGCATCCCCATTGGGAAATATAAACAGCTACAGTATGGAAAACTGACCAAGCATACTTCCTCAAGGCCACACAAGTCATTCTCATTGATGATCATGCTCCAAAATGTAATATGGAGGTTATGGACACCAAATTACAAGAGGTTATTGAAGCAATGTCTTCATTGTTGTTACCCTTGTTGTGCAGTTCAGCTGTGATAATTTGATAAAACAGACTTGAAATTCAAGCTTAAGAGCTCCTTGTTAAAAAGAAAATAATCAGATTCTTGGTTTGATGACATCCATTAATACTGCAGTATGAGCCATTCTTGTATCCAAAACACCACATCAAGAAGCTTTACTACCTGCTTGATATGATACATATGATGAAATCTTCATCAAGATTCCATGCCAAAAAGAACCTTCTCAGGCTGACAGTCAGATTGTTGATAAAAACTCAAAAGACTGGCCCACAACAGTGAGGGAATTATAAGAAAATCGTCACTGCCATTCCTTAGTGCAGAGGGTTTGCACCCTCTTAGCAAAAACGGTTCTAACACCATCCTTGAATCAGATTCTGCTTGAGGAACCAACATACCTCCCCACAGAAGTGGAACAATAATAAGGAGGGAGGGAGGGAGGGAGGGGGTAGACAGAAAAAACAAATCCTATTACAGATCCATTACAAGTAACTTCTTAAAACAATAGAGCAATACATCTTAAGCAAATACTGTACTGAAAAATCAGCAATAAGATCCTGTCGGAAAAATGTCACATCACAATACTGTCCATTCACACATAATTGCAAAGATAAAATGGATTTACCATTCACCATGGAAAGCATCTGTTCCTGAAACCTAAGCTGTCTTCCATACTGAAATTAATCTATGAATTTATAGGACTAGTTACAATACCAGTTTTTACTTTTTGAGCACTGATGGTCTTCAGTTTTAGTAGTAAGAACCTCAATCCCCAAGAAGACAGATAAAACACATCTATCAGTACAATAGTTATGTTCCTCACAATTCAGACCTTTGACCTTCGAGTATGAATTTGACAACTATCAAACCATAACACTAAGACAACATGCACACCATTACATGGTTACTGTCTTCCAATATTAAAACTAAACCCCTCACTACTGGAAGTCACTTTTACCATTTTATTTGGCTAACGCCACACGATTATATTCATCAAAGAGTGGCTCCTCGTACCCAAGAGGTTAATCAAATCAAGTGTAGAACTAGCAACAAAAAATATTTCTGGTATATTCTCATGGAGAGATGGAGGTAACACTATATACATCTTGAAGTAGGGATGCAAAAAATGTGACAAGGTTGCAAGAGACCAATGTAAATGCCTGAAGTGCAAAATGGAGACCCAAACACAGCCTCCCCATACCAGCTATGTACACAATGCTTTAGTTTACAATCAATTTATCACTCCTAATCCGACATACTGTACTGTATCATCAAAATACTCCAAACACTCAAAGTGATGACTTTCAATTGTTAAAATCTAGGTAACTGGAAGGAGCAAAATTTAGGCCATGGAATACATAATTCCATTTTTGCCATAAATTACCAACTCCAATTTCCAGGGATTCAACATCAGCATCAATTGCCTACACAAATATTGAAGGTTTATTGTATACCAAACAGAACTAATCTATCCAACCACTGTGCATCACACCAAAAGTAAGGTGTGCATGAGAAAATTAAATAAATAAATAAAAACATTCCCCTTTGTCAGTCAAACCATTTTGATATTCTATCTTGTGACAAACACAAACTTTTTGACATCTTATCCCCCATCCTTATATTCCTACAACTCACTTATAATCATGATAAACCCAACTTTATCATTAGAAATTCTTATTCTGGAAAGGAGAAAAAATTCTTCCACCAAGCTAGCAAGAACCTTCTTTCCCAAATTATCAGTCATTGGCTCATTACACATTCCACGTCCAAGTCATGGTTCCAACATCCTTCCATCTTCACTTCTTTCGAAGGACTTCTTCACCTCGGTCCACACCCATATTCCTAACACTTTCACTTAATACCAAAGCAAACTCTTTTCGCTCCTTCAGTACAGCACAATTTATCCATTTTCTACTACTTGTACTAATATGGCCTCGTTGTGCTTTTGGACATTGACATCTTAACATTATTACAAATATGACAAACAGATACCAAGGGTACTGCACATCCCTCATTAAATAAATCATAAATAAGTAAAACAATTCACAGAGGAAACCATATACTGCACATGAAACATTCCCCGAGATACTACATAAAAAGCTATGGAGTCATTAGCATTCACAAGAACTCACATCTTAAAACTATGTTGAAACATCATTTTGTCAGTTTCTTGAACTTGGGGTGGTATATTTAGGGCAAAGAGCAATTTTTTTTAAATTTAGTAAGTGATAAAAGTAGACTTACGGCAACATGAAGAATTGTACAATTCTTGCGAAAAAATTTTTTTTAAAGTTTTTGTACTAAATTCTGACACTCTCCTTGCCCTTCACCAGTTATTAAACTATCTAATAACTAATTAATGTTAGTACAATCTGAAGCTAGAAGGCATTACATTCACAATACTACAGATTCAAAAGCAAGTTAAATACAGTATACCCTCCTCAACTATCTACAGAGCAGCAAGAAAGTGTCTTTTACAGAACACACTTAAATTATTAACTGGTTAACCATTTGGTTTTTAATATAAACATTAAGATTCTTTTATTACCAGATGCATCCTTTTTATTGAAATTACAAAACTGACCTAATTATAAAGCCAATAACAAATATAAAAAAGTAATGTATCCACAGAAACTTCAGTCTTAAATCTGCTTCAAATTCATAGTTATGATAAAAAACCATCAGGTTAACCATTAACTACCAAAACCAGTGGTTGTGTTTGCAACAGAAATGTCCAAATCAAGCACCTATGACCTGCCTGATTACTTATCCTATAATAGATTGTCATGAAACTACATGGCTCAAGCTAATATTGTCACATGCCATGAGCAACACTAGCTTTGTGGCACTTCTTGTACCTTGACAGGAATCCCACTTGCAAACACACCCTTAGACAACACCCATAAAAACTATTTATCATTGTCTCACCGGAACCAAACCCTGGGCCAAATCCTAGACACAAGAGAAAATAAAAAAACATAAGAAGCTTGCACAATAACTAAGAATTTATAATCACATTAGATAAAACATATAACAATGAACAATTCTCCAAAACCCAAAATGAACTGGGTTAAATGATTTCTTTAAAGCTGGTGTAACCCCAATTGTGATATTAGCCACAAAGAGGAACAACTGTTTAGTATCTTCTGATTATATCAATACTACATAACTCAAAACTGCAAGATCAGAAAACTGTTCAGTAGTATGATCCTTCAAAAAAATTGTGTCAAATGCAGACTACCAATACATAATCATCTTTTTGTTTTTGTTGGGCCATGTAATACAGCAAGTCAAGGATCTAAAGCACACACAAATAGCATATATCTATATGATAAATTCATCAACAATAGTTGGCATTTAAGCTGGCCAAAATGCTAAGATAATGGTGCTATACAAATTTAAATTGCAAAATTAAGTCTTATCATAAACCAGATGAGTTCTTGTTCAGTACAAATTGAAAACCGGAGAAAAAGCAGGGGTTGAAAAATGATTAAGACAGCAGCCATAGCCTACAGCTTTTGTAGGCTATTCCATTTTTTTTGTAATTTGGCAAAACTATGCTTCATGTTTTGATACATTTTTTATTGGATATTTATATTTTCTTGAAATTATGTGTGTATATAATAATAAATTCATTATTATACAGTAGCACTCATTCAATGTCACCTTCCTTAATGCCACACCTCACTTTATATCACAAATTTCTAACAACTACTTGTCAATTGGCTATTTGCTCTACAGATAGTAAATCAATTATCAAGCAAGCTTAGGACAATCTAGTTGTCTCAAGTCATATGACTGTGTCCATGGTGCTCTTGTCAAGAGAATGAAAATGCTAAATGCCCTGCTAATCAACAAAGACGCTTGAAAGTACAGTTTGTCACAAGTGACATCATAGTACATTATGCTATTCCAAGAAGGCAAGCTCTGGTGAGTTCCATAAATGTGAGTCAGACTTCGCTACTAAGTGATTTTGAACACTACGTAAACATAGTGAATGAGACCAAGCAGAATAAAAAAAACTGAATCAGATGTAAATGTCATGAAAGAACCTCACAGGCTTTCGATTTCCTTTTCAATCTGGGGCATCTTTGTTTTCAGAACAACTTCAAGCATATGGAGAATTCAGCTAAACTTAGAGACAGTGAACGAACTCATTTAAAAAATCGATAAACATTACTTAAGATGACTGATCATTTACAATGTAACTGCATTTTTGTTAATTAAAAAATGGATTCACAACTTACAGTATGTATAAATACTTTCATTCTTTACTCGATAAATAGTATTGCCCAATGCAGGACTGTTTTCTTATGAATAAAAAACACACTGCATATCACCAGCAGTCAAAATCAGTGGCACTTAAATGTCAAATTTTTACACGGCACGGACACCATAACACGAAGTAAGCTCCATTGTATCATGAAATTCAATGTAAACTTATGTATATGAATATGTTAGACTATCCTGTTCGCTATGACACAAGCAGCAGGGCAAGTACCTGGTATGTATCATGTGTTACTTGCCTGGACTAGTGACTAAATTGGAAAATTTCTGAATTTTGCATAAACACTTCTCTTTTACTGTGCTGACAGGATGAAATCTTTTACTTTCCAATAAAATCTAACAACCCTTTGGTCACTTGTAAAAGTAACTAACTCTCACAATTCTACGACATTATCCTATAAACACTAGCAGTAAAGATATATTTATATTCACTGTCTGTATATTTTTTTTACATCTTTTCCTACTTTGCAATTCTTACAGTGCAAGCAGATATCAATAGAACTTGGCATGAAGCAAACCAACATGCAGAATTTTTCAACAACTTTTATAAACATCACAGGTGGATCTGCTTCACTGAAAGGTATGTAGAGAGGAGTGATTTGCAGGAGAATATGCATGTGCATTTTGCTTCACATACCAGACACAGCAGTGTACTATAAACCGAGGTGAGGATTAGGAATACTTTTTAATTGTGCAATTGTGGCTGAGGAAAAAAAATGTGATTCATTAACCGCAGTTACAAATAAAGAACAAAATTAATGTCCTGTATGACGGGTTCACTTTTCACACAGACTCTTCCCAACACACAAAAGAGGCACAAAATTGTTTAAATGCATTGACATGTACAGACAACCTACATTGAATTTGTGTAAATATGTTTTGTACCCATTAAAAAAAAAAATTATTACCATTATCCTCAGAGGTGCATGTTTCTTGAAAAACAATGGCCCCTATAAAAACAACGAAAATCCATACCTGGTGGTCCTGGAGGTACACCATACGGAGGAGGCCCACCTGGTCCCCCAGGAAATGGGCCACCAGGAGGCATGCCAAATGGTGGCCCACCTGGAGGTGGACCCATGCCCACACCTGGAGGGCCCCACTGACCCTGTGGTCCTTGCCAGCCACCACCTGGTCCATCATCATCATCCCCATCTTTTTCACCATTTTCCTGATTTGGAGGTCCATTACTGCCACCACCACCAGGACCTTGATTGTTACCACCGCCGCTATTATTATTATTATTACCTCCACCACCGCCAGCATTTGGAGGTCCACTATTATTACCACCTTGACTTGGAGGAGTCACGCCTGCTGCCTGGGCCATAGCCTCTACCTGGTGAGGTAAAAAACATTGTTCTATAAATTAAAAATATAAGACTATTTAACATATTGACTGCCTGTTGAACTTACTTCCCTTCCCAACTAAGTGTCATTGAAACATGGGCATGGAATAAATCAGTTTCTATAAATCAAAGTAAAAACAAATACGTACTGTAGTTGATAGAATTACATATGATGTTTCCAAAATGGAAGCCTGAATGAAGAAGTGAAATGTCTTGCATGCAGCTTTGCATGCTGCACAGTCCCTGCCAGCCTCCCTCAATAGGTTACTTATCTCTGAGGTAATTTCTTACAACCTCTCCCCTAGCTTACTCCTAGCTTGTCTCCCTTCCACATTAAAGCTCATGCATCTCTTGACCCAGTTGGCCATTCTCTCCAAATGCTCAACCATCTCAGCATACCTGTAAGCAAAACCTTTCTAATATAGTCTTCTCAATACCCAACCACCCTCTTAGCTATTCATAGTATTTCCTACATTTCATTATCACATAACACATCCCTATCACTATTATAATTTCAACTTCCTGCAGCTTATGTATGACATCCTCTTTTACTGCCCATGTTGCACTGCCAAACAATATTAATTCTCATGCTGGCAGCATATTTTTTGACATAATCCATGGACATACTGTATCCCTAATGTTGAGTTTTCCAACAACATCCCACAATTCACCATTGCATATCTTGTGTACCCACATTCCACACTCACAGAAAATTATTTGAGTTGCTGCCGACTGTTAGCAGTATGCAAGCAATTTAACGATTAAAAAAAAAAAACATCCCTAAAAAAAAAAAGATAAAAATGGCATGGTATTACAAAAGCACTGGTGAAAACCAAAAAAAAAAAAAAAAAAAAAGCCAAACTTATATAATAAGGAAAAACTTACTGCAACTTGGAGTGTTTGTCACTAATGCCCATGAAAGTAAAAACAACTTAGTTGAAGATTTCAGGTAAAAAAAGGAATAATAATATTGTGTAGTAAATAGGGTGAGAAATCTATGAAGACATTAAAATTGATCAGCATGAAGGTAATACATGCAACACATTAATAATTACCAATGAATAAATAGCTATTTGACTTAGCTTGGGGGGAGAAGCAGCAGAATATATGTGATGCAGTACGTACCTCTTGTTGTGTCAATATCTTAACACCATCCCCCTCTGGCTTGGTCCACGTAGTTTCTCTAGTGCGTGCATTATAGTAATAGGACTTTCCTTCCCCAGTCTTGGTTTCCACCCAGATCTCACCACTGAGGTCCATGCCTCCTAAGGAGTTTTGTTGCTGAAAGTCAAGTAAAAAAAAAATCAAGATTACAGGTAGTTACAGACTACGGAAAAACAAAGCAAGCAGTCAAGCAAATGTATCTTTGTATTAAGAGGCACCAGAGAAAATAGCAATTCAAATACTGCATGTTATATAACCATTGCTATTATAAGTGTATTACAGTACTGTAATATAAAATGTACAGTATTCTGAGACACTGCAAGGATGTGTAGAGGCAACAAGCTCACATGCGAAATCACTTGAAAATTTTTTTTATTTCTTACTTTTCCTAAAATTATAAACACTGGACCAATAGCACCAGTGTTTGAAATTAGTCAATGTCCAACACAGTTGTCTAAACTTATGAGGGTTAAATCTAAAGAACAAATCTAAATAACTTGAAAAATAAAACTGTCAATTTCAACACAAATAACTAAACTTACATTTTGGTTGGGTTGCTGGTTAGGTGGACCACCTGGCCCAGGTGGTCCCATTGGTCCCCAAGGTCCTGGTGGTCCCATGGGCCCCATTGGACCCATTGGTCCCATTGGGGGCTGCAACAAACAGTTCAAGGGATGAGATTTACCCGTGTAATAAGATTTAATAATAGGTAATTGTATCGAGATATAACTTGGTACAGTAGAACTAGACCATCAAAGCCCTTTCACCATTATCAGCCATTAGTGAATCTACTAACAAAAGTCTTGTGGACAACAGAACTAATATGAATACAGTACTGTAAATTGTTTAAACCCTCCAGCATACAATAAGAAATCACAAAATCTACTCAAAACATTTTCACTCTATAATAAAAAGTACATCTCGAATACCGTGAACTTGAAAAAAATATACTGTAACTATAACTGAAGTGCAACAGAAAATTGCAAATGATTGCAAGTCATACTGAAAAAAAGTTTTTTAAGTACCGGTACTGTAAAGTACAATAAAAAATGTGAAACCAGAAACATTCACAGATGAAGGCCACTGGCCCTACAACTAACTTTCACCAATGTTAGCTAGAGTTTAAGGCTTAGTATATAGTGAATCAAGATTACACTAACACACTGGTAAGCATGAATTATTATTCAATTTCCTTGAATTATAAGAAGTTTATGGATATGGGGATAATATAATTAAAAGTCTACTATTAACCCTTTCACCTTATTAAAGATTGGACTGAAACACTTCTAACTACTACTTACCATGCCTGGAGGGCCCATGGGGCCACCCATTCCTGGGGGTGGTGGAGGCATTGGTCCCCAGTTAGGATCAAATGGTGGTGGTGGGCCTCTTGGACCAAACCTTGGTCCCCGTGGCCCAAATGGTGGAGGACCCCTAAATCCTGGGGGTGGGGGTCTAAACCCTGGACCTCCTCTGCCCCTAAAGCGAGGGCCACCAGGACCCGGTCCACCTGGTCCTCTTGGCCCCATCGGTCCCATGGGCCCCATCGGTCCCATTGGACACATTGGTCCAAATCCTCTTCCTCTCCCTCTGTCAAGAATAAAATAATATACCCTGTAGTTGATAAATTCCATCAAATTACGCTTTCTTACAATTAATACGGCATTCTCTTCAATATAATACAGTATTTACACTGATAATTTTAATATATGCCTTTCTCTCTTCCATTCATGCATCTCTTATTCATTATGTATAAAGTAGGTCCCCCTCATATACATGACTGCCTGTTTATAGCAACCACGACCATGATTATAACAACCACGACCATGATTATAACAACCACGACCATGATTATAACAACCACGATCATGATTATAACAACCACGATCATGATTATCTAATCTCTAATATACTATAGGAAATTATTTGTATAAGACTGATATAGCTACAGAAAAAATAAAATATTTACATGTTGTGTATTCTTATTACTGTTTGACTGCTGTTCGCAGGAAACCGATTTATTAACAAGTGTTCATTGCAAGTGCACCGACGTTAAACACAGGCGCGAGCGCACTTCTCCAAATATTCCCTCCATTACTGTTTTGTCGAACTATATAGCGAACTGGGCACGAAGGGCCCACGATCACTTGTTAACACTAAAGCCTATACAGCAGTCCCCAAGTTATGAATGTCTGACTTGTGAACACCTGTTTTGTACTTAAAAATGGGATCTTAAGATATTCATCACACAAATCTAATCTGACCTGCGAGCATTTGGCGGTAGTACTTACGAACAGTCATGGTAATTATTATTATTTTTTATGATTTTGTTGTTTAACAACACTTTAGTTACAATACTTACATTACTTGTTACACATAGGATTTATTGTTGTTTTGTATGGGCAGGGTTGTGTTGTAACCAAACCTATGTAAATAACACTGTTCTACTGTTCTGAGTTATGGACAAGGTCCAGGAACGAAACCCGTTCATAACTCAGGGACTGCCTGTATGTAGGTGTTTCAAGCGAGATGAATTTGATACCCTTACAAACACACACACACACACAAATAAATAAATGCACAGTTGCGGTCAAAGGTAATCATCCACTCCATCACCTAACCTCTGCACCCGGCCGGGTCCCTTTGCAACTTAAGTCACGTGGGGTGGATAGGGGGAATGGTCAACATGGGGAAGGGCCGTTTGTTTGGGGGGAGGGAGGGGGTAATGTAATGATACAAGTTCCTTGTGTGAGAGGGAGGGGCTTTAAAAAAAAGCAAGGAAAATTATGAAAGAAGGAAGGTTGGATATAATTTTTTTTCTCACTAATATGTTATTTTCGGTTTATATGTTTGATAAGTTAATAGATAAGGACCCTTATTTTATGATTATTACAATGTACCATCCATTTCTTTATTTATCATTTTTGGGGGGCTGTTGTTTGGGTTTTAAACAATTGTTATTTGATACAGTATTTATAATAACATTGCTATGAGGAGAAATACTGAATACGAGGGTGGAAAACATTTATTTTTAACATTTACCAACACAGGTCATACAGAATCTCAATAGCCCATTCACTGCCCTCCTTGCTTGTCAATCGCGGTCTTCATGGCCTAAAATTATATAATTTATATGAATTATCATTTATATGAATTAGAGAGTTCAATATGTTTTGCTTGCATTACACACCCAAAATAAGTCATTTTAATATATCAAATGCCAAAGCTGGTTCCTCAAGTTCCCAGACTCCTCCCAGCTGGTTAACCAATGTCTCCCTTGCAATTTCTGATACGTTGCAGCCAGCCGAGCACAAACCGATAATTTGCCTGCGACTTGACAATCGACATTCTTTAGCAACCATCCTGGGCTGGGCGTGGAGCAGTGGCCAAACACCATTGCCATTACCACCTCATCACCTCACATTGATTGGGTTAGGGTCATCTCGTACCCAAAAAAAGACAATTCGTACCCAACTCACGAGATAAGTCGTACCTAAGATTACTTACACCCAATTCAAGAGATAATCCATACCTATTAGTATATACAGTATACCATGCATTTTAACTTTATATATGATTACCAAAAAAGATTATGTAAATCTTGTAGGATAGTGCAGTGAAATAGGGAATTGTAATGCAGGCTTCAAAATGGTTGCATCTCATTACATAAGTATGTTATTCTGTCACACAAACATTGCACTAGAAGTACATATTTCACACTTTGTGGTTTAGAATAACTTTATTGCAATTTACAGATTTCAGGCAAACAGATTTGGCAGTTTCAATTTATAAACTGGGAGATATAAAAGTTTAAAATGGTCCTAAGTCGGCAAAATATAGACATGCATAAAAAAAAAGATCAATTTTCCAGCTCCAGCTTTTTGTAAATAAATCAGTTAGTATACAGTATAAAATTCGGGGCTCCTCTCTGGTTTTTCTTCCGGTAAAACGAACTTATTCTACAGTGGCTGACATCGTGACATCGTCAGGAATTTCTTCTTCTGACAAGTCAATGTCAAGAATGAAATACAGTAGTGATAAGGATATAAAAGAACGGAGAGTGAGAATATCAGCCAACACATACAATTAGTTGCCGTTTTATGTTCACAACACTCTGGATAGATTTGTTCAAAAAGTCACGACCACACGGAAACAAGACCAGTATGAGTAACGTAACGACTTGATTATGTGTCACCCAATATTCACGCTCTTCTTATTTAGAGAGAGAGAGAGAGCAGATGCATTCACTCTTAATTTGTTAAAGCTAAGGTCAAACATACTAAGAAACACATGGTCGTAAAAAATACTTTTCATATTTTTTCACATTACATATTTTCGAGTTCCGACGTTAGTGATCACGCTGTGTACTGACAAAATCTTTGTTTGTAATTTCCTTTAAAATGGCTGGCAAGCGTTAAAAATGAGAATTCTCGTGGTGCTGAGAAGAAAAAGACTCGTTTTAGAATTTCTATGTATTATTTTCGCCTTCTCGATTTACGACCTGGTCGTTGGGACGGAACCCTGTCGTAAGTCGAGGAGAGAATGTATATATATACATTGTATGTGTGTGTATATATATATATAAATATATATATATATTTATTTTGATAAAATCACACGGGAAAATGGAAACAACGGAGCACCTTAGCTTTCGTCTTTATTCAAGACATCTTCAGAGGCAACTGGATTACATGGACAGAGAGAGGCTTAAATATACAGGGTGACCTTAAAAACATGGTCAGGTCATAATGATGTCATCCACTAATCCCCACACCAACACACACGTAGAGGAGCTTAAGAGAAGGGGGGTGACGTGACTAGTCAGGTCAGGTCAAAAATAAGGGACCCACAAAATAACTATCTTACATCTAGATCAAAGGTTTTCAAAGCATTTTTAACCTTGGGCCACTGACAAATAAATTTATGTAACATATCAGTTTTGAACTGACCATCACTAAGGTCTATTGATTTTAATTCCTTAATCAAACTAGCTTCAACCAGAAGTCTTTCTGTGACACAAGATGATTTAAATACTTCTAAGCTTTTTTCCCAAGCAATGGGGTGATTATTATTCCTAACATGAACGAACATGGCACTGCTTTCAGATGCTGTTCTGATATTATACTTATGTTTGATTCTGAGCTGCAGTGTTTTTCCTGTCTGTCCTACAAAATTACAATTACATTTGCTACATGGAATACAATAAACACTTCCATTTACATTCAAACTTGGGCTATTCCTTATTAACATATTGGTAATGGTTGAGTCATACTTGAAAACAACATTAATATTTAGAAGCTTGAGGGACCGAAGCTTCTAAATATTAATGTTGTTTTCAACATTATATATATATATATATATATATATATATATATATATATATATATATATATATATATATATATATATATATATATATATATATATATATATATATATATATATATATATATATATATATATATATATATATATATATATATATATATATATATATATATATATATATATATATATATATATATATATATATATATATATATATATATATATATATATATATATATATATATATATATATATATATATATATATATATATATATATACATATATATATATACATATATATATACATATATATATACATATATATATACATATATATATATACATATACATATACACACACACACACACGGGTACGAACTGTCTCATAAATTGGGTATGATTTATCTCGTAATTGGGTACGAGTTGTCTAGCACCCACATTGATTTTCATAACTCTTAATAACATATCACAAGGTGTTTATGCTTTTACACGGGGATGGCGCCAAACAGGCCAATGTTGCTGTTCTCCACAGTAAAGCCAAGATATTATAGTTGATGGCTACTTAACCTATAAATGAGTCAAGGCACAAGATGTCATACTCCAAGTCTGGCAATACTCAGTGGTTCAATCCTTTTAAAATCAGGCAACGTTACTGTTTGTGATAACTTTAGTTAGGCAGTAGTTAATGTCTGGCCATGAACCTTTTCTTAGCTTTACTATTTGCCCAGCATTTATTCTTTATGACACTGACCCCAGATTAATAAATTTGGTCACTTGCACACCCAACCCAACTTAACCATGTTTGCAAGTGCCCGAATTCAATAATCTAAGTCATAAGCCTTGACCAATCAGACCAAATGCTAGATAAGTAGCCAAAGTAATTAACATCTGTGAGAAGACCAGTCCATTTTTTCAATTTGCCAAAATCCTGAAGGCATGAAGGCCAATGCCACACTTGCCATTTCCCGAGTATTGTATTGTAGAGTACTGTAAAATCAAAATTGTTTTTGGTAAATATAGTGAGACTTTGGAACACTTATTTTGATTAATATTCATTAGTTACCATGCACAGAACTCTATACTGTACTGATAGAGAAAGAAATAAGCATACTGTACTTTACAGGGTTTCTATCTGAAATTTATAGCTTTAGTTATTTTTAATTTTCTATTTCACTCAAAGAGAACACAAGATTATGTGGATATATTTTAACTCATTACTCAGCCAATCAAGAAAAGAGTTCATGTCACATAATACTCGTGTACATAAGCTTTCTTCTTCTTCTTCAGCAAATCAGCGTTAATTTCGATGTCAAGAAACATAAGAAAATAAGGAGTCTGCAATAAGCCGGTTGGCCTGTGCATGGCAGCTCCTGTCGAGAGTTACTACCACTCTCTATGATACTCATGAGCATGTGTAAGCTCTGGAATTTGAATTGCATAGTTGCAAAATGGCATCTGTGTACTCGTTGGAAAATTGGCATGTACAGTAATTCAATGAGTATTTGAGAACAAAGCCACAGCTGTTCATATCTTTAGGTCTCATGGTGTTCTTGTTGGTTCAGTAACATGTCCACTGTGTAATTCAGACTGTCTGTATCATCAAGATCCTCCTCCATCCGTTATTTAAGGCAAGTTTTGGTCAAGTCGAGTCGTTTTTTGCATATTTTTACCCCACAATGTTGGTAATGCCAGGGAGTCACCCTCGGCTAGGAAGTTAGATAGGTTTCTTTGGTTAGGTCTGGTTCTATTAGGTTCTGTGCACCGTTGTATTGTTTTTATTACTGCACTATCAACCAAGGAACATTTTTTGAAAAAATTAAAGAATTCTAACAACTCCTGGTGTTACCCGTTTGCTCCACCTTTACCCTGAATTTAAACAACAACTAAGCATTAACAACATGATGCCCCAAACTATGCCATTGCAAAAAATACAATACTGTACTGGCCTTCAGGTACTTCACAACATTATAGGATTTAAAAAAAAATAACCAGGAAACTATTTACTGAGTTTAGCAAGTACAAACGACTGGGCATCATAAAGAAAAGAAAAAGCCCAATCTGCTAAACTAAAACAAGCTAATTATTACTTATTACTAGTATAATTTACGAGAAAGAGCAAAGCAATCAGTTTTGTACCTGACCCAAAACTATTCATTACAATTATAAAACACTTTACTGTTTTCTATAATCATAATATACTACTAAACTGTAACATTTCCATATATCCTTTATACAAACACACTATATCAAGGCCGTCACCACGCAAGATGAAATAATTACAATTCCCTGTCGTCTGGGTAGAATTTCATTACTTATTATAAACTAACTTAACTCTTTTCCTCTTAAATTTATTAGTTATGGATCTACATAGCACCCAAGCATTGAAATTTAGGTGAACATAAGTGGAAATTACAATATATAGAGACGGCCCCTCATAGGCGTCACCTTGAACACCACATTGCCCTACACTAGCCACTCCTAATCCGTTACTTCACTACAGTCCAACTCCGATTACCAAGGACTGCATTGCTGAATAAAAGGCTGTAACAAGTGGTTAATAATCTTTTCACTGTTTATGTAAAATCCAATACAAATATCAGGAACACATCGCGCATGGACACCTCGGCACCTGGAATCTCCATTTCGGCAATTAAAACTTAGCTACTCTTGTTCCTTACCTGAAGCCCCCTCTTCCTCCTCCTCTCATGGACATTGGTGGTCCTGAACCGCCATCATTATCTCCATCTGTATTTCCAGAGTCTCCAGGGGCTGTATTAATTTTGTCTGGGCCGTCTACGTCCTCCGACATTTTGTTGTCCCGTTGATGGCGTCTGTCGGGACCGTGCTGCCTCCCTTAACCTCCCGCAGTGTTACCAAACCTCAAAACAATCAATGATCATCACAACACTCTATTACAACATAAAACAAATCTAATAACAAGTCTTGAAATTTAATTATTTGTAACAAATATTTATTAAAAATTTAAATAAACATAATTTTAAATATTTTTGTCACTTCATTGTCAATAAGATTTATAATTTAGAGGCAAGAGAACTTTCTTCACTTGGTAAAGCTGTTGTCTCATCCCTCCTCACGCATGCGCAGCTTCCAAACAAAACCCATTTCTTCAGTGATATATATTGGACATTAGTTTGTATCCCAAGTGGAGTTGTCCCCGTTTTGACAGAATAGATTTTACATGTGTAATCATATCTTGGAACTATTTCAAACACGTTAATAAAGAAAAGGAGAGCTTCTGAAAGAATCTCAGTGCATAGGCACTGATAATATTTACCGGCTTTTGGAAATAACTAAACAATGAATAAATTTGATAGATTGGAAAATGAATGTCTTATGAAACTCATATACTGCGTAAACACTGTAGCGGGGAAATGAGGGATTGTAACCGGCATTCTTGTATTTACTTAGTTTTTTTGTGTATTTACGATAAGTTACAGACAAATAATTTTTAGTCACACCAAGTTATTTTTGGTAACGAGTTGAATATATGCCAATTTTCTATATATCTGCATATCAGCATAAAATATTAACAGAATGACTTGAGGGATTTATTATTTTATCCCCCCAAAATTTACGTATATAAAGCGTCTCAAAAATAACAAGAAAACAGACAACTACAGTATATATATATATATATATATATTCAATTAAGGGTGCAAGGGGGTGCACAATAAATTAGCCCCCGTACCTGCGTGGGGAGGGGCAATTCGAAAAAAAATAATGAATATATGGCAAATGACACTATTATAGAATTTTCATAAGCCATAAACCAAGGCGCATAGATAAAAAGCCTTAATATTGTATATACTGTAATAGTACACAAAGATATTTTCTGAAGTTTGTGTCAACTAGGCCTCAGAGAATCAATTTTTAAGAAACATACTGGTTCATTCATCAGACAAGAATCTTTTTTTCTCAATAATTTCAGTAATATTTCTATCATAAAGAGTTAAAACATTCTATCTCCCCCAAAATGTTCACGCCATCTAGTTTTACGTCATAATGGATGTGTAGCAAAGCCAGTGATGAAAGCTTGTCTATAATAGACCTCGTATAGTTTCTCAGTCTACTTAGGTACTGGCGCTTCTTTCACACTTTGTGGAAGTCGCTTGAGGGTACATACTGGAAATCTGACGTTTTCTTAAATGTAAAGTAATGACAGGTTAAGTTAGGTTAGGACAGTCTAGAATAATGAATACTGAAAATTGTCGTAACTGTGAAGGGCAAGTCGGTAATTTTACTCATATTAATTACTTTTTCTACAGTGTGTATATAGTAAGAATGAACGTTTTGGTGAAAAACAGCTTTATGTTTCATTAAGGTTTAGAAAGGAAGTAATATTTACTGCCAACAAATTCAGTTTAGTTGGACATTTTTCCCACATGAAAACCTCAGATGAGAGCGTCAGCGGTCAATAGTCCAAACCTACTAACCAAAGATAATTGATTGGAATAATTTAAGCCCCAGGAGACACCCAAATTGGCTGCCTCCCGCTACCATGTCTGCTACCTTCTGCCCACCCCGTCTCTCCTGCTACCCCTGCCATCCCTGCTTCACTCACGCCACCCCCGCTTCACCTGTGAGGAACGTTACTGTATACAGTGAACTGGTGCGCCTTTTTTTAGGGCGACAGAGACTAACACTTAAACAACTACCCTATGCACCCGGAAAATTCTAAAACATCTTGTTAAATTTCCCTTTACTGTACTGCCCCGTCCACACTGACCCCCACTCTGATGATGGGGACATGAGTTACATTAATTTTTGATAATAATAATGACATGAATCACACTCCAATATATCTGACAGTGATTTAGTATTCGATAAATCAGTACAATTAACCCTGACCAACCTAAGTCCACCCTGTTTTCTAAGTCAACATATAACCGAACCCACACGGGGTAATAATATATTCGATTTAGTTCTGTCAAACAGAGAAAACCTCATTAGCAGTGTCGAGGTACGGAACGAACTTGCAAACGGCGATCACAAAGAAATTAGATTCCAGTTAGATTTTCAGGGCAGACGTAAGGAAAATTCCACTAAAGTACCAGATTTCAGAAGGGCGAACTTTGACAGTTTAAAGAGGCAGCTGAGAGAGGGGGTGTCGCGCTTGGCCTTGAACCTGACAGATGACACAGACCTGATAACGAGATCTGAGATTGTCGAGTTCCATGACAATTTAAATAGTGAGTTACTTAATGCACAAAGGCAGAACATACCATACAAAAAACTCAGATCAGACAACAATGACCCTAAATGGATAAATAATTATTTAAAGAACATCATTGGCCAAAGGAAGGCTATAGGTAGAAGGATAAATCGTGGCGAAATTCACCTCCGGGACTATTATATATTATAGGGTATTGGCGAGTAGGGTTAAAACCGAGATAAGGCAAGCAAAGAGGAATAATGAGGCAAGGATAGCAAGGGAGGCGAAGACAAACCCCAAAGGATTCTACCAAATGTATCAAACTAAAACACGAGAAAAGATTGGACCAATACGGTCAGACACCGGTGAGCTCACTGATAACGACAGAGAAATGAGCAATAATTTGAATAAACATTTTTCAACAGTTTTCACCACCGAAAATTTAAACATGATACCCGAGGCACCGACTCTATTCAGAGATAGTGAAGAAAACAAATTAAGCGAGATAGTAGTGACTAGTAACGATGTTAGTAAGCAAATAGACAAACTAAAGCCTAATAAGTCACCTGGTCCCGATGAGACATTTGCCAGAGTATTAAAGGAATGTAAGGAAGAGTTTAGTATGCCCTTAGCAAAGTTGTTTAACATGTCCTTAAAAACAGGTGTAGTACCAGAATCCTGGAGGATAGCGAATGTAATACCGATTTTCAAGAAGGGGGATAGATCACTATCCTCTAACTACTGCCCAATCAGTCTAACATCAATAGTAGGCAAATTACTGGAAGCAATCATTTCAAACTCTATTCGAAATCACCTAGAGAAGCACCGATTGATCAATGATTCCCAGCATGGCTTCACAAGCAGACGTTCTTGTCTAACTAATCTATTAACATTCTTTTCATCAGTTTTCGAATCGGTGGACGAGTGGCACAATTATGATGTGGTATATCTCGACTCTAGCAAAGCCTTCGACAGAGTCCCCCACGAAAGACTAATTAGAAAGGTAGAAGCTCATGGCATCAAAGGTAACATCTTTAAATGGATTAGGGCGTGGTTACAGGACAGGAAACAGAGAGTGAGCATTAACGGCACTAAGTCCCATTGGAGCAACGTCACAAGTGGAGTTCCCCAAGGCTCAGTACTTGGACCATTATTATTTATTATATACATAAATGACATAGATATCGGCATAGACAGCAACATAAGTAAATTTGCTGATGACACTAAAATAGGACGTGTTATTAAATCTGACGAGGACTCAGCAAAACTACAGGAAGATCTAAATAAATTTTTCGAATGGTCTGAAAAATGGCAGATGAAATTCAAAGTGGACAAATGTAAAGTACTCAGTATAGGAGGTGTAAACAGGGAAACCAGATACCAGATGAACAACGATGCCATAGAGAAATCCGACTGCGAGAGAGATTTAGGAGTAATGATAAGTAGGAACCTTAAGCCAAGTAAACAATGTGTTTTTGCTCGTAACAAGGCCAATAAAGTACTTGGGTTCACACAAAGTAGTGTTAGTTATAAGACTAGCGAGGTCATCCTAAAATTGTATCTTGCTCTTGTGAGACCACACCTGGATTACGCAGTTCAGTTCTGGTCACCGTATTACAGAATGGATATAGAATCCTTGGAAAGAATTCAGAGGAGAATGACAAAACTAATCCCAGGCATTAGTAACCTTGAGTATAGAGACAGGTTAAAGCATCTTAATTTGCACTTCCTCGAGGGACGTAGAGCGAGGGGCGACCTGATAGAGGTGTATAAGAGGAAGGCAGGGCTAAACAAAGGGGACATTACAAACTGTACTCAAACTATCCAACCAGGAGCGAACTCGTAACAATGGTTTTAAATTAGACAAATTTAGATTTAGGAGGGAAATAGGTAAACACTGGTTTGGAAACAGAGTAGTGGATGAATGGAACAAGTTACCAAATATCATCATTAACTCGAATACGCTGAATAGCTTCAAACATAGGTTGGATGCTTATATGAGCAATAGGGGTTGGGTGTAAACGGGACTGCCCAGTATGGGCCAATAGGCCCGCTGCAGTTTCCTCCATTCTTATGTTCTTATGTTCTGACCTACCTCGCTCTCTCCTCGACAAGTATAAGGTTTAAATAAGAGAGAGAAAAAAATGCATAGTTTAATATCTATCAGTTAAAAAAATACATTACTTTAGTTATCAAATATTCACAAATGAACACAGGTTAAGAATATTAATGTAGACGATAGTATTTACTTAATATTTACAAAAAAAAAAAAATAATTTATAGCAGACCAATGTACTGTACAATATAGTCATGTATTTGGTAAGACTGTTTAAACCTCCGGATATACTCTGCCGAAGTTACCTGCTCATTGTGGAAGGACTGGAAGGGGGTTATAAGGCTCGTTTTTGTGTTATAAGTATCATTATTACACACATGATACGTTAGCACTACGAGCAGCCTTTCCTTGTGACTGTGACTCTTGTAATACCAGCTGAACCCAAGGGCGTACCGATCTTGTTTTGTGCATTTCATCATTATTTGGGGGAGCTGATAATAACGACCCCCCCTCTTCAACCCAAACAAATCCTACATACGCCAATGGCTATACAGTATCCACTCCGAAAAAGTAAACAATGAAGGTACACTTGAAAATCTGATCTTATCGTAGAATTGTTAAAAGTCTTTGTACATATTGTGCTCTTGGAGATACTGTATTTAGTTTTGTTCTTGGTATATGTATGAAATGTGTTTGAAGTACGCTGCTGAATGCTGTTAATTGTATTGACGGTCTTATAGTTATAGATGGAATTAAATGTCTGGGCTTAAGACGCGCTGTAGTGGATTTCTCCCTTCCAAACGCTGTTTGTGGCTGCGTAGCCGACCCCTCGAATTCCACAGTGTGTGCCTCGTGGTCTAGGTCAACCAGCGCCGCCATACATCACGGAGCGGGGGTCAACTACTAAGCCACGCCTACCCCCCGCTATTTAAGACCTGACCTCGTGGTGACCTGTCTCTTTCTACCTACACCAACCAGCCAGCAACACCTCCTCCGCCTCCGCCTGCCTGGCGGTCCTCGCTCCCACCGGCGAGCATGGCGACCCATAAGCTGGTCCTCCTCTGAGCACCCTCACCAACCAGCTCTCTCTACATCACGCTTTTAACCATGCTGCCTTCCCAGCACCAAGCTGCATTGTACATCCAATACAACATGTATACATGAGAGCACATTGTGAGTTTCCTTTCTCCATCCCATCCTGAGTGTGAACCAAACATCCCAAAAACCCCACAGCGCCACTTATTTTATGCTTTGGAATAGTTAAACCAATAGAAAATACTGATTAATGACACGTTCGTACACCATATTTTTAACACTATATTGTAGTAATTATTATACGGATACCTGTATTGATGTGTCCGAGTAGTCATAAATATGATAATGAAATAGATATAAATAATTTTAAGACAAAACAATCCACACTGGCGAAGATGATTCAAGGAAAAGTAAGTATTAAAACGATAGGATACAACTTAGCGAATGTTCTTATGTGAAGCGGTTTGTAGAGTTGTAAGAGAAAACGGAACAAGTAGCACTAACTGACTTAAACAATAATTTTCTTCAGTGTTAAAAACTAAACGCTGCAGATTTTGAACCACAGACATTTATTATTATTTACTGTATAACCATCCCGTATGTCGGTATTCCTAAAGTCTTTAGCCTCAACAGTGAACTCTAAAGAACTTCAATATGAATTAATTATTTTGTAAGCTATGTACTGTACAGTACAACGTAGCATGCCATTTATAATGTATGCTGTATAAAATAAAGAATTGTACTCATATTAATTACCATTTCAAGCTGTCATTATTTGTTCTGAAACAATAGTACAGATGAAGGTACAAGTGACACTGGGAGCGGCGTCTATTAGTGGAGAACTTTTATTACTTTATGTCTGCAAGATTCAGGTGATGGTGACGATAGCAAGACTTGTCCTTTTACACAAGTCACGTCTGGCACACTCGAATTTACATGCCGATAGATTATTAAAGAATAGTTAGTTATATTGATTGCTTTCTGCCTTCTCAGGAGGATGATCTTAGAACAAAAAGCGTAATTTGTTTTATTTCTTCGATATGGCTCCTTTACTGACGGGTATAAAAGAGAGCCATACCGGAGACATGGGTCATATGGAACTCTCCATGATGCCAGGGTCAGAGTACTTAGTCCTCAGAGGCCCTCCATCTCTCACTCGAACGATGGAGTAGGCGTCCCGCACCTCGTCTTCAGCTAGAGGCGCCGGGTTGGAGGTGGTGGCTTGGGAAGAATCTTCTGAAACGGGCGTGTGCGGTCCTTGTGAGGTTAGTGGCGAATGCCCTGAAGGTCCAGTTAACGTGTAACTTGAGACTTCGGGTGCTGGCAGGGCCCCACAACCATCAATAATGGTATGGCTGAGTGTTCTGGGTGGCTTTGGTGGCGGCGACGTTTCAGAGGAGTTTTTGTCCCCATTTTCATGAACAGTAATTATAGCAGTTCCAGCCTCGGTGGAGGCCAGGGGCGTTGAGGTAGCGCTGACCTCACCCTGTATAACCTTAGATGGTGGACGGACTGAAGCTGAGGCTGCTTTACTATAATCGCTAAATCTCACCAGTTTTCTCTTATCACGTATCTTTGGATATTTTTCAATACCTTTATCATTTCTAAATGTCTTTGGAGAACTTTTGATTCTTTGGGTACTAGCAGGTACATGTTTGATTGCACAAGGGAAGTGAGAGTCTTTGGTGGGAGGCTGGGGTGGGGCATCGCCGTCTGTGGTATGAGGTTGGCAACTCACTGGAGCTTGGCTGTGTGAGGTGGGTAAGGAGAGAGGTGTCTCTGTTGTGGGGGGGTCCAGGTCCCCCGTGGCCAACGGTGTGTAAGTAGATTTGTCTATCCCGCGGGGCCACCCTGCCGCCGATGATCGACCTGCTGCTGTTAGGTCAACCTCTACTACTGATTCGGCTTCAGAGTCGCTACTCCAGTGGCTGGTGGAGTCAGACTCCTGAAATGGGAACAGAAAGAGGCAAGATTAATACCCTTTGTCTATAGAATCTACTCACGTGATTGGTTTAGTATGTAAAACAAACACATATGGAAATATGTCACTAGATGTGCCTCGTGTTACTGCTCGCGTTAGATAAGAACTTCAACAAGAGACACCAGCACCCCTTACCCGACAAGCTTGATCCACTTGTATACTCTGCTGACGACAGTTGACAATTTGTCCGTTTAGATGTGAGTGTGGAGTTTGTGACTGCATATGAGCGTGAGTTTTGGTTGGAATGTGTGAAGGTGTTTGAGTGTCGGCGTGTACATGCACCAGAGACTCGCGTTGTCCGTGAGAGTTGGCTAGTAAGTGTAGGCTGGGGTGGCGGCGCTGGGCGGGGGACACGAGGGTTGGGTCATAGCAGTCCCACTCGCTGCCGGTGGGCGTCTTCACCAGCGTGTGGTCGTTGGTGCCGCCACCTTTACTCTTGCGTGGACAGGCATGTCGTGCTATCACCACACTCACCACCAAGAGCAGCAGCAGCACTACAGCCACGCCCACAACTGCTCCCAGCATGGTTGGAACACCTAGGGCAGCGCTCTCAGAGTCTGTGAAGAAACAATATTTCAGTGTTTGACCACACCACTGTACGGGGCTGTTTACTTCTGTACAACTGAGTGACACATACGCACACACATCCTAAGTATTGATATAAATAACACTGTAATTCCTAATGAGGAGGTGAAGGTCTTTGTCACTCACGTACACCCGGATCACTCACACCATCACCATCTAATTAAACGATTTCCAGTAGAAAAATACACTTCAAATCGCACTTGCAATCAAGCAATACTCCACCCACAGTGTCCACATATTCTGTTAGCTCTATGTTTCTGCTTCACTGCAGTCATTAACAAAGGAAATGTAGAGATTAATGATGATAAGTTATTTGATGCCACTGGGCAACGAAACTGTTTTATCTAGATATAAGTGTCCGTCTTCTAATGTGGGGTTGATTTCCTACTGACTATTGTATTTACTAACTTAGTAAGTATACTTAAAATGCTTAGCTGTCGAGGTGCAGTAATACATTATAACTTCAACATCACTAGAGGTATCTACTAGACGAAGACACAGAGTCTGCTGCCTTTTGGATCCTCCACTGGATCCTGCTGCCTGGTTGAGATATAAACACAAGTGACTGCTTCTATCAGCTTCTATTTTTAGCCTAAAATATTAAGTGTATTCCTAAGAGTGTGTTGTCTGCTAAATACACAGCTACAGTACAGTAGCACAATTCGATCTACTAAACAGTAAATATACAACTAGATTTACAATGTGTATTAAACGCACTGTTTAGAGTCAAGCGTCCATTAAACCCACAACTTGTGCACAGACCGTTCTAAAGCTTGTACCACTAAAAATACAGTCAATCAACCATAAAAAGAGTAAATTACACTCTTGTTAAGAAGTCCCAGACTCCAACTGGTCTTCAGGAAATGATAAGAAGACCTGTGGCTGCAAAATAACTATCACAACACGCTGGTGTGGTGGAGACACAGTACCTACGGCGGCGCGGTGCTGGGCACTGGCTGTGTGTACCTCAAGCCGCAGGGTGTCACTTCGTCCGCGTGCGTTTCGGGCAGCGACCCTCAGCGTGGCGCCCACCCCGCCTTCTAGACCCACTACCACCCACTCCGGGAAGTCACTGTCGGGTGAAAACAACCATATTACGTTTTACTGACGCAAACATATGTATGCTTACTTCTGTCATCCCATATACAGTATTCACAAATCATAGTACAGTATATGATATGAAGTACACTGAAGGAGAAGTTACAATAGTTAGGTGTAAAGATAGACTTGCCTGCTCAAGTTGGCCATTATTACATTATCTTGCCAAGCTTCCAGTAAAAACTCTTGTGGGAGGCCACCGTCAAACCCCTCATGGCAGGTGACGGCCAGCAACATGAGATGGGCGTCCTGGTTGTCTTTGGTGTGGGCGACAGGGGCGGCTGTACAGTTGGAGGGTGGGTCGGGGGGCCCGGCAGGCACCAGGGTCACCATACAGGGCTCTCGTTGTCGCCCTATAGTGTTGGTGGCGCTGCACAGCACCTGGCCGTAGTCTCCTGGGTTAAGAGGCGTCAACACCACGCTCGAGCTCAGACCGTCTTTTCTTACATCTTCCTCAGACACCGGACGTTCACTGCCGTCTTCCATTCTCCTCACCCACGCCCACGTCACATCCAGGGCGGGCTTGGCCTCAACCCTGCAGGTGACCACGGCGGGTGTCCCTCTAGCAGCACCCTGGGTCCGTTGCCGCGCCCCTCCTGCACACACTGGCGAGTCTGTCAAATAAGTAGTCAGTTTGATTATACTCGACTTTTTTGAATAGAGATAAATGTCACTAGTTATCAGTGTAAATGTGACGTTGCTGGTGTCCTGTTCGGCGCCGCCAACTTTACCTCACCGAGAGGAAGATCACCATAAATTCTCTTTTGAGCTTCTTTAATCACGTCTATAAATACCAAACTTGACTGATTGACGGTAAGAGTTTTTTGACTAGCCTGAGATAACACAACTTATTACCAGTGCTTGGCCATTCATGATCATCAATATGCTAAAAAAAACTGTTCTTTCGAGCCAATTAATCATCTCTTGATCGATGGCATGTCAGTGAATGTAATATTAATTTTAGTGTGTTGATAACCCACGTTCATAGTCACATAGGTAATAATAATGCCTAGGTATGACTGACCCGCTACCTCATGTGTAGGTGTACCGGACCATGACCCAGTGACTCCCATATTGAGTGTAGGTGTAAAAGGTGTAACAGGGTGTAGGAGGAGGATACTCACGGCGGACAGTAAGATGGACCGCATTACTAGAGTTGCGGCCCTCCATGTTGGTTGCGGCACAGGTGTAAGAGCCAGAATGTTGTCGCCGCAGACGTCGAATCACCAGGCTCAATCCGCTTACCACCACACCAGCGCTTACGTTGTGTACCACCTCCGCCCCCTGTGGAGAAACAGAGCTACACTATAGTCAGACAGAGGGACATATTAGTCAGAGAGTGAGTAGCATATTAGGGTCAGAAAGAGGGCCATATTAGAGCGACACACAGGGTCATATTAGACAGAGGGACATATCGGAGAGTCAAAGAGAGAGAGATAGCCACATTAAAAGGCATATACTGTAGATCCATAATAAAAATTCGCAAAAACAACAACAAACACAAACACACATAACTAGAGAGCCAGACAGAGCCACACTACAGACCCAGGAGAGAGGAGAAGACAGGCTGTAGGACTCACGTTGTGGTACCAGTCAACACGGTGGACGGCTGGGTTGGCGCGGATGGTACACTCGAAGTACACGTCGTCGCCCTCCTTAATAATCTCGCCGTCCAGAGGATTTCCTAGTGATAGTCTTACCACCGGCGTGTCTGTAATGATGTCAGGTGTGAGTGACGGGGGGAGGGGGTTGAGGGTTGGGGGTGAGGGGCAGTGGCGGCTCGTGCATAGGGCTGCAGAGCTGCAGTCCCCCCAGACACTCACTGCCAGGCGTATGATTCCTTTAGAGAGACAGCTGAATAATACACTACCAACAAATATATCATTTTATATGTTATTTAATTATTTTCAATACGTTGCTAAGTGAATTTTCATTAAAATCAGACCAAAATTTAAGTTACTTTCATAGTTGCTGTCAATGCTGTACGATTCATGTCTGTTATTAATTGGCGCCGCCGCCGCACTTGAAGCAGCTCAGTCTCGTACAACGTGTGGACGGTGTGGTTAAATCGTGCTTTCTTTCATTACCCTTTGACGATGGAAAATCCAGTGAAGTATTTGCAAAACATCAACTTTTCCCAGCTGACATTAAATGAAAAGACTGAAATCAAAGCAAGAGGAAGACCTACACCAGTTTTATCCATTCAACAGAACAGTACAAGCAGGAACAAAGAATATACACGCCAGTTTAACATCAGTGTTTATCAGAAATGTGAACGGCTCTGTGGTTGTGACGAGGCAAATACTTTATTCTGCTTTCCATGCCAAAAATTTCCCTAGTAATGAACTTGAACAAGCAGTTGCAGCATATCCCATGCTTGAAAAAGACAAATTGAGAACTGAACTTACTGTACTGTACACAAGAGAAGATTTGTGTAAATCAGAAAGTCTCATAGACTTGTTGGAGATGATGAATGACAATAATCTACAGTCAACATTTTCAGACACTGTCAAGTTGCTGAAAATTTTAATAACAACTCCAATGACAACGGCAGAAGCAGAAAGGTGCTTTTCAACTTTGAAGAGAATTAAAACTTTTTTGCGCAGTACCATGGTGAATGACAGACTGTCTGCTTTAGCAGTGATATCCATTGAAAATAAAATGATAACAGAAATAAAGGATTTTAATGAAATAGTAATAAACAATTTTGCTACATCGAAGAGCAGACACGCCGACTTTATTTTCAATTAATACTGGTCCATCACCACCAACACTACTACCATGCCCTGGGAATTCGTGGACATCAACTACAACTCATACCTGAGGTAGGTCAAATTTGTGTATCCTACTGTTGTGTGAGGCTTGCAGTCCCTCCATTTTATTTTTCACGAGCCGCCACTGGTGAGGGGGGTGTAATGACTGTTGGGGGTGAGGGTTGGGTGCGGTATGAGTTAGGGCGAGGGCTATGGTGAGGGGGTGCGGTGAGGGATGAGGTTGTACCCTGCTGGACCCTGATAATTGTGGTTTTGTTGATAATTTCACCTATCTGGGGCTACACAGACACTAATGACAGCACAGGTGATGAGGATTGTACACAGAAAGTTAGACATTCGCATTTTCGTGGAATTGTCATCAGACCAAAATTATTCTATAGCAACTCAGAAGAATCTATTATCCTGTATCTTTGTCCTGATATGACAAGGTTGTAATATTGTTCGAATTATCATTGTAGTATTATAATTATTAGAAATATATTATCATTATTATAAGTAAATTTAATATTTCTACATCATTACTTATATTTTTGCTATTACTATTATCATTACATTGCTAGACCTGCTGTTACTTGTATCATCATTACTGGTAAGGTGATAAGAGGTACTCACAGTAGACCTGGAGCTTGAGCGAGTGTGTGAGAGGGGCGCGGTTCAGCAGAGGGTTGGCGGCGGTGCAGGCCAGAGTAGCACCGTCATAGTCGCGGTCCACCATCACCGTCAGCGTCGCCGTCGTCACATTCCCCCCTTCCTCGAACTGTCACAATGTAATTAGTTTTATTTTCAGCCTCTTATAAGTGGCGCAGGATGAACAAGAGACACGTGTACACAGTCATACCAATAACTGTTTTTATAGGAATTATATGTGAGAATATAATTAGTTAACTCAAGTGAAATTGTACAGTACGATGGACTTATAAGTGTCGATGTAAATAAGATGAAATTTTTTAAGTGCAATTAAGGAGGACTGTTAATTAACATGACTTAGTACTTCACTGTTCTCTCTATTGACAATGATTCCTGAAAAATCACACTTTAGTGTAGCTAAGATATAGATGAGCTCGTTGGTGAAGACCTTTACTTACGGCGTAGGAGACCTGGGTGAGGTGTGAGTGTGCCCGCCACCAGGTGACCTCAGCAGGAGGGTGAGAGCCGACGGCTCGACACACCAACCTCAACACCGCACCTGCAGACACCGGCCCTCCTGACCCAAGGATCCTCACGTCTAGTGGTGGCACTGCGGACAGGGCCAGCATTCTTAACTTGTTCAAGGGACATTTCACACAGTAAGGAAAGTAGAGGGAACAACAGCGAGAGACATCATACACAAGTGAAATCAGTTTAAGATGAGTGACAGTCAGTAGTGATAATAGTGGACAGGTGGCAATAGGGGAAGGTTACAGTAGGGGTAATAATGGATGGTATGAGTGGTGTTACGACCGTGTCGTATTTTGCTATTTTTTTATATATATATAACATGCTCCCATGTTCCATATTATTCCTGTAATGATGTGTTAAATTTACTATTATATATTCTAGTCACCTTACCCTGTGCTGTTAAGGTTTTAACTGTCATTATTTGTTCAAGCCCATCTTATTTCTTTATTTAGTATTGTAACAAGTATTCTTTGTTCTCTAACGACCATCTGCATCGTTAAACGACCCACCGGCGGGTCGCGTGGCGGGAGCCGACCTTATACAGTATATAGGACCCACCAACTGACGGAGTTAGTTCAGTCCTCTTGTCATACAGTTCACATCCTTTGAGTGACTCTCGTCACCTGTTACTTATACGTAATTTATTTGTGTTGTTCCTGTCGTCACTAATGTGGTATATCTATGTGAGTACCTATTTATGTCCATCAGTATTTGCTTATATACATTTAAGTAATTCAGTGTTGTTTCACGTTAGTTAATTTCAGTGTTAGTTTTTATATGTTTATGCAGTGTTAACGTAATCCAGTGCTATATTTTTATTCTTTTGATGTTTCGATGTTTAGTATCATTTGTGTCTTAAAAGTTTCGATGGTGAATCAATTTGTTGTGACAGCCTACAAGGCTCTTTATTGTGTTAATAATTAATTAATTAATTTCTTAAAGGTTTACTTTATTTATTTTTATTTCCTTTTAATTTACTTCACATTTTTGTTTGGTTACGCCTGGAACCTGGATATTTAAGTAAATTAAGAGACGGCGTAACAGTGGGCACAACATATTATAACAGGACACCCAACACCCTCCCATACACACTTCAAACTCCTTATACATCTCCACACCCGTAACCTCTCCATAACCTCTCCAACCCACACGTTCATCTTGCCCCACAAATCATTCACCCTAAAAATCTCCACACCCCACAGTAGATAAGCTACCCCACAACCTCCCCACACATACTTACGAGTAATATTGAGTGTGAGTGAGACCGAGCGAGGCTGGAGTACGGCTGTGTGGTGGGTGTGGCGAGGTGTGGGCGTGTGGGCCTGGCAGGTAAGGGTGGCTTTCTGCATGTCTCTGCTGGCCACTACTATCAATTTCGTCTCCACCTTCATAGTTTCTGATGAGTACACAGAACACTCGGGTATACAGCTAGTAATGAGTACACAGAACACTCAGGTATACAGCTAGTGATGAGTACACAGAACACTCGGGTATATAGTTAGTAATGAGTACACAGAACACACAGGTATATAGTTAGTAATGAGTACACAGAACACTCGGGTATATAGTTAGTAATGAGTACACAGAACACTCGGGTATATAGTTAGTAATGAGTACACAGAACACTCGGGTATACAGCTAGTGATGAGTACACAGAACACTCGGGTATATAGTTAGTAATGAGTACACAGAACACTCGGGTATATAGTTAGTAATAAGTACACAGAACACACAGGTATATAGTTAGTAATGAGTACACAGAACACACAGGTATACAGCTAGTGATGAGTACACAGAACACTCGGGTATACAGCTAGTGATGAGTACACAGAACACTCGGGTATATAGTTAGTAATGAGTACACAGAACACTCGGGTATATAGTTAGTAATAAGTACACAGAACACACAGGTATATAGTTAGTAATGAGTACACAGAACACACAGGTATACAGCTAGTGATGAGTACACAGAAATACACAGGTATATATAGTTAGTAATGAGTACATAGTGAACACCAGGTATATAGTTAGTAATGGAGGGCACAGAACACTCAGCTTATACAGCCAGATGAGTACACAGAACACTGCAGCCAGTAAATGAGTACACAACACTTCCGCATAGTTAGTAATGAGTACACAGAACACTCAGGTATACAGCTAGTGATGAGTACATAGAACACTCAGGTATACAGCTAGTAATGAGTACACAGAACACTCGGGTATATAGTTAGTAATGAGTACACAGAACACTCGGGTATACAGCTAGTAATGAGTACACAGAACACTCAGGTATACAGCTAGTAATGAGTACACAGAACACTCAGGTATACAGCTAGTAATGAGTACACAGAACACTCAGGTATATAGTTAGTAATGAGTACACAGAACACTCGGGTATATAGTTAGTAATGAGTACACAGAACACTCGGGTATATAGTTAGTAATGAGTACACAGAACACTCGGGTATATAGTTAGTAATAAGTACACAGAACACTCAGGTATATAGTTAGTAATGAGTACACAGAACACACAGGTATACAGCTAGTGATGAGTACACAGAACACTCGGGTATACAGCTAGTAATGAGTACACAGAACACTCAGGTATACAGCTAGTGATGAGTACACAGAACACTCGGGTATACAGCTAGTGATGAGTACACAGAACACTCAGGTATACAGCTAGTGATGAGTACACAGAACACTCAGGTATACAGCTAGTGATGAGTACACAGAACACTCGGGTATACAGCTAGTAATGAGTACACAGAACACTCAGGTATACAGCTAGTGATGAGTACACAGAACACTCAGGTATACAGCTAGTGATGAGTACACAGAACACTCGGGTATACAGCTAGTGATGAGTACACAGAACACTCAGGTATACAGCTAGTAATGAGTACACAGAACACTCGGGTATACAGCTAGTAATGAGTACACAGAACACTCGGGTATACAGCTAGTAATGAGTACACAGAACACACAGGTATACAGCTAGTAATGAGTACACAGAACACTCAGGTATACAGCTAGTAATGAGCACAGAACACCTGTATACAGAAGTTAGTAAATGAGTACACAGAACACTCGGGTATACAGCTAGTAATGAGTACACAGAACACACAGGTATACAGCTAGTAATGAGTACACAGAACACTCGGGTATACAGCTAGTAATGAGTACACAGAACACACAGGTATACAGCTAGTAATGAGTACACAGAACACTCGGGTATACAGCTAGTAATGAGTACACAGAACACTCAGGTATACAGCTAGTGATGAGTACACAGAACACTCAGGTATACAGTTAGTAATGAGTACACAGAATACACAGGTAAACGTATACATAACCTTTAATATATATCTTACAACATTTCTGTATAAATCAATTGATCAAAAGACTAATATTTGATCAACTTTTTCACCTTATAAGAACCAGGGCCAAGTTTGCATATCCAGGGGGGGCCATTTTAATTCTGAGTTATATTTGTCATCACTTTATCAATGTTTCTTTGTAGTCTAGGTGGGACGCGGGTATGGTGATCTTGAGGGGGGGGGGACCGTCAGGCAACAGTAAAATTAAGATCACAATCCAAAAGATCATTGAGTTTGTGGCTATATCCTAAAACATGTGTGTAAATTATTCTTTATTATAACATCCTTGATCCACCTATAACAAGTACAGTATGGTTGGAAATAATGGTATAGTTATCATGGGTGGGTGGTGGAGTTACCTGTGGTGGTGGGTGGTGGAGTTACCTGTGGTGGTGGGTGGTGGAGTTACCTGTGGTGGTGGGTGGTGGAGTTACCTGTGGTGGTGGGTGGTGGAGTTACCTGTGTTGGTGGGTGGTGGAGTTACCTGTGTTGGGGTCGACGGTAGTGTTGGTGACCTGGTTGGGCAGTCGTGAGCCGCGCCACCACCAGGTCAACTGAGGCGGAGGACGACCACCCACGCTGCGACAGACGACCTTAACCTGCTGGTCCTCCCTCAGGGGCCCGAGACCGCCCACCACGCCCAGGCCGCCCCATAACACCACGGGCGGCCCGGGGGGAACTATGAGAAAAATAAATCGTGCGTTTTATTTTGTTACTGCTTTAATTTTGTCTCTCTGTCGGTGCTTCAGGAGGAGGAGGAGGAGGGGGGGGGGGTGGTTACTAAATATAGACCAAGAGAGTGAATAAGGAAATGGAAGCAAGAAATGACTAAAGAGAGATTACACACACACACACACACACACTGTCACACTCTGGTTGGTTCTCCCAGTGTGACGACTCGGACAAAAGCAGCAGAAAATTGAATCTCTCGCATCTCTATTGTATCTTGCTGCAGGACCCGGCTGTTCCCTTCACTCACACAATGACACTCGGTCCTCATGTGATAATTAAGTCATCAGTCTCTCTTTGTCACATGAAAATACGCAACATATTCAGTCACAGTGAAATATTATAATCTTTGTTTTTTACGTGGTTGATGTAGTGATAAATAATGTAGGTAAGGTAAGGTAAGGCAAGGCAAGGCAGGTCAATAAGGTAATACAAGAAGAATACTTAATACAGTATGTTGAAGCATTATTTTTTACATGTTACCTTAATATACATTAATATTCATACAGTGACTTTTACACATGTTATACAATGGCAAAATTCCTTTACAAATAATGTTAAAACACCGACTATCACTGGCCCCTGACCCAAACCCCATCCACTCATCCTTCCCTAACACACACTATATCGTAATCATCAGAACAACTGTTAAAATCAAGTCATAAATCTGTAGTGTGTCGAGAGTTAGCATCGGGAAGCCACACAAGCGACCCCTCACAATTTCATAACCATTGGTCGCCCTCAGCTGTGTATGTTAAGTACAGATTAACATGTTAGGGCCAGTACTCCCCCCCCCTCACTACCCTCCCTTCCCCCCTCCCATCTCCCTTCCCCCTCCTCAACACCCCCCCTTCCCCCCCTCAACATCCCCTCCCCCTGTGTGTGTATTGTACATAGAAACTAAACGTGATTTTTGTAGCTAGAAATAGAAGAAGAAGCCCATAGATTTTAGATTGAGTTGTGAATTATATAAGAAAAAACTACAGCAACTCGATACCCTCCAAAACTATGTAAATAATGCCACATTTACACGTAAAAAACCACACGTAAAAAACAACCACAATTAAAATAGCAAAATAATAGGAAAAATTAACATACAGGTATTTTGAGAAACTAAATAAATAGAGTTTAATCAAGGTACATCATTCCTCACCTTCACCCATTAGTAGCATCATTCCTCACCTTCACCCATTAGTACCATCATTCCTCACCTTCACCCATTAGTACCATCATTCCTCACCTTCACCCATTAGTACCTTACGGTGGTTTATGACTCAAGGTTTATTAAATTATACTTCTTCATTCCCCGGACCTGAAGTATTATCCCTAATTAGATGATTAAGGTGTTTAAAGCCAAAGCAGAACAGGTAAATAGAGGTAATGTCACTTTAGCATCATCACACCTGTAGATAATCATTCTGTGCTCAGGTGAGGTTGTCTCGTACATAACCCCAGACCAACTCAACAACCCACCACATAACCCCAGACACTAGCCCTCACTCTACCACACAACCCCAGACACTAGTCCTCACTCTACCACACAACCCCAGACACTAGTCCTCACTCTACCACACAAACCCCAGACACTAGCCCTCACTCTACCACACAACCCCAGACACTAGCCCTCACTCTACCACACAACCCCAGACACTAGCCCTCACTCTACCACACAACCCCAGACACTAGCCCTCACTCTACCCACACAACCCCAGACACTAGTCCTCACTCTACACACAACCCAGAACCTGGTCCTCCTCCTACCCACACAACCCCCAGACACTAGCCCCCACACTCTACCACACAACACCAGACACTAGTCCTCCTCCACCACACAACCCCAGACACTAGTCCTCACTCTACCACACAACCCCAGACATTAGTCCTCACTCTACCACACAACCCCAGACACTAGTCCTCACTTTACCACACAACCCCCATACATCCATTTCACCACACCCCACAACCTCAGTCCTCACCCTCCTGTTGGTACTATAAACACACGGAGGGGAAGGGGAGGTGTGTGGGCTGACTGCCACCGTGTAACAAGCTTACAACTCACCGGGGCTTCTGTTGCTGCTGCCCGTCTCGTCTCTACCTGGCCCAGACGGGGGACTTGAGCCACAAATACTTAAAAATGTGTGTGTGTGTGTGTGTGTGTGTGTGTGTGTGTGTGTGTGTGATACAAGAAGGTCTGTAACTCACTGATGACGGTGAGGTTGACGATGTAGGTGGTGGAGGGGGAGAGACGGTAGTCGATTCTGCAAGTGTAGACGCCCTGGTCATGGGCGTGGGCGTGCTCTAGGACCAGAGTGGGCGGGTGGGCGAGTGCGGTGAAGAAGGCTCGCTCACCCAACACTCCTGGATCAGACCACCGCTCGCCCGCCCCAAACTCTCCCTCCCGAGCATCATAGCTGAGGGAGGAGGAGGGTGAGATGAACAACACTCGGATATAACTGATAACGAAACATAATTACCAGAGATTGTTTCTGTATAGTAAAGTGCCATAATAACCACAGCCCTGAAGGAGAAGCTACTCCTTACTGACAACTAAATAAAGAACTAAAACAAAACAATACCACTACAAATACTACTGCACTATTAATACTAATAATAACAACGATGATAACTATAAAATACTTTTAAACACTTCATCTATTATAAAACAATTGTAAAAGGTACGTAAATAATTGAAGATAAAAACGAATGAATATGCTCGTGTACTGTAAATTTGAGTAAACTTTAATGTATACTTGTAAACATTGATAGGAATACAAATTGCTTTCACATACACGACTTTACAAGGAAATTTACCATAATTTTTCGACAGGTTAGCTTAGGTTAGATTAGGCCAGGTCAGGTTAGGATAAGATAGATTAGATTATGTTATGTTGTAAGGTTAGGTCAAGTCAGGTTAGCGTTAGGGTGATTAACCTTAAGGTAAAAATAAACTAGGATACAGATTCTTCAGTTGATCCCCCCCAAAAAAAACGTGTTAGTATAAGGACCACTGACCCACTACTGCATAAACCACACCTTCAGGATGACCTAGAAGGAGATCCAAGGAAGACCTAACTAACAGAGTATCACCAGAGATGTTTTTTGTGGCCATAAGTTGTCGTCTTCCCCATCTCTCTCTTGTAAGTGTGCGTGTGCGTGCGTGTGTGTGTGTGTGTGTGTGTGTGTGTGTGTGTAAACTATATGTACAAATTCATTCAGAAAAATACAAAACGTGATCTCAGTTTAGCAATTATATGGCTTCTACAGTATCAGACATAACACAGGGAGGCACTCAAATAAAATTAGTCACTCTTCTTAAACTCTCCATCATAGTTTTTAACATAGAGAGCTGTAACGTGGTATTGGTATGTAACTAAAGGTGTAATTTTGGGGAGGGGAGACTCACTGAAACTTGGTATGCACATGTTAAATTTACTACGTTAAATCTAGTAGTATATGAAGACCAGTTCACAAAAATACGGGAGTGGATGATCAAATGTGGCATCCGAACTGAGACACGGTACATTATCTTAAAACTACATCCACACAATAACTCTTGAACTCTATAGAAAACTTTCCAAGAATCGTTATGACATTAATAGAGGTGGACGTAACTGGTAAATAGAAATAAAGTAACAGGAAATAAAAACATGACAAAAACTAACGGAAGACATCGAATTACGTGTAGGAGGAGGAGGAGGAGGTGGTGGGTGTTACCTGTACACGGGCAAGGTGTTGCTGGAGAGGTACCACAGTACTAGTACTGGCTGATCATCATCCATCTTGGGCGCAGGTGGGCACGGTAGCTCAGCACGCCCGCCGGTCACCACCCATACTGACGTCACCCCTGGCGTGGAGAGATAAAGTATGATTAGTGAAGACTATTGGTCGGTGAGGGACAGATATTTCCTTCGAGAATTCCTTTAACGCTGACAACAACTCATTAAGCTACAGGAAGTGGTGGAGTCGCATTTCTACCTCACTACAAACGTCAACACATTCCTAATTACTCTTGACTTATCGTATCAATTAAGTGAAAAAAAAAACCGTTTATCTACTCACAAAAGAACAGTATCCAGAAGTCTCCCGGAGTAATACAAAGAAATTACATAGTTCATATAGAGATTTACTAAAGATATATACCCTCTGCTTCCTGACGCCTCACCTCTCTCCCTCCACTCTCTCCTAAGAAAATTACCTCCAAGCTTCCAGTTCCAATTTAGCTGCTCGAGGGATTCCTGACCTCCATAACATGTTTTGATTTTGTCCTTTACCAATGATTATTCTTTTCTTTTTTTTCTTTTATCGTGATTCATATAATTTACACAGCATGACAGGTGAAAATAATGACTCCAGTCCTCATTAAAACGGACATTAAATTCAGAGTTGATTTTCACTTCGCCATTAACACGGTGATGGAAGAATGGAACAAAGTGCACTGAAGCTGATGTTATTCTACCCAACATCCAACTAACATCTGTCTTTGGGTTCAGTAGTTATTTGTTGTTGATGTAGTGTTATTTGACCTATACAGTAAGATAAATCTCTATGTATTTGTATAATATAAACACACTTACACACCCACACAGACAAAATACAACAGCAGACACATATCCACAAATACACACACTCACAAACATCTACCCACACACCCACACCAACATATACATACCCACAGACCCACCCACAAACATACACACCCACTCATCCACCTACACCCACTGATGACAAAAAAACTATTCCGGCTTCCGCTACAAGGAAAGGATCAATAGTGTTTCTACAGTATGGATTTAGCCTGAGGGAAGATGGAAGCCTTATTGACGGTAGTCCTAAAGCCGGCTCGTGAACTGGAGACTGACTGACTGACTGACTAACTGACTGGTTTTATCATCCAGTTAGTACAAATTTAACCAGTTTCAATTCAGCCAAGTTGGAGCAGGTGTGTGTGTAAGTTGTTACACTGTTACAGGTTGCTTTACATTGTTAATAATTCTCCCTACGTTGTTCATACTTAACCCAACCTAACCTGACCTAATCTTATGGTGCCAATGATGAATAGAACCTTTAAGAGGAATTTCTCATCCTTTTTTATTATTTAGTTTTGTCATCACTTGGACCAGGAGTCATTACTTACACCATAGTTCCCATATATTAAACCCAATTCACTTCCAATCGGCCTCAACGACTTACAGTACCACTACCACCGTCATCACTCATCGTCATCTCCCTATTGTCATGTTAATCCTGCCTCCCACTCTTGCACAGCATACAAGGTTCCTGACCGATGACCGTGCTTCGTTACCTGGTACTGATTGACAGGTGGATTGTTGGGGTGGTGAGGTGAGGGGACAGGGAAGAACGCCGTGGTCCCCCTAAACAAACAAGTCCCTGCTACAGGTCGAGGAGGATGACAACACACACAGTCGCCAAAGAGGTTCTCACTCACTCTCAGCAGCTGGGACGATATGTTCACTAGATTTTAAAGAATATTCATGAGGCGAGCTCTTCAACGTCATTCATATTTTCTCCCAAATAATCTGTCATTAAAAACGTGAAATACATCTAATACAGTGTTCAGATCTTGTTTGATGCACCACAGACGTCTGGGCAATTGGGCATGTCAGAGAGATTATGAAAGGTCGTTTGCCCCCAGCTACTGTAATTTCACCTGAAGATTAACCACCATAACGTTAACTGGGGTTTAGGTTAGGTTAGGTTAAGTTGGCTAAATTGACGTAAAGTTAACTGGGAAGACGAATCTTTAGGTAATCCATTTCCTGAAATGAACCGTGAAGAGACTCGAGATTGAATATGGATAACTTGTACTCTATCTACTCAACATGGATAAATTGTATTCTCCTTACTGAACACCTCGAGTCTTCATAGTTTCAGAAGATAACAACATCACATCTGCTTGAAGAGGAGAGGTTCTGTGTATAGCTCGGGCACCTGTGTTAGTGCGCCTGTTTACTTGTCAGCTCAGAGGAATTCCTAAGCTCACCTGATACACCCCGACCTTGATTGTAACAAGCTAACAGGCGGGTCAGGTAGCATGGTCTGGGGGCGTCAACAAGGCTCACGACTCAGTTATCTCAAGGTGACAGATACAGCCTTGGGGTCTAAGTCTCCCTGCGTTTGTTTACATCGTACTACAGCGTCAAGTCGGCTTATCGTATAATATAATTTTACTTATATTAGTCTTGTTTATATTTACTGTTAATATATCAAACACCTCAATATTGATGCCGCCCAGTAACAGTTAACATTAATGAGATATTTTTTTATACTAATTATTTAACATGACATGGCACATAAGGTAGGGGTGATGATGGTGGTGATAATGATGATGATGACGATGATGATGATAAGACAATAAGGAGATAGTAAGACACGATAAACAACAAACTACCGAACATAATTAATAAAACCACAAAATACGACCCAAAAAAAACACAAAAACGTGAATAACAACATACAATTATAATGCTCTAAGCGGAAGCAACAGACACACACTATATCACTGTCAATCAGGTGGTCTCATTATCGTGGTTGTGAGGTATAATGAGTCAACTCTACGTGTGGGATACAGGTAAAGAAACTAGTTTAAGATATACAGGTAGACTGATCATCACTATGTAAGTCGTCACTCACCTGTGCTATTTACATACAATGTTAATTAACCACATACATATTCCTTTCTAATGAACAAAACTGATTCAGATAATCCACATAAGTTATAAATCACTAACAAGTACAACACGAGTACAACAATTAGCACAGGGTTGTAGAAGAGGATACTCGTGAGGGTTATAACAATCACCCAGGGCGAGGGAGTTGTAATAACATATGGTAAGGCTGGTGGAGGACCGTGTTACAACATTTAGTCAATAGTTGTGATGGTGAAAAACAACTAATGAGTAAACGTTGTGATTCATCTTTCGTGGATGCCTGTAGTGTTTCAAGGCAATGGGAAGGGATAGGATGGGGAGGGGTAGGATGGGGAGGGGTAGGATGGGAAGGGGTAGGATGGGGAGGGGTAGGATGGGGAGAGGAGGATAGGGGAAGGTAGAATAGGGTAGTGTAGAATGGGAGGGTAGGATGGGGAGGCTAGGGTAGTGTAGGATGGGGAGGGTAGGATAGGGAAGGTAGGATGGGGAGGGTAGGATAGGGGAGGGTAGGATAGGGGAGGGTAAGGTGGGTAGTGTAGGGTAGGGTAGGATAGGGGTCACCTACCAAACCACCCACATCCAGGAGCCACTAACGAAGGGGAGACCAACGTTATCCCTGACATTCCTTCGCTAATAAGCTGTGGGAGAACAATACAGCAATTATCAGAAATAACAACAAGAGTGAAGAATTGATTAACAAAAACAATTAGCCAAGGAAAGCACTATGTATGAGACAGGAATGAGTTATTGTTAATTCTGTGAGTGAGTGAGTGAGTGAGCTGGACTCTTGCCAGGATTACTTAACACGCCGGGACGCTAAAGACTTCAATCCCAAGTTGGCGTCGCGGTACATCATGCAACAGACTGACGCGCTTAATCGATAGTAATAAATTCACTTCATTGTAGATTTATCGCTTGAATTCTTGCATTATATTTTCGTTAACAAGGTAAAAAATGTCATGATGTTCACTTGAATGTTGATAAAGACGATTGGGTATAGACGCTTGAATCCTGAGTTAGTATGAGATTATAAAGGATCTGAATATAATAAAAACAATTGAAAGCTACTGAAGATAAATATTGATACGGAGATGAAATATTATAAAAGTCTTTGATCACTTATGAAAAACGCACAGATAAACATAGATATACATACATACATACATAAATACACACACACACACATACGCACACAGACACACACAAAACTTACTCATAACAATAATTAACTCAGTTATTTTTACAATCTATAATAACAAATAACTACAAATTAGTCTATCCAACATAATTCAAAGTTTATGTTTATTATAATACATATATAAGCTTGGAGAATATTAATTTAAATATGTACTTCCCGGGATTGTTAAGTGCATACATACACTTAACCCTTAACCCACTTAAACCCAGTCATCACACGGGGGTCAAGACGCTGGTATTGGTAGTTTGTGTGGAGAGGTAAACACGTGAATGTGGGCGTGTAAGATCCGTAGAGTTATGTTGCTTGGTTATGTCTGGTGTACCACTCCTATTTTATTTTTCCTTCTCTCTCTCTCTCTCTCTTTGTTTTTTCTTTTATTCTCTGAGCTCTCTTCTTCCACTTTTTTCATTCTCTTCGCCCACTTCCTCTCTCTGTTTATCTCTCTTCCACTTCTCTTTTTTCATCTTTCTCTTCGTTCTCCTCTCCTTTTTTCCCCTTCTTTTCTTCTTCCTCTTCTCTTTTTACACACACACACACACACACCTACCTGTACACTGCTCTTTAAACAGCTGTACACTTATCTTGGCAACTGTACGCTACTCTATGAACAGCTGTATAAGTCTATGAACACCTGTACACTCTATAACATCAACACAACTAACTATAACCTCACAATAACACAACGTAACAATGAGATGTTTCAGTCCCAAGTATGGACCAGCTGACTGACAGATCAATCCAAGGTGGAGGTGGTGACACGCCCCCTCCCTCACCTGTTATGGGAACATGTCAACAAATTATTCCATTGGTCATCAGTTTCTTTCCTTCCCCGTATAACCACACCTTCTCGCCCTTAAGGTATTCATTAATTCATGTTACTGTGACGTGATAAGAAGACAATGGTGGTAGTAGAAGTTAACTTGTTATGCAGCGTAAGAGTGTATGTTAAGGAAGTGTTAGATACTTTTTAAGATAATTCATTTTCGACTCCAGGTTCTTTCAATATTACTGGTTGTTGATGTTTTTATTACTAGTTCAAATCAGTGAGGGATAAGTATATTGACTCGGCTTAATAACACTTTTGAATGAGGTTTTTATGTTGTAGTTTTGAGTTCAGAATTATAAATAGCTAGATGCTATTGTCATTACTTTAAAGAAATATAAAATCCACTTCAACTTTTCAATCATTAGGTCCTCAGTATGATGGGTCAGTCGTAGTAAGGACTAGAACCTTTCCTTACGATGTGTTAAATCTATAACTAAGGTATCGTCAGGAGAGACTTCCCATCGGCGTCCCTGGCAGAGGTCAAGGAGGAACCCCCCGGCCTTACTACCTGTCGAGGACTACCTTAGCCACCACAATGTGTCTGGTCTCACCTGGGGTCAAGTGTCGAGCGGCCACCGAGGCTCCTCATATCACTCACTCATTCAGGTCTTGTGTGAGGCGCAGATATCTCTCTCTCTCTCTCTCTCTTGTCTGGTTTAATCATACAGGTGTTTTCTTCCTGGTACAGTACACTCATTCAGCCTTTTGCTTTATGCTTGTACAGCCTCCCCCCACCCCATTCTGATCCCATAACCCCCCCTTCCCTCCCCTCTCCTACCTCCACACCCGACTCGCCTCCTGTCATCTTCTCCTGCATTAAGCTGCCATTCCAATGTGTCTCTAAGGTCGATCTTTAACCCGTTGATTATTATATGCCACCCTTAATAAATGGACCAAGTGTGTCATCGTTGTTATTGCCTCTGGATCAATCAGGCAATTATCGTTCATGTTATCTTAAAGACCAATGACCGCTCAAACAACATGAACAAACCAAAGACAAACACAATAATGAACAATAATAACAATAATAATAACAAAGACACACACACACACACACACACACACACACACACACACACACACAGACACACTCAATAAAGTAATAGCGATTCGATCCTTAAATCTGTGACAAGAGGCCTTATAACTCACTGGAACCCACATCTATAATAGCATAAGACTCTAACACTATCATCCAATATAAACACTATTAAGGATTCGTTTAAGTTTCCACATGCAACTATCATTCTCTTATCAACATAACCTGACGAGTTATCATAAGTGGCTATAACTCACAACACTCATAACCCAAAGAGTTACCATAAGTGGCCACAACTCACGACTCACAGCCTGACGGGTTATCATAATTGCCAAAGGATAACAGAGCAATCACCCGACCTAAGAGAGTAAGCTGATCAAGGTGCGTTAAGGGATAAAGTAAAGTAAAATACCAGAATCCGCAACAAACTGCATACAACAAATTGACAGGGTTTGAAAGTGTCTAAATGAGTTAACTTGACAAGAGATCAAAGACTGTCACAATGTTAGGTGTTGTACCTCTGTCACCACTGTAATCTAGTCATTGTAGACACGACTTTGTACAAAGGCGTTTTCATTATAACTCACACTAATGTTTGGAGTTTGTTATATTTTGCTGACGTAGGTGTAAACGATCCCACTGATGAGAGACACACCGTACTCACTTGTGGATGTCGGAGGTTCCAGTTTAATCACGTGTTACAAGTTTTTACCCGTATGTTCAAGCAACTTTAGAGAAGCGTTTTATAATACGTATGGTAAGAGTAAGAAAAGTTCCCTGTGCTTCTGTTGTTTATGAAAAATATATGTTTCTTGATGCTTAAAGTTTACATTGCAACACTCTTCTATGCCAGTGATTAGTTAAAAAAAATAAGGTTCATAAAACCTTAAGTACAAGCATGAATAGAGGAGTGTAAATAAGTGTAATGTTATCATAGTTTATTCAATACATATTTACGCAAAAAATAAATTACCGAACAAACATATATCACTGGTGAAGTAGGTATAATTCATGCCTAATTATGAATTTCTTCGAAGGTTGTGTGAGCCACTACTGTACGTAATGTTTGCTACACTTTGATAAACTAATTAGTACAGTATTACCTGTGTGCTTAGCTGGGGCAGGTAACGTGAGAGAGACCAGCAGGACCACCGCCAAGAGCCAGTGAGGGTTAACCATTACTACGGCGACGCTCATAACACTCACATAATTCTTATCATCGTTCTAAGGTGCTTGAGAGGCCCCCAGGCTTCTGCACAGTCTCGTCCTTCTGAGTTAAACGTAGTGGTAGTTATCCACTTAAACTGATTATTTATCACAACTTATTCTCTTACTCATGAGGTTCTCGTGTTTCTCAATAATGCATTTTTGTTTCTCATCAGTATTTCAACATCGTCAAGATGATCTATCACAACACATCAGTAACTGAGGTACAACAGTTTACTTCCATCACCCCACGACACGAGTATCAGATCTTAAGAGGCAGAGTTGGCCTCGTGCGTCACGTGTGTAGATGAGCGGCGGCGCACTTCCTACCCTCACCACGGCCTCAGTGACACTAGCCCTACACACTGCCCACCGCTGGCCTGGCCACACCTGAATGGATGCGTCAGGCCACAGGTGAGGCCACACTTCGCTGGGTGTCTTTTCAGTTAGTTAGAATGTAGGTGTGGGTGTGTTTACGCACTCGCGCATGTGTGAGTGCATTTTTAAGAGTGTGGGAGCCTATATGCGCTTGTATGTATAACAGCGCATGTGCGGTAAACATCCTGGCAGGCGGATGTGTACAGTATGCAATGGGAAGTGAGAAGCGAAAAATTCTTCTACCTTTACAGCAGCTCAACCAACACTAAGTTCTGGTGCTTTATCTGGTAATACTTGTACTGAGATATTTAGCGCATGCAAGCTGGCGATACCTGACATAAAAGAGTGTTCCTGTGTCGCCTTCCATCTGGCGTTATCAGCGCCATCCACTTTTTCGTGCGTACAAGATTGTGTTAAATATTTCGCACAGTGGCAGTTATCGCTATTTAGTGAGACAACAGTAAATAATATCTTCAGGGTCAATTGTACAGAGTCAACAGACGATGATATCAGTACTTCTCTGTTTAGTGACTTTAGTCCTTCAAACTAACCTTGGTACACATTTACAGGAGACGTCCGCTGCATGCACTCACCCACCGCACTCCTCCATCAGAGAATAGTGGCATAAGCTCATTTAATTATTCCTCTTTACTCGTGATATAAATAATAGTGTGTATAACTGTTTATGTTGGATGGGTGTTGCTGGCTCCGTTCCAGACATGGCCGCTGTCACAGGTCCTCGTGGTCTTGTGTTAAAAAAAAATATATCTTCTTCAATTCACACTCTACATTCTCCATATCACCCTCAGACTTAACGGAACATCCCTCTAATGATTCTTGCTGTAAAAACAAAAAATCCTTCCGCCCACCATGATTCCAGGCCTTGTTAGAGATGGCGGCCAGTGGTCGTGTGATGGTCGGGAGATAAGACCTGGGGTACCGTGAGACTCCTGAATGGTCATCATTGATCACCACAGATAGAGAACACTTGAGAGATGCCCGAGCCTTTAATTTTGTTTCATCAATTATCATGACAAGGCAGCGGGGGGCAGGAGAGGGAGGAGAGGGGTAGTGCTGGGGGTTTGCATCATAGTGAGGATGTTGGTGGTGCCTATATGGCTATGTTCGTGACCTAATAAGAACATTACAAAAACTTACATCACGAAATTTCTGCAATAATATCCCATAGGTTACCCCAATGTTCCTCTATCTAAAATATAACTTCTCTTTCTCTCTCTATCTCTCAATTTTAACCCACATATTCTCCTACATTCTCTACTTTCTTTTCCCTATCCCTATATAATTCTACACTCGAAGTCGTGTTTATTTAATTACTGTACATGTTTTATTGCTTCATTATCCGTGGGTACTTCAAGTAAATTATATCGTGTTTTGATTCTAACGCTGCTTAACCGCTTTCTTGGAGCAACGACCTAAGTCTGCTTATCTACACACACACATACACACACACACGCATGGGGTTATATACTGATAAAAATTTACCCATAATTACAAAATTACTACAAATTAGGAATGATAACTGTCGAAGAGATGAACGATGTATAATATTACCTGACACTGCTTGATGGGCGGTCATCTCCTGGTTATGTAGTGCTGACAGTTAATGCTGAAGCTAATAGTGCTGACAGTTAATGATGAAGCTGAGAGAATATTGCTGACACATGACTCGTGATAATGAACAACTTTACCTCTGGGTTCCGGCGCGGCCGTGATGGTGGTAGGTGGCGGGAGGGTATGTGTACCTGCCTGACACTGCCACCACAGAACACTTTATTGACATTCACCCACTGTACCACACAATACCTCCTCGCTCCTCATGGCAGTAGAGGGTACAATATTCTTCTTCTCTAGTCACATCCTTCCCCTAGTTCACCCTAACCTTAATAATATAATCAACGCACTAAGCACCTCACAAACTTTCATCCAGTGCACAAAGGTTTTACTGTAATGTGTGACTTAAGCTTTGATTACTTTAGCCAATATTAAATTCATTCTTCCTTTAGCCAACAGTCTGTCGAGTTTCAGCATAATTGGTCTCTCCATTTTCTTTCGGCTAATTTAACAGATAATTACTTATAAACACACACACACACACACACACACACACACACACACACACACACACACACACACACACTTGGCATTCCCTGATGAAACAACCCGCAGCGAACGAGACCTCAAAAATGGCGGGAGGTACAGTAACAGTACACCAGCCCCGTCACTCTCCTCCAACCTCTGACCCGGCCAGCAACACACCCCGGAAACTGACCACACAGATATGTCCGGTATGCAGCTTACCTTGTTCATTACCTGGTATTTAAATGGGGGGATTTTAAATGACTTACTATCCAGCTGCTCCCAGGAATAGTTTAGGTGAATATAGAGTAAAGGATGGAGGAACTGTGACGTAGTTTGATCATACAGTGAACATGAATCAAAATTTTATATACTATTTCCATATTTTGTTATAAATTTACGTATTTTACTATTTTTAACTCTTTTCTTTATTATTTTCTAATATTTTCTCGGTTATTATTTTTACATTTTACTTTTCTTTTAATATTTGTTTTATGACAATACAGGAACATAGAAAAATAGCTGTTTTAGAATGACGAAGACGGGAGACGTGTTGAGCTGTGGTGAGGTGCGAGGTGAGGGTCAGGGAGGAAGAAAAGCCGCCCCCTCCCCCCCCCTCCATCATCATGACAATGCTAGGTGGACCGGGTCATCATCCCTTTAACCGTGTTACTTCGCCATCGTCATCGTCACCAACACACTTCCTTCCACCTTCACTATACCACACCTCTTGTACCCTCACCATACCTCTAACACCATCGTTATACCTCTAGCACCATCATCATACCTCTAGGATTATCACCACACCTCCAGCACCATCACCACGCCCCCAACAACACCACCACGACATCTCCAACGCCATCACGTACTCCCCAGAAGAACCAACACTACCACTATATGTCCTGCCTCCCAACCACACCTCCACCACTATCTTCCCCTCTCATCACCATCACCACCTTACCTCCTGCCTCCCAACCCACCAACACCACCCCACAACCATCACACAGCCCAGCCACCCACGTCGTCGTCAGCTCGTAGAACCATTAACAAGTTTCAGAATTAGCATATATGGATGTGCTATCGTCCCTTCTTATCGCGTTCTAGTCTTCCTTCCTACATAAATTTCTTTTCCCGTGTCTTATCACTCTTATCACTCTTCCAACATTTTCCATCACCCATTCATCCACGTCCTTCATCGTACCAGTCTTAGGTTTATTCACCCATATCAACAAGTAGTATACAAGTTTCCATCGATGTCTTCTAACCAGTTTATTAGGTAGTTAAGGGGGGGATATAACTCATTTAGACAGATGGGAGTGTGGTAATAAGGAAACACAAGCGGAAGTTGGGTATTTTAGTCTTGAGATGTCTTTCAATCTTACAGTCTTCCTAGTTAAGATTTTCAATGCTTCTTCAGTATGATCTAAACCAACCACAGTGGCTTTCCTACTAGACAAGTCCTCAGTAGCTGTTAAGACCCGTGTAGAAGCCTTAGTAACAGCCAATTCTTCCATTACATCTTTTGTTATCAGAGGAAATCTTGTTCACGTCCTCGCTACAAGGTTAACCATTCATCACCCGTCCGCCTCAACCTCCCAGACGACTCACTGGGATGACTACATGAAGAAGCGGTTTCCTCTATTTAACGGACTATATTGAGAGAAAATTCCGTTATATCGAAGGTCCGTTAGATGGGAAACTTCCATCTAACTGGTCCGGATATACAAACATAACCATATAAACATATAATTTGACGCTAATTGACTGTTACGCTGAATATTTATGAACACCCGAGTGATTAATTAAAAATAATTCAACATTTCGACAGAGTGTACTGTAGTGGAGTGGCCAGACGGAGTAATGAATGGGTCTGCTTACCAGGACATGAGACGTGACCAGTTGTGTGTTACGAAGATTAACTATATGCTAATGTTGCCAGTGGGGTTTTTATGTATGTATAACACAGACGCCCAGCGATTCCTTGCAAAGGATGTTCAGGTTAGCTTCCCAGTCTAAGAAATTTATGGTACTTCCCTAGGATATAAGGGTTTCCTATCCTGCAGGAATCTAGGACCCCCCCAGGATAGATTGCTACACTAAAGGATTTCTTGCCTTATCCGGGTAGAGCTTGATGGTCCCACAAGCGGCACGCACCACCACCACCATAACAACCTGGGTTAGCGGGTACCTGGCCTCCCTCCCGGCTTGGCCACGAACCTAACCCAACGTTGAACATGTGGCCTCTGTACAGTATACACACCCAGGCACATTGCATACCAACTTTCACCCATTACTGTAGTCAAGTCACGTCTCCCATCACCAGTGTGAGGCTATGGTCACCCTCACAATGGTTAAGGTCACGCCCACCACACTGATTAAGGCCACGCCCACCATCACTGAGGTGTTATGCCACGCCCACCATCACTGTAGCAGTAGACTGGGTGTTGGTCTATGTGGTAGTCAGCTCTCCCTCTCAGGACACAGTACAAAGGACAGTCACACCACCGAACTCGAAAGTGGAACAACAGCGGGAAGGTTGGAGGAAGCCGAGGATGTATTTCTTGTTAATATATACAGAGACTTGAACGGGCAGGGTCTTTAAGCACTGTTCACAAAGACTTATTCTCTACACTAAGGAATAGAGGTGAAGGCTGCATAGGTGGAGGGAACCAAAGGCCGTGGTAGCGAGGGCTGGAGGGAACCATGGGCAGGTGGAGGAGTAGATGGAGAAAGTAGCAGTAGTCGTGTGACGGGCTCATCTGTAGCCCGTGGCGTTGGCAGGGTGCCAGGCCTACCACACCTGGAAACGACGTAGCCTGGCATGAAGTCCCTAGAATACTACTGAATGAGTGACAATGTCGCTCTCTCTCACTCACCCACCAACCTTCATATCTAACACTTCGATTAC